TTTTATTTCTCATATTTTGGCTTATCGTATATTTTTTTCTTGTCTGTTCTGTAATTTTTAAATGATTTACAAAAATAAAGATGGTTACATAAGCACGTTGCATTTGCATCAAAATTATTCTACACTGAACAAAACTTGATTGCAATTCCACTTGTTAATATTTATTGTACACTTATGAAATTGACTATTTATCACTATTTGTAGTAGTTTACTTAAGACACAACACGTGTTTGTGCCTACACAGTCAATTTACATCTTTATGGTAGGTATGTATCGCAGAACAATTTGCAATACTCTCGAGAAACATCTTCACAGAGAAACCTGAATAAAGCTAGTGTTGTCAGTAAATACATTATGTAAATAATTAAATGGCAAGTTGTTGCTTTTTATTGTTATAGCATTTAGTGAATAAACAAATAAATATATCTGAAAGAAGAAACACAATTTAAAATATCTTTTTGTTTTCTAGTATATCTTAATCATCTTGTAAGTTTCTAAATTTCCAGACAATTATAATGATAGCATTTGCATGAGTGCACAAACTTGCAAAATTCATTAAACAAATACTTAGTGTAATATTTCAGGCGTCAGGGGCGGTACTTAGGACGGGTAACGAACCGTCCCGGAAACTTCTCAAGGTTTGTTTTAATTGCTTGCTAGTCCAATTCTTCAACAGAAAAGCTGCAACATACCGTTCTGGTGATTTTCAACGCAATCGGTATCAAGTTTCAACAGATTGATTAATACCAATTTTACGATATGCTATTATACGGTTTACATAATTAATGGTGTCTGTTATAATAACAAAAAAGAATGCTGTAATAAAAATGAACGGTTCTCATGCAAGCACAAGAGAGAAAAAACCAGCGATGATCGCGTGTCTATTTGCATTATTGGTGGATAATTGATTTTTTACGGTAAATCCTTCACTTGAAGTTGCTAATAAATATCTGAAGGAATCGAACTGATATGAAAGGTAACCTCATTACAACAAGTTATACTAATAATGAGAACAATGCTGTGTTTAACTGTTGCATTATATAGAAGAAATTATTTCTTGTTCCTTCTCGCGAAATAGCATTTACAACATCTGTTTGGATTTTTTTCTTTTTTTTAACAGATTTGTGTTATTTTTTAACATTATTTTAATTCTCAGATTATTATTATTATTATTCTCATAAAGTTTGTAAAATACAGGGTGTTTTACATAATTTTACGAGGCTTGCGCCTGTAAGATACAATCAATAATACATATTCCGATCCGAACTCGATTACAAATTTTAAAAAATTGGATAATCTTCTCTAGTTTGTTCACCCTTTCAAGAATTACAACGTTTTTAGTGATTATTGATTAAGATAGATAAACTAGAATCATGTTCATGCCGTCTCTTGAGAGAACAAATGATAATTGTTTCTGAAAAACTGCAGTTTATGACTATTAATGAAACAGTAATTAGTATGACTACTGCATGTGTTTCCAAAAATTAAATAATTAAATGTTTATTTTTTGTATCCAGCATTTTGTGACTTTTGTATATTTGGGTGCGTATATTAGGCGCAAGCCTCGTAAAGTTGTGTGAAACACCCTATAGTTAGTAAATATTACTTTAAATAGTGATGATCCACAACTACCTAACGATGTTTTCTTTAAAAACTCAAAAAAATGAAAGATTCAAATGTTGTAAATGTGTCTGTTACTCGTATAATAGGTACTAAGAAAATTTGAAACATAATAACAGTTTTGTTTTACTTTTTGCATTATGATTTCTTTATTATCCACCAAAAATTATATTTTTATTACCACAACCTAAATTTGCAAAAAATACTTATGTGTTTATTTTATATAAAAAAGGTCCTTTTTGGGAAAAGGTTTAATATTTGCAGAGTCGCTAAAGGATTTATTTCCGAAAGTTTGAGATAATTAGAAAAAAAGAAATAAGTTTCTAAATCTTGAAGGGTTGTTAAAGTCAACCACCTTCCATCTCTCGTTTCTTCCTTCTACCATAACCAAATTTGTTCGAGTCTTCCGGTGTTTGGGCCCCCTTGCCCCCCGGTTCCGGTGTTGCGCCATCCGAAGACGTTTGCTGTTCGCAAACCGTAACCATAAGACTGAAAGAGGTCCGACTTCCCGCTTTTCTGTGTTAATAATCTAAGATCAGACAGGGCCCCCCTCTTTCACGCGACCATAAACCGTCTAAAACAATACAGCAATGGCTTAGTTCAGTGGCGGTGCGGTCGGTAGAAAAATCGCGGAAAGTTGTGCGAGCGTGATCGGAAGATGTCACCATGTAATGGCAACGGGTCGTACCGTACGTCAAGTCAAACAAGGAGAGAAGTTGAGGAGGTCACAGAACTCGCTTAATCCGATTTCAGCGCCCGACACCAATATCCAACAGAATGAAGGGGTTGCGAAGGTGGTCAAAACGAGTGCTTTTGGTATGGTGGTAATTATTACAAAAGTTTTAGCCGTTTTGTTCTGGAAGTGAACAATGTCTTTTCATGTTAAATTTATCGATTATGTGTAAATAAAATATAAATGAATTTATAATTATATAAATGAACATTGTTATACATGAACTAAGAATATTATACAAGGTGAATATAAAGTATGGATTCAAGCGATTTTTTTATTATTTGGCTTCAGAGATAAAAGTTAATAAAAATGAAAATACTATAAAAATGTGATCGTGATATGAGAATAAAAGTTTTGTCTTGGAATTGTGCGATTTTTTTTGTCAAAATAAAGACTATCAAAATTGAATAAAGTATAGATACATTATAATGCCTAGATCATAGCTTTTGTAAAAAAAATAAAAAAATTTTAGAGTGGGTTGCCATTAAAAAAAAAATAAAAATTATGAAGAAAAATTTTTATTCTTGATTATTTCCAACAAATGTCAAATTTACAATTTCCACCAATAGGATATCTTGATATCTTTATGTCATCCAATCATAAGAGTCTTTTCCGATAAAACTTCTCTTCCTGCTGTCGATGAAGTGAATTATCTTCCTGTCCTAATGTCACATGAATTTTTTAATTTATAATTTTTTTAATTTCTACTAAGTGCTTTTGGAAATAATCTAATCAAATATAACTCAACCTCGTTTTTATTATCGAATGAATGTATGAATTTCAATTCAAACTTTTTTGTCTCAGTCAATATAAATTTCCAAATTCAACTCGTCAAATTGCTATCACAAAAAAAAGTTTTCGTAAAATTCAGAAATTTATATTATATTATATTACCTATGATAAAACATCACAGTTTTTTAGTTCTTTATCAATTTTATTATCCATTAATTAGTTTTTTTAAACAAATAGTTGAAGAAAGAACGTTTGGTTCCGTACTTTTTATTTACCCTGTATGTGTACTACGTGACAACAACAAGAAAACGTAATGTGTTAGAGCTTATTCCATATCTGGGGGCGAACTGACAGAAAAGACACTTGGAGTGCGCCGACTTGGTTAAGATAAAAAAAATACATGGGCGTATTTTTTTTCTCTAAAATTTTTGAAGACAAGGATTGTTAGGAATATCATTTTTGAAAATTTTTTTCATGCGTTAACAATTTAAAATTTTGTTCATCATTCTTCATCTTATGTACGAGTACCTACTTATTATATTATATTTTTTTTAATAGTTAACATATGTTTAGTGTCAAAATTCATTCATTTTTGACAAGTCAGTTCGCCACCAGATTTGGAACAGGGGGAGCAAAAAGTGTAGGACCAAGCGTTTTGTGTTAAACTTTCAGAAATAATTAAATGGTGGAAGTTAAAACATTATAAAATTTGTTTTTGAGTTCTGGTATTTTTTTAAAGACATATCCTTTTTTCAACAAAAATTGATTTTTAGATAGTGAATTTTATTCTAATTATAGTCTTCATCGAGAAAAATTTTCGTGGTCAATTGCTATTTGATAAATAAATTTTACACAACTCAAAAATAGGAGAAATTTTATTTTTAAAAAACAATCTCATTTTATAGTACTTAATTAAAAATTGATGTTTTTTTTTTAATTGAAGCTTAGTTCCATACTTTTTGTTTACTCGGCATGTGATGTCAATTTTATTACAATTAATTCAAATTTTTGTGTCTTCAAATTTAGGTGTTTTAGAAAAATTGTTGATACACGTATACGTATACGTGTAAAAAAATAGACCAAAACTTTTGTGGTTACATGTAGTGTGCGACTCTAAGAATAAAAGCATTTTAATTGGCCACTATTGTGTGGTCTACCATTATCATTTAACGTTTTTTATTGCTGGTTTTGCAAATAGATGCAAACCGTTTACGAGAAAATATAAAAAATGCTAATTACCTTAATCTTTCAAAATCTTCATTCATTGTTACTTCCTTTCATTCAAACTTTTACAATATCTCATACTGACTGAATTCATCTTTTCTAGTTTTATAATTTTTCACAAGTTGTGTATTTTATTTAGTATTCCACATTTAAACAGATTGGGTACTTCAAATAACGTTCACAGTGTTCATTTTGAAAAACTATTTTCTATTTAAAAATGCGTTATCCAAATTATAAAAATTGTCATGGTTAATAAACGACATTGAGCTAGTTGTTTTGTACTTGAATTGCACAAATCTTTTTCACAAACGTTACATCTTTCTCCTCTGCAGAATGTACAATGCACCAAAGAAGTATTTATCTCTGCACACCTGAAATTACTATATTCGCGAGTTTTACATCCTTTTCGTACTTCTACATCAAAATATATGTTATGCTAAATTTCTATACCAATATAAAGAGACCTTACCGTTTACTTTCAAATCAATTAAACTAAAACATGATTCAATATTTTTTCTGCATGTTGTTATATTCCATTTACCAGATTCGCATTGGGCCATACCATTACATTCATAGCACTTTAATGTGACAATTGGGTGAATTAAGATTAACAAAAATGTGACCGAAATTGAGAGTTTTCTTCGCATCTGTCAAAAAATTTGACAAATAATAATACATGTCTTTGTTACAGTTGAGGTGGAAGGTTATGGGCCCTACAAACCGGTTCCACCCCCAAAACCTTTACCCCAACAGCCTATTTCGTCACAACAACAAGGCTGTCTTACACCGCCTCCTTACAGGATGCCCCCTTACCCTTTGTACAATGAGCCTAGTATTCCAGGAGCAACAGGATTAGATACGCCTATAGCAACCTCGAGTCCTGCCACACAAGGGCTGCACACACATTCTAGCAAGTTTCCGGTAAGTTTTCATTTGTGGAGCTAGTGAAAAGCAGTAAGTTGTAAATAGACTTGAAGCACATTTCTGGAAAACTGAACTTTATGCAATTTTTTTTTAAATAGCTGCAATGATCTAGCTCACGTATTATACTAATAATTTTATCTACAATTTTTTTCATTAAATTCAAACGTACTTAGTACGTATTTTTGTGTTACAACTGTGCAATGATGATTGATTTAGAATCAGAAAGGTTTCTTTTACAAATTGAAGCTGCTGCTGCTTTCTTTGAATATATCATGAAATAAAAGAGAAGATTTTTTTCGAGAAATAGTTGCAGGATTATAAATCCATCTAACTTATTTGGTATGTAATTCGAAAGACATACTTTTGCCATGTACCTAGAATATTAATGTAACCACCTACTGAGTAAATTAAAACATGTTTTTAAGATCTGGCTAATTGTATATATCTACTTTTGTGCCTCCATACATACATATACACCTTTCGTAATGTATTTACGCAAGAAACAAGAAAGAGTGTTTCCACATTGTTCATTGTGAAAATTACGGTACTCAACAACATGTAGAGCGAACCACAACGAAATAAATAACGAAATATCACGAATGGCAAGATCCAACGTTAGTTTTCATTGTTATTACGACAAAGTAATGAGAACATTCTCATGAGTAATTGAACTCTGGTAAAGTATCTGAAATTTTTGAAATGACTCGCTCGTTACTAAACGTTTGGATACCTTCTCGCGGCAATTAAAACCAAATCATCTTTATCTGAGAACCTACGTTTCCATTTCTAAATTGGAATATAATTGCTCTGTTTAAGACCAAACCGTTGCATAATTGAAAAAGAACTTTCATATTCATATTATTAAATTTTGGGTATCGATTTGTTAACACTGAGGCATTGTTTTTTTTCTATTTTTGGAATAATTTCTAGGTTTTTGTACACAATTCAATGTCATTTTGGATAGAATCCTTGCAATGTCAGTTATTGTTCAAACGGCAAACGATAATGCGAGGCGTTAACTTGTGTGTAGGAACACACACACGGAGACGTCACGAGCAACCTTTACGAGTTCGTTCACTCTCATCTTTTCTACACGCTTCTTGAACGCAAACCAAATGAATATCTTTATGAATAAAGAGACGCTTGGGTCGTTTACGTGATTCCTAATTGTAATTTAAAAGGATCTGTAGTCTACTGAAAATTGTTACGATTGGTTGCTTTGAAGTTTTTCAACTGTTGGAAGGTACAGCGTGTTTCAACCTAGACGTTCTTTCTGATAAACTGCACATTTGTTTTTATTATTAGTTGTGGGTTTAAACTTGATTTCATAAAATTTACCCAAGGGAAATGGATAGACAAAGCACTAAACATTATATCGAAAATTGCAAAACAAACAATTGCTAAATTTTGAAATTACGAGAATTTTTACACTTTTTATTGTTATCCATATTTTATTTTTTGTTTTTTTATTTGTATATTTGTGAAAACAGGGATCTAGTCCAACCAAAATATTAATGACTTTTCTAGATTGAAAGAGAAGTGATTTTGTCTAGTACGGATAAGAACTCGAAGATTCCGATTCTTCACGATTATAAGAAAAGAACGAAAGGTGCCATCGCTCCTGACGTCCCACCCAAACAAATGTCTGCTTGGACGGCACAGGGCCAAACCCATCAGATTCTGAGCCCTGATCAGGTATGTCTTATTGTTATGCTTCACTTGTACACCAAAGTTGAGTTCTTTTCACGGAATTTTTGTACGACACTCACGTACAATTTCGAACACGCGATAACAAGCTTCTTCGTAACTACGGACACACTGCTTTCTGTTTATATGGAATTTTAATTTAAAACATTTTAGTCATGCTGCTTTCAACATCTTCAAAAATTCAGGTAATTCTTTTCCAATAGGGTTTCAAAAAACTGTTGTAACTTATGAGTTTTTATCTCCAAAACGAGCAAATCTTGGCTGAAATATCACTAATCGGACTTGAAACTCAAATGTTCTTCTGATCTATTTTGGCAAAATAAATAATCGAGCTAAATGCTCTGAATTAGCTGAAATAGCGCAATTTGGTTTTAAAATCACAGTTTTGTGGTTTGCTTTATTCTTTGATGAAATCTCTTCGATAAATGAGCTTCTGTTTGAAATTGACTAAAATGCCGCAAATGAGTTTTTAGCGCAAAAACCAGCCAAGTCGTTTTAGAATTAGTGCAGTTCAGACCTCCGTAAAATTTAAGTGTTTCAAAATTTCTTGAAATAAATAATTTTCTAACTCAAAAACGTGCTAAATTTCTTATAATTGGCTAAAATAGCGATAAGTTCAGTTGTTATCGAGTAATGTTTTTCCGTTTTTTCAATGAATCAAAAGGTCAAGCTTACCGACTCAGTGTTTGCTTCAGTTTATAACTTCGTATCAGCAACAAAAAATGTCTACTTTTACACGAATAATATTGTTTGTTTTAATTTTTGAAAAATGTAATTGTGAGTGTGCTCAAACCTACATGACTGTTTGTGATAAAGTGGAAGATATCTTTGAACGCAACGTATGTAGGGACGCAAAAGCAACAATTTGTACCGATTTGTTAGTAAAATCTGAAGCTCCCCGAGAACTTGTGCAGTTAGATTTGAAGGGCCTTTATGGCAGTCTTTGTCGCTACGATTTGAAAAATTTAATAATCGTAGGTCAGTTTATAGCAGATACCATTTCCACTGACTGCGCCAATGTTTGTCTCTTTGATTTAGAAAATTTGAGTTTTTACAATAATATAATTAAGGAAGTAACACGAATTTCGTTCCCAGCCACAAATGGATTACGAAAATTATCTCTGGTTCGAAATAGCATTGAAATTGTGTACCCTTCGAGTTTTTCACTGTTGCATGTTAAGAATATCGACTTGTCCCACAACAACATCAACGCCATAGAAGAAGGAACATTTAATTATTCATCGCTTTTAGTGATTACTTTGAAACATAACAAGCTTACATTCATCCACTCTGGAAGTTTTGGTGTAAACTTGGAACTTCTTGATTTGAGTTACAACAATTTGGCAACGATCAAAGAACAAGTTTTTGCTAACACAGAAAACATCCGGGAATTGATATTGTCACATAATCAATTACGGGAAGTTCCAAATATAAGTACGATGAAGAATTTACAAGCACTGGCTCTCTCAAATAATGAGATCAGAACGATTCAAGTTGCAACATTTGCTAATCTTCAAGATTTGAGACTGATTGATTTAAGTCACAACAAATTAGTTACAGCCACTCCAGTTTTGAATCTTTTTGTTAATAAAGTCTATATGTGGGCAATTTCACTGGCTTTCAACAACTTAAAAAACATTGAAGATAGTGTTTTCCGTAATGTAACTACAGGATATCTGATGCTATTCGGAAATCCATGGATGTGTAATCAATGGATGCGAGTGGAAAAGTTATTGATAATTCATGGTATCAAAAGAGTCTCTTGTGATTTTAGTTTATTCGGTTGTGGGTCTTTACCGCATTGCATTTCTGACTTTGTTAAAGATAGTGAAGTGAAGTCTGCAACACAACATTTCCTTGATGCTGTTTCACGAAAACATGACTTGTTGTCAGAGTGTTACATAGACATTCATTCCGAATTGTATGACTTACTACACCCTTATGGCTTCGATTACATGTGTCTAGATTAAAGTTTTCTCTTTTTTAATAAAGAAGTTTTACCTTGTTTTTTTATTTAATTATTTAGTTTATTTGATCTTACACTTTTTTCAACATACTTACCTGTTTTGCAGAATCTTAGTGTTTGTTTGATTTAAATTATTCAAAAATAAATAAATCAATGTTGTCCATATCGACCTCACTGAGGTTGAATGTTTTTATTACTTATCAGGTGAATAAAAAATGGAACGAAACGTTTTTTGGTTAAACTATTTATTTTTTGGATGATCTAAGGATTACAACTATTCGTATCTACTTTATGTTTAATTTTTTCAAAAAATTTTTTTACTTAAATTGCAATTTTGACAAAAAAAAATCGCAAAACCCAAAACTAAAACAAAATTTCGTATGTTTTTTTTCGTTCTCCGATTACATTTTTATATTACTTTTAAGTTATATTAATTATTATTTTCTGGAGGCAAATGATTAAAACAAACGCTTGATTCACCCTGTATCTAAAGATAACTTGACATAATCTAAACACACAAAACAAGACCCATTTACGAAATTAAGAAATACTCAGACCATATTTCAATTTTTTAAATATTTTTCCATTTAGTACATAATTCACAATTAAGTGAATACTATCAGTACTTCTTCAGCTGAAAGAGGTCAGTTAAAAGATATAAGTGGTTATCAATACTTTGGAAATTCCCGAATAAACACACTATTTAAATTAAGATTGCAAGCTTTTATTTTAGTGCCAGTTCTATTGCTGCATAGAAATGTTATCTGCAAAATCAGTGTCAGTTTTTTTCTTGTTAGTGGTTTTTTCACATATGATAAACGCCGGATGCCGGCAATCTTTTATGACAATATGTGACACTTTCGGCGACTTCAAAAACTATAAAAACACCGAAAAAGTCAAAGAATTAATTATAGGATCAGAAACCAGGAATTCTGCAATGTCTTCAGTTAATTTAATGGAGACTTTGAAGTTGGAAAAATTCCAGTTATCCACACTAATAATAATTGGTTCAATCAATCAACTGGAAATGACTTACCACTACGAGTGCTTGTACGCATCTAGTCCCTTGAAATATCTTAGTCTTTACGGAAATGAAATGAAGAGGATTGAAAGATACCACTTTCCACTTATCCCACTCAAGACATTCAATCTTGTCAACAATAAAATCGAAAGCATCCGAGCAGAAGCTTTGACGCATAACGATGTTGAAACTCTGGATTTGTCCGATAATTTCTTGCAAACTATCGAATATAGTTCCCTACCATTAACAAGGACAACGAAAGTTATAGCAATTAGAAACAATAAATTGACCCACATTGAACCCAAGAGTTTTCCTTCAAGTCTTCTTTCTCTTCATTTGGATAATAACAATCTCTGGCATTTACAAGATGGTGTTTTGGGTAACTTAGTCAAACTGCAAGAACTTACTTTAAGCCACAACAAATTCAAGGAAATCCCGGATCTAAGTTATTTGAAGCAATTGGTCATTTTTGATATGTCTCACAACGAGATAAAGTTTGTCGAGAAATGGACATTCAAGAATATGGAAAATTTACAAATCGTGGATTTAAGCAACAACGTTATAGCAAGTCATTTTATTTTGAAATGGCTGGATGTTCCCAACAAACAACCGACCTTAACAATATCTTTAGCTTTTAATCGTTTAAGATATTTAGATTTGGAAAATCTTCCACTTCAAAATAAGACTTTTATTCTGTATGGAAATCCCTGGAATTGCAGTAAATGGAATGAACTGAAGACGGGATTAACCGGTCATGAAGGCAAATGTGACATGGGGTTTCTGGCCAATGAACGTTGCCCCTATTGCATTAACTACACTCCGGGGGTTTACAGATTTCAGGGTATGTGGGAGACTGACATTGATAAGTTCCATGAAGCTGTTCTACAAAACGAAAATTTGGCGCAATGTGGGTTAGCTGTGGCTAAATATCAAGTCTTAAATCCTGTTCATTTTTTCTGTACTATTATTAAGGACATCTCGTGAGGATTTTTTTTTAACTTACTCTTATATTTAATATGTTAATTTATTGTGTTTAATTGTTCATTTGCGACAAATGACAACAAGCCATTATAGAATTTTGAATTGTATAAAATCGCTATAAAGGGGATTAGGTAATAATTGAAAGGTTTGAAAGGTAACGAAGTTGAATTGGAGATTCGACTTTGTTACCTTAACCATTTCTACTATTTTTCAAATAATATTTCAATCACAGTGGGAGGTTTAGCAAAACAATTACTTGATTTTTTTGTTAGAAAAACTGTGTAGGTAAAATATGAATTATGGGATTTAGTACAAACTTTTTAATAAATTACACAATTCAGTGGCTGTTTTTTTTAGTAAAGTTGCTGCCATTTTTCTCAAGTGCATCGGCGATAGATGTAATCCTGTTAATTAATCCGATTTGCATTTAAATGGATTCAGTTCGGCGCTTCCATTGAAACTTATCTTAATTTATCACTTCCCGTTTTTGTAGTGGACCGCAAAAGTCGACAGCCAATTAACAACATTGCTAGATTTAGAAGCTCTAATTAGCCATAACTGCTAAATTTTTGCAAACAAGAAAATTACATAAAAGTCGAAATTTCACTCCGCCGCCACTTCTACAGATAATTAGAATGCGATGTAACATCCGACTTATACATAATGCATCCTAATATGTGTTTATATTTATAAAGGCAGCAGCTCAGGCCAAGTGAATTTCTCCTAACCGTGAGGTTTCTTACCTTTGTTCACTTGCGCGATTGGGTTTTCACGAGAAAGATACAATCTACGGGAATTGTTTATAATTCTATGTAGATGGCAGTGTGCTGTGGAATATGTATATTTTAATACACTCAGTATTGTTTCACGGTTCGTTACAAAATGGTCGAGTTTGCTTTAAACACCACAGATTCGGTAAAATTTTGCTTGTTTGTGTTCTTCTCATAATTGGTTGTTTCAGAATCACACGGGAATAGTCCAAACCCCACACCAGCAATCCGACCAAAACGCAGTCTTCCGAGCCACTTACCACCCACCTCCTCAAGAATATTACAACGGACAAGGCAATCCATCAACCGGTGCTGTGCCTAGACAGTCGTGGCATGGGGGCGACAACAAATCCACTCCACGCCCTTACCAAGAAGATTTCTCCCAAAGCAATTCCCAACAAGTGACCGTACAAATCGAACAAGCAAAAGAACAAACGAAAGACAAAAAGAGTATGACGAAAACATACCACACCATTAAAGACATCATTTCGAGCAGGTTCAAGAGTAACAAAGACAGCACCGAGGAAAAATCAGAGGAACCTGGTTTGAACAACGTGGCAGAGGAATTAAGGCGTAGTCAAAGGAACATAGGTGAAGAACAGCCGGAGAAAAAGACAGAACAAAACATTTATGGAAAACCTAGAATTGACCAAAATATTTCGCATCAACAGCATCAGTATAATATAATGCTACAAGCCCAACAGTATCAGGTTAACCAACAGTTAAAAATGCAACAAACGATGTACCAACAGCAGTTGGTGCAAGCAAGAAGCCAAGAAATGCTTGTTGCAAGACCGGAAGAACAAGTTTATTACCAGAATGCGTACGGAGCGACGCCTCAAAGGAACGGAAATAGATTCGTTTCGCCCGCGAATCGGGAACAGAACTATGTACAAATGCAGCACCATCCACAAGTAGGTATACTTTTACAATAGTTTAACTTAATTTGAGAAACACAAAGTACAAATTTCCGTTTTTTTCTTACCTACTTTTTTTGTTTTAAATTAGTTTTCCCCCAAAGAAAAAGACGACAGACGTCAACCAATCGCGATGGAGCGTCGTAGTGCCCAACAAATCGAGCGAGACAGTCTGCGTCAGAAAAGTTTCGAAGCCCGTCGTGCCGCCTCCCACCCCCAGTTGGCCTACGACGACGAAACCAAAACCGAAATTCCGGACAGTAGGCCTCAGCCCCAAGCAGCCCCTGTCCGGCGTGGCTCCCACGGGAATATCATGGACGCGGCGGCTTCAACAGCTCCCGATGCGGAAAAAGACAGCGACGATGGGGGTTTCCTCAAACGCAACCATTCCAAAGAACAGAAAAGTTCAGAAATGAATCAAGAGGAAGAAAGTAAAGTGACAGAAGCGCTGCAGGGGACTCCTCGGAAACGCCTCGAAGGTGAAATTGGGAAAATCGAAGGGGTTTATAATGTTGGACAGAGGACAAAAGACGATGAAGGGAGAGGGAAGAAGAATCCCTCAGGCTCAGCTGCGAGTTCGGATTATGACAAAGCTGGGCAATCATCTTCAAATGCTGATTCAGGGAGGGGAAGTGCTGCTTATAGTAGTGGGAGGAGGCCTGGGGGGTTGGATTTGAATGGCGAAGGGGATACGGGGCAGCTACAAGGACATTACAGGGATCATCATGGGGGGCATGATTCGGAATGGGTGGATATTGTTGAAAATGAATTGAGGCATATTCTTGAACCGAAACTGCACGAATTGTCCCTGCAAGGAGGTGGAGGAATTGCGAATTCCACGTTAAGTGAGAGTATTTCGTCAATGACTCCGCCACTGCCGCCCCTTTCTCCCGGTGAACAGTCCTCGCCCAATGTGACTCCGAGGAATTCAACAAGATATAAACACAGCAGGTAGGTATATACAGAGTGAATATAAAGTATGGAACCAAGTGTTTTTTTTAATCATTTGTCTTCAAAAAAAATAATTAATATAAACTAAATATAAAAAGTGCATAATTGTATTTTGAGAACGAAACTTTGTTTTGTGTTTGAGTTATGCGATTTTTTTGTCAAAATTTGTATTTTTTTTTTAATTATATACAGGATGTTCAAAAAATTGCGCACTTCCGTGACACTGTGTCATCGGGCGGTGCCCTAGGCAACAAGAAAAATGTTAAAAAAATCTATCTCTAAAAATTCCGAAGTTATGAGAGTTTAAATTTTGCACTACGACTTTTATTTATTTCTGTTGGAAAAATAATTTTCCAAGTTTTTTTCCTATAGGCTATTAGAAGAGGAAACAAAGAAGCTGTATCCTAAATTGTAATTTTGTTTAGTGTTATTTGTGGCTTTTCTTGACAAATTTTTTGTATCTTTAGTAAATAATTATAAAAAACATATACAAGATCATCAGTATCATTAAATAGACTTAAAAAAATGTCAAATGTCAAAAAATAAATATCAAAATTTTTTGACATATAGAATTTTTTAAACATTTTTCCAGTACTCTGGGGGACTACCCAGTTACTCCCTTTCAAGGAAATGCGCGATTTTTTGAACACCATGTATAAAGTAGATAGTTGTAATCCTCAGATCATAATCTTCACGAGAAAAATGGTTGGTGGGCTGCTATTTAAAATAATAAAAAAAATGTAGAACTCAAAAACAAAAGAATATTTCGAAATTTTTATTCTTCCTATATAGGAAACTCTAATACATATAACTTGTAAACTATGATTGACAGTAGCTAAAAATAAAGTTAGTTAGTTAACAGTCCTAAAGCATGCATAAATAAAAAATTATAGCAATTATTACTCTCTATTTTAGCTTGCCATATGGTAGCAAGCCCGACTACGACGGGTACAAGTCAAAGCTCCACGCAGGTCGTGATTCAAGCTCAAATTCACGATGGCACAATAATTCAAATCAGAAACATAGAAGTACAAAGAAGAGCGACCACAGTGCTGCTTTAAGAGGCAAACAAAGTGAGTCTTTCTTATGTTTTTTATTTTTCTATAGTGGAGTTTCAGTTTTTGGTTTGGATACTACTGATCTAACATCAACTACAACGAGATCTTTAGATCTCGAGTCAATGTTGGACGGTCAAAGTGACTCGGATGGTGACATAAGTACAACCGATGCTAGAGCCATAAGAAAGCAGTTGGAGGGTTTGGAGACTATGTATTCAGAAGTCCTTAAACTCCTCGGTGTTAAAAAATACAGTGGTCGATATCAGCCTTCAGATCCCAGATTCAGTAAACGGCGGTACGGCAGTATGTCCTCTCTACCCTCCAGTTCAGTCAGCAGTCGACCAATCAGAGACAAGCGGCGGGCACACGAAGACAGAAAGAAAGTCAGAGACATACGAGGAATTAACAAGAGATTTCAAAGATTGGAATCGCATGTTGTTACTCTAGCTAGGTAAAAACATTTGAATCAAAATCATTTTTTTTAACAAAAAAGTACAGGTCTGTCGCTCATTTATCGTCTGAAATGCGTACCCAACACTTGATGATTCAAGAAATGGAAAATATTCGAGGTGAAATAGCGGCACTGAGAACCCAGACCAACATGTTAAACGTGAGGTCACAGTCGGCATCGAGAGCCGTCAACACGTCCAAAGATTTACCGACTTTGGCGAATCCTACAAGAGTCAAAAAGTTGACGAAGTTTTTTGGAGATGAGCCGCCATTATTGAGACTGTTTTTACGGAAACTGGGCTATGAGGTTCGTGAAATTTTTGTTAATTTGCTTAAAACATTGTGTGCTTTGCAGAAATATGCAAACGTTTTCGAGAATGAGCGAGTCGGAATGGTCGAACTGCCTTATCTTAGCGAAGAGAGGCTTCAGAAGATGGGAGTGCCATTAGGCCCAAGACTCAGGATTATGCAGGAAGCGCAGATTTCGGTCTGCAAAGATAATACGTTGTGTATTGTTTAGGAGCGGTACAATCAGACAATGTGTAGGAAATTTAACTTAGTTTTAAGTTTGCAGTCTTAGATATTTTTAATATTTATTAATCTAGTTTATACTTTTAATTGTCTGATTTGTAAGTGATTGTAAATGGCGGCTCAAAAAAAGACCTCGGTTTTTTATTAGTTATAATGTTTACTTGTATGTACTTAAATATGTAAGTAAGTTGTATAGTTTTTTGTATATATTGAAATAAACAGTTTTAAGTTATTGCCAATAATACCAAAGATTTGTTCTTTGTACTTTTTTACTTGAAATAAAACATAATGGGTTTTGTAATACACAAAACGTTTAATTTACCTTTTCTTTGTTTTCTAAGCGCAAGTTAGGAATATCAAATGATAATTGTTTCTGAAAAATTGAAATTAATGACTAACAATGAAACAGTGATTAGTTTGACAACTACTATCATGGGTTTCCAAAAATTAAATAATTAAATGTGTATTTTTTGTATCCAGTGTTCTGTGATTTTTGTATATTTGCGCACATTAGGCGCAAGCCTCGTAAAGTTATGTGAAACACCCTGTATTTTCAGTTTTGATTTAAAGTTGTTTATAAATTTACTTATCATTGAATAAAATAAGTTGTTTTCACTAATTCTTATATTTATTTTAAAATTTCTGCTTTCTAAAACTCGAATTTAACAAAAAAAACCCAAATTAAAATAAATGCATACAGGTGTCAATTGTATTATATTAATTTTTCAAACAAAAAAACACGGAAACGTCACTAAAAATACACGTCATGAATGAAAACAGACATCAATGTCATTTATCTGAGGTCGACGTCATTAAATTAATGACGCTTGTTGAAGGATACTCTCAGCAAGAAGTTGGCCAAAGACTAGGTGTGCAACAATCAGTGGTCAGTAGAATTTGGCGAAGATGTAGGGATACTGGCAGCTACCGTAGGAAACAAGGGCAAGGTAGAAAACGTAAAACAACAAATGCAGAAGACCGACTTTTACAAATTAATGCTAAAAGAAAACATTTTTGTACTGCAAGAGAATTTAAAAATGACCTTCAACATGCTACGGGTACCACAGTTAGCTTAGATACTGTAAGAAGAAGGCTAAGTATTGTTGGACTAAAGCCATATCTCCCTGCCACTGGCCCAGTTTTAACGGCAACTCACAGAAGAGCTCGATTAGAATTTGCTCGAAGGTATAAGAATTGGCAAATTGATGATTGGAGACACGTTTTATTTACGGATGAGTCCAGATTCTGTCTATTTAGTAATGATCGTCGGGTAAGAGTATGGAGAAGACCAGGTGAACGTTTTTCTCAATGTGACATTCGAGAAATAGAGCCATTTGGTGGCTGCTCTATTATGGTATGGGGAGGTATAACTCTTGAAGACCGCACAAATCTTGTCATCGTCGACCGAGGGTCAATGACTGCTTTAAGATATAGATATATAATCCCCATTGTGGAACCATTTACTGCTCTACATGGTCCAGAATTTATTTTAATGCATGACAACGCCCGACCACACATTGCAAATATTGTAAGACAAGAGCTTACCACCGCAGGTATGAATGTTTTAGAGTGGCCACCTAGAAGTCCAGATCTCAATCCAATTGAACATGTCTGGGACAAGCTAGGAAGAAAAATGAGAGCTCTTGAATTTCCTCCTAGGACATTACAAGGAGTCTCTTTAAGATTGCAAGAAATTTGGGCCACAATACAACAAGAGGAAATTGCTACTCTAATTCAAAGCATGCCACAAAGGATTAGAGCTTGTATAAGAGCAAGAGGCGGTCATACACGTTATTAGTATTTGTTTGTAGTTAAATTTTGTTATTTTTTTTTAGCAAAATGTAAGCTTTTCTGTTTTATGAACATTTGGTTAAAAATAAATTAAGTATAAGTAAATAAATACGTAAAAAAATATTTTTTGATTATATCAAACAATGTAGTGCCACATTCAAAAGTACTTTTTTCAAAATATTTAAATTTAGTTTATATCCCTTAATTTTGCGGCGAAGTGTATTAAACAGTTTTACGTTATTGCCAATAATACCAAAGATTTGTTATTTGTACTTTTTTACTTGAAATAAAACGAAATGCATTTTGTAATAAACAAAACGTTTAACTTACCTTTTCCTTAATTTCTAAGCGCAAGTTAGGAACACCTAAAGCGACCTGAATTTTTAGGAGAAGTTTTGTTTAATAAAAAAATTCAAGTGTGTTAATTTTTATTATCAGAAATTTAGGCAACACAAGCAACGCCCAAATTGCTAAAATAATTCACTGGATATAAATGACAAGAAATCAACTTCCTGTTATTTTGAATTAACTTGAGGAATTCCTTCTGAACATCGGGAACATACAATGAAAATATTGAATGATAATTCAAACAGTACGGAGTTTTTCCTTCGCTGTGAAATTTAACATCACACTGATTTTGTTTAATTTTTAAATTCTTCATCGCGAGTTGAATTTTATCAAATTCTCTGCATTCAAAGGGATTTCCGTACAGAAATAACTCAACCTTGTAATTTTCATAAGTCTTCGTAATGTTATCAAAGTCAAAGCTCACCAACTGATTAAAACCAAGTGATAACACAAATGGACGATACCTCTTGATCAAGTAAGAGAAGGGCAAGAATGATAGTTCCCTTATTTTGTTATTACTGAGATCAATAAGCCCAATTGTTGAAAGATTTTGAAAAGTTGAATTGTCAACTGTTTCGATATTATTATACGAAAGGTTCAAAAATTCCAGTTTGGTAGCATTCGATAAATTGGGGACTTTGTAGAGCTGATTTCGACTTAAACTAAGTTCCCGGAGTTCGCTCAAAGGTTGCATAACATCGTCCTGGATTTCCCTCAATTTGTTGCCATCCAAATAAAGTATTTTAAGAGTTTCTGGAAGGCTTTTTGCTTGGATGTACGAAATTCTATTATTACGCAATATGATCGTCTTTGTTACTACAGGTCCTCTATGCCTATATCGAAAAACGGAATCTTCGATTACCTCAATTTTATTATCAGATAGGTCCATTATTTCAATTTTAGACGTAGTAGACAGCATTCCAGGCTCCAGAATTTCAATGTCATTATTAACAAGACTAACTTTTTTGAGATTTAAGCCCGGAAATGACCCTTTTTCGAGTTTCTTAATGTCATTGTTGTAAAAATTTAATACTTGTAATTGGTAGTCGAATTGGCATCTACCGAAGAGAGGGGAAATCCGTTCGAGTTGGCCGATTATTGTCAGCGAAATGAGCTTGTTGAAAGGTATGATGCTATGCAAGTTGTAGGTTTTCAAAGGATTGGCACGACGAGTTTCGTTTCCCACTACGAGGTCCATAAAATTTTCTTTATCAATGAGCTTTTCTATGTCTTCCAAACTGTCACATATTGTTACATAAGATTGTCTGCATTCACAGTTAAATTCTTGAAGTAACGACACTAATATGATGAAACCGAGTTTTGCATAAAATGATGCAAACATTTTAGGTTAATGTATAAAGACGACTGCTGAAGACTGACTAAACCGGATTGTAAACGCGACGGAGTTTACCCTGAGATCATGATGGGAAATCTGCTTCCCAGAAGTTCAACTTATAAAAGTGATTTGATAAGAGTGAATAGTAAATATGATGCCCTCGAATTTGCCGATATCTCAGGCAAGATTTGTTATTTGTTTTTTCAAACAAAAAAAATTTGAAAAACAATAAACACAGACAAAATTGCTAAACATGTTTTATTCAAAAACATTCTTTAGGCCCGTTGCTATTTAAATCATTGTAGTACTAAAAAAATGCATTACAAAAAACCTATTTCTTGGAATCACATTTTGCAACAAAAAAAAACAAAATTAAGGCTTTGGAGGTGTCTTGCTGGGTCCTGCGCCCGTATTCACATTACCTCCATGTAAAGGAATCCTAACACAAGGAGTTTTTTGTACTTTTCCTCCTTGTTTCACTATTAATTTCTTCGCTTCTTTTTGTTCTCGAATCTTATATTCCAAGTTTTCGAAAAGTTCGACCGCCCAGCAATTAAAAAAGAAAAGCATAACTAAACAATCAATTAACTAGTTTTTTACAATGTACCGAATAAAACTCCCGTTAGAAGGTGCAATGCCAAGGGATATTTCAAATAACTGTATTTACCAATAACACAGACCACTGAAACAATTTCTAGCACGATGTAGGTGAAATAGTGGCAACTGAGTTGCCAGTTGTATCTGGTGCTCTACAGTGGCGAGAAAATTAACAAACCAGGGAAGTTGATGAAAATACTCACTCGAAGGACGTAATAGGCTATATAGAAGATATGAATCAAGATAATAGCGTTGCAGCAAAATTGCATTGAGAGGGAGATAAATAAGTGAGTTACCACAATAGACTGACCTTCTTCATGTTGCTTTTTTTGTTGTACCTTTTGGTCCAACACAATTTCGTAAATTTCAAAAGCAATTACTGCGACATTTGTGATCTATAAATTCTTTCTACTAAATACACTAAGGAAATAGTTTAATTATTACCACAGACGCAATTGTTGAAACAATAAACATAAATCTCAGTCGATTCATTTTAAATTGACATCAAAATGACACTGTCAGATTAAAATTTTGTTGAAAAAATATATTCTTTGTAAATAAACCAACTTAATTCTATATGTTTTTGATAGCCGTTCTCTCATATAGATATTAATTAATTATTTAATTAATAATTTAATTCACTGTTTCTCACATATAGTACTTACATGTGAAGAAAATATTTTTTGGATTTTCGTCTGCTGTAGACTCATAAAATCCGCTCTTCAGTAGGTACGCCCTGAGTATTATTTTTAATTTCCAAAATTTTGTTTTAAAGTTAATTGAAATTGTAGACTAAATTAAGTAAGGTAACAGCAATAAAAATATCAACATTTATTGTTTAATCTTGTATGGTAAAAATGCAGAAACAGTATTTATTTTTTTTATACCTAATTGTATAGTAAAGAATTGAAAACATAACATAAACAATAAAGTATAAACCACACCGAGACAAATATAGTGCTTCAAGGCAGAAAATTAAAGTTAAACGACCACTGGACATACTTATTTTACTGAATGTACTTACACTTGAGTGCAAAAAAGACGTAAACTGTCAAAAAAAATTGACAAATTTTTCAGAGATTTACATAGTGTGAAAAAGATTTTTTCTATTTCGGTGTTAGAACAAGTCTATTCCAGCACCCAAATCGTTTCCCTTTTTCTGCAACTCATGAATTAAAACTTAAAAACCAAAAAAATACAAAAAAAGTTTCTAAATTGGCTTAAACATTGTTATCAAAGAGCAAACACTAATATATCCCACTAATCTAAGCAATAAATTACTAGAAGTTGACTGAAGATTAAAGGTATTTACTTATTGCAGATACGCAGAATGTTAAAAAAATTAATTTTTTGGGGTACCGCAAAGGATTCAAGTTTTTTATGCAGGCTGGATTATGAAAAACGCCCCAAGCGATAACTCCATTATTTTTAAAGATATGACAATACTTCTTATAACAAAGCAGCACAGTTTATTATCATCTATTGCTTGGGGTTGATGCTCAATCAATGAAAGAATAGAAATTTATTTATTGTATCTAAGACAAGCAAACGACTGATAACCAAAAACAGTTTAATTTTGATCAAAGAAGTATTGCAACGTCTTTAAAAGTAATGAATTATGTTTAAGTAATCCAACCTGTATATTTTGAAAGTTATTCCAAAACCTTTTTTACAGTTTTCTCACTTGTCACTATCTGCAAATAACAACAAATGATGTAAGAAACGCTTTATTAATCAAGTGTATACAAGGACAATTCTAATACTAAGCATTGGTACAAAAAAGTTTTATGTATATTATGTACAATTTATTAAACATCATCATAAGTATCATAAATGTTCTCATCGGAATTAGTCTTTGGTGCATTTCCATGAAATTGTCTCCATGATGTAGATGTTACGATGTAAGTAACAAAGCCGTTGAGAACTAAAACAAAAAAACACTGCTAAAAACACAATATAACGAAAATGATAATAAATCTGAAAATTTATTTTAGATAATGTAACACGTAACATTTAATTTAAAAAATAACTATTAAAAAAACGTTAAACGCCCAACTAAAAGACGCAATAGACGTTATAAATCAACCTTGGATTATTTAATAAATAACTGTCTCCTATAAAGGTAAACAATACGCGTGTATTCACCTAAGATAAATATATTGTCATCTATCTATTTCCATTGTCATAAATTCTTTTTAAAATATTAAATGATCAGCTATCACTTACCTAGTAAGATGAAGCCATAAACAATAACTGCTGCTTTTAGATTTAGACGATTCCTGCTGTCAACAAAAATATAGATGATTGTTGCGAAAATAAAACATAACTCAATGAATTTTAGTAATATCCAAGGCGTATACTGCTTCCGGTCTCCCTAAAAAACTATTTAATTTAAGAAAAATATTTTCTACAACAAACTAACAATTTTTAATCCGTAGTACAATTCATATCCAACACCCGCTGCCGCAAAAATGTAACAATAACGGGCGAGGTCGTTGATTTCTCTTTGAAAATACCATTGCACCGCAAATTCAGAAGTAACAAAATGTAATCCCAAAACTGAAAGGATCTAAAAAATATAAACCAAATAAAAAAACTTAAATTTGGATCAATCTCTTACCAAACCGACAAAAGGTAATCTAAAATTAAACGTACGTCGGTCTGTGGGAAAATGTTTATTATAGAATGATCTAACCTCTACACATCTAAAATTGTTTGATTTTTAATTGAACCATTTGAAAATCTAATTGGAAAACTTACTTTTGTGAAAATTTCGACTTCTCGGCGTTTTTGGAGTTGGTTGTTTGGACTGTCATTCTGTTATATGAAATAGTTTTGCTGTTTTAACAAACATATCTCGTGATAAGTGAAATTTGCCAGGTCTGGAGTACTGTAGTCAGCACTTGAATGATGACCTTCTGAGGTGGGGGGCTCCCAAGAACGAAGTGTGTCAATTATCATTTTATCATAGAATTGGATAAAGTCGCGTAGGTTGTTTATGTTTGACTTGTTTTTTTTTTGTATGTATAATTGGACTGTTTATAGAACTTTTTACTTCATTTTTATGTTAGCTAGAGGACACGGATTTTTTTAATTGACTTTTGATTCTTTTGAATACTGATGCCTAAAAGTAACATTTTGAGCGCTTGTGCTTAAAATTGGATTTTTAGCAATTTAAAAATCTTGTTTCAAATAAATAAATAAATAAGTATGTAGTTTTATATTAAAAATTCGTAAAATTTAGAAATTATCCTTATGAAAAAAATTACTGCTTACTTACCTAGAGTGGAAATGAAAAGCTTCTCCTACTGATAATAAAAGTAATAAGTAATATTGGTTGAAATTTACTTATTTATTTGAAGAAGGTCAATTACATACAATCTTAATTACAAACATAAATACTAGAACTAAAACCAATGTTTAACTAACTCAGTCTAAACATTATTGCACAAATCCCTATTTAATAAATTGGCTTAAAGCCATTTGTACCATCCGTTGCATTAGTGTGCCTATAGAACAAATAACAGCAATTAAAAACACACCTAGACGCTACAGATGATTAATTGAGTATTGCATTCAACAAATTATAATCTACTTTCTATTAAATCATCAAACGACAGACGGACTTAGTAAATTTTTACAAAATTAATTAACACAACATTTTTACGTGAAACGATATTTAAATGAAATATTTGAAATAAATATGAGTAGACTTAATAATATCACTTGGTTCTCCACAAACTATAGCATCTTATGTACCTACACACGTTTAATAAAATAAAACCAGACACATATCATGTTTTGAACAAGAGAAAGGCTACTTATCTTGAGATAAGTCTTTTTATTTGATTTTACATTAGATACTATATTTTTTTACCTTTTATGATTCGAGTTAAGTAAACGAACTCAATTAATGATGTGCGAGATTTTCGTAAGTCACTTTCGCGTGATATCCGCTTGGACCAGCAAAATATTCCACTTTCTGCATCCGGCCATCAGGTAGCAAAACGTGGTAGTGTCCTTTGGCATTCTCTCCTTCTCGTTTTTCTTCATGTCCGAATTCGTTACCCATTTTGACGTCTCGGATCTTGTAGCCGAAAGCGTATCGTGCGGCATATGTATGCTGAAAAATATAGTCGATTTTTAAACTGAACTTGTAGAAATCTCGGCATTGTTCGGAAGAAAGTTCAAACAATTGAGGAATTATTGGTAAAGTGGTAGAGTCAGAAAGTATTGTTTGGTAAAGATTTGCTTGTTTGATTTGGTGACATGCGCGACTGTCTTTGTGACTTGTATATAAATGAAGATGACGATTGTTGAAGCCAGTACCCTTTAGAAGTGTGTACCGGATAAATAATTTTTTTAAAAGCCCCATCTCCTTATTTGTTTAACATTGAACATATGTATATCTTGGGGCTGTTATTCAAATACGTAATTTACAAATGAATTGTTTTTATTTTTATAATTATATAATTATATTAATTAATTAATTAATTATATATAATTGGTTTTATTATTTTATAATGCCTTGCCCAACAAAGTTAAAAACCTAGATATAAAAAAGTGTATTAAATCATATTTACTGTTCGAAGCGTGTTATAACTTAGACAATTTTATTAAAACCTGTAAACTAAACTAAAAAACAGTCTTAACGTTTGTACCACTAGTAAATTCATTCATGGTAATTTTAATAAAGAAACTTGGCAGTTCCAGTTTTTTGAATAAATTTGAAAACAATGTCATTAAACGTCAACACAAAAAATCGTGTAAGAAAATTTAGAGACGAAACATCAAAAAAGAAACAAATTCGGTACCACTAACCGTTTTTAGAAATTTGGAAACGAATAGTTCGCAAGCAGGAAGTTAGAAAAAGGCCCCGTTAAAATGTAGACGCAATTTGTAATGCAGGTTTGCTAAACATTCTCAATTTTTAGCAAGAAATTGTCAAGAATACAAAGTAAACATGAATGAGAAAGAACCTCGGAAAGAACGCAATTAAATTAGTGTCTTGTGCATCGTTTTTGAGGAACGAGTTGAAAAAGTAACAATTTTGAAACTAAACCTGAAGAAGGATTTACAAACTTTGAACTCATTTCAATAAATTATACAAAATTTATTGCCAATCATCATAATACCTACTTGTATCTTTTGCTAAATAACTTTTTTTTGTATAAACGTACTTTTTCTTTAAAGTTTTTTTAGCAAGAACCTCATTTTTGTCTACAACATTGTACTTACTAGCGGTGTGTTTCTATAAAAATTATTACCACTTAATTCTGTCTTTAGAGTCTAAAGTCTAAAGTTTAGAACTTAGGTAATGATGTCAGTCCTCAGGTATTCAATTATAGCGCTTTCAAAGAGCAAACAGACACACAAGATTCATAAAAGTAAAAATTTTGACAACATGTCAATTTGAAAACATAACCATAATTTTTTAACAAAATTTCTAGGGACAAAAACAAAGAGCAAATAAAATTTGTGGCTATGGAGACAAGCTGCTACCAATTTTTTCACCAAAATTTTGACTTGGTAATTTCCATTTAAAGAAAAAACAGATTTTAAAACCTTAGCAGTTTGTTCACATAAATAAAGCAAAAAAACAAAAAAATTAAATATCATCTTTTAACATTTTTGGTAAAATAAATTAAACTTACTAATAACGATATAAGAAAGCTGATTTAGTGTTTAAACTAATGTAATGGCATTAAATATGAACAAAACAAAACCAAATTTCATCACTCGTTTTCTCATAAAAAAAAGAATAACACATATATTTACACAATTTTGTTGTTCTTCTTTTCAATATTAAACAAGCATGAAACATCAAGTAGAAAGTACAGCTTTAAAAAATAAAAGTCGTAGATTAAGATAAATCTGCGCGATTGTTACCAGTCATTTATGTTAATAACTACATTTTATAATTGAAAACTATACACGCTCGTTCACTTTCGTTAATGCTAATGCAACTTTATTCTGTATCTTAAATAATTTTTTGATATTGGGCCTATGATAGGAGCGTACACGATGCCTTTTATACGAGTATTTAGGACGATGAGAGTCATGACTGTGACCCGCATAAACATTAGACCCCTTATTGTAATGATCATTTGAATTATTAATGATAATGTAATTGGACGGTTCGTGGTTTTTGTTAATTGGCAAAATTTTGTTTACGCTATCTAAAAAATCTGTTTTAGATTTCTCTTGCACCGGATGAAGAAATTTATGTTTAGAAATCGGATGATAAACTGGATGATAATGTGGACTATGATTGTGATGTTTTCGTTTCCGTTTGCGGAAACGGCGCAAAGCTTCAGGCTGAGTTGTGTTAGAAATTACAGTGCTGTTATCATTGTCAAGGACTTGATCATAATCATAATCAAAATCGGTGTCATTACCTACAAGCTCCCTCTTATTTCTTAACAAATTACTTACATCATCAACACCTTCAAGTTTTAACTGATGAATAACTTCAGGAAGAATTTTTTGATTTTGACTTTGAGTCTCTAAAACGAGTTGTTGATAGTCGTTAGGGTTTTCACGAGGCTTCGGATTTATCTTCTGCGAATTTAACTTAGTTTTTGCAGTTTCGTTTCGTTGATGTTGTTTCAGTTGCACGGCTAGAGGTTGTACTGAAATTGGCAATGGCTGTGAAACGTGTTGTTTAAGTGGTAGAGGTTGTGGAAGTCGTTCTGCTTTAATCCCTTGATTATGAAGAGCAATTTGAGCTAGAGCTTTTTTCTGGGCTTCAACTTGAGCTTTCGCAATGGCCTGATGTTGAGCTTCGACATGGGCAAGAGCTTGTTGTTGAGCATCAGCTAAGGCTTTGGCTAGTTGAGCTTTCGCGTTTTCGTCCAGTTGAGATTGAAGTGCTTCAAGGGAGAGATTCTGATCAACATTTGGGTGAGTGCGAGGGTTTGGTATATCAACACTATGCTCGATGACAGGTGTAGGTAAAGGGCCTTTAATTGGAGGCAGGACTAGCGTAGACTGGGTTGATTCAAGGAGCCGTTTCAACCCTTCTAATTGGTTACTAGGAGGTTGGCCTACCAATGCATTCAAAGCGTTTAAATCGTGCTCAGATCTTTGATTTTTGATGTATACAAGGTGGTTGCTATCTTGTCGTTTGATTTTACTATCAAAGTCGTCGTAATGATTACTAGGTTTCAATTTGCGACTCGTTACCGGTTTTTTCGTGCTTGATAATTGCGAGATTTTTTGCCACATGGAATAGAGAGATGTCGTGTTACTCCTGTTGGTTTTTTCCTGCGGAAGCTTGTATTTTTCTTGTTTTCGTGATGAAGAGACTGCAGGGTCGATGACTTGTGATTTGGCCTTTTTCAAAATATTTTGCATGTCAACACGTTGTTGTTTAGCGTACCGAAACATTTTTTGATTTTGTTGAATTGCTCCTTGAAAATTGAAAGTTTGAGGTTTGTATAATCTATCCTTTGGATGATTAAAGGGATCTCGTGCTACTCTAGTATTTGATTCTGAGTGAATTGTCTCGTCCACATTTTCGTACACTTGAGGGTCGACTCCTAACACCACTTGCAGTGTAAGCAAAACAAAAACTGTTGCAATCTACAAAATATAAAATGTGTAAATAAATCACTAACACAAAATTTTGAAACGTACATTTTGATTTAACATTTTGACTTGGGTTTCACTAGCACTTTTTGGTCGACCTTGCCTTAAGAGCTTAACATTGGCACTGAAGGAAACACACGGATCACTTTCATTTCTATACCCCGTAATGTGATTATAGATGATTTGTCTGGAGATAGTCTTTCTCTTAATTTATGAGGCAAGGTGTGAGTGGGAGCGAGAGGAAAGTACAACGCATGTCATACTCATAGCTGCTGAAGAAAAAGCATTTCTCTTGTCTGGAGAGTAGGTCGTGAGCATAGTGACCACATTCTTGATAAGAAACACTGATAACATGTGGCAAAAAAGGCAATGCAATTATAATTTTACCATCACATTACTTCATTGATCATCTACAAAATTTGGTACAAAATGTGAAACTACATGCACCTGCCTGGAAACCCCAAGAGTGCCAAAATTGACTTTTTGATAAGAAAATTAATTGGTTTTATGTTAATTCAGACAAATAATTTAATTTTACAGTCTCACATTATTCACCATTTAAACATCATCATAGGTGAAAGTGTTCACTGATACTTTTATAATGAGTGCAACGGAGCGTAGTGTGTTATACTAGAAATGAATGAAAATTATGTTTCCCAAACACATAATTATTTAAAAAACAATGGTACAAGCAATTGAATAAGAATTTGACAAAAAAATTTAAAAAACATAATGGTATTTGTCAATGATACACGCTTTTCTATCCCCTAAACGATCTAAATTGGAGTTAATTTTTCCATAAATTAAAACCAGTTTCTAATAAAGCTAATGAATTTGGATTAGTGAAATATGATTTTGATTTATTTATAATTTTTACATATTTATTTGTATAATTAATTGTTGGAAACCTCTGTTCAATTTTCTAAAAAAAAATAATCTAAACGTTCCACAATAATTAATAAAAAATTGCAGTAAAAAATTCGTAGCATGAGTAACAAAATGAAAACAATAATTACTTCAAATATAAAACAAGACAACTAACATATTAAACAAAATATATGAATAATAAGATATATAACATGAATATTATGTTCAGAAATTTAAATTAATATTGAATTGATGTTCAAGCCAGTCAAGAAAAGTTGATCAATACTAATTGCTGCACAATTTTTTGTTATAATTAAGGAATTTTTTTTCTATCACTGAAAACATATCTAGGAACTTACCTGGTTTTGTTATTTATAAAATTGGTACCTGTGGAAATGTAGTTCTTTTGTGAATTACTTTGATACTGTTGTGTCTATAACGATTTATTGCATTATCACAGCTGTTACTAGATTATTTTAATATTTAGTTTAATGATTGTATTTTAAAAATAGATCATTAGACACATGACGCTAAATTTCTAACCCAGAAGCAGCGTAGATTGTATTTGTTGAATTTTTTTTCGTATGTATTTTAACGTTTATCAAAGAAAAAGAACAAAAACATTATTTAGACTTAGCTACATAAAATGGTGCTATTTACTATTTTTTAATTTAAATTCGAAGATTACTTCTTAGCACTTGTTTTAAAATGTGGTTCTAAAGGTCGAAGTAAACTTTAGCTACAACTGAAAGTATTGAAAAAATTCCACGAACGATCTGTAAAAAAATGTTAATATTACATTTAAAAACTTTGATACATACAGAAACTCCTAACGAGTAATTAACTGAAAGATTTTCTGAAAATTTGAGCTTACAAGGCTGCATGATATTGATTAGCATAAGTCTATAAATTCTCTTATTCTTTTCATTAAATGTATACCATTTGATTGAATTACATGAATGTACGACATTAGCAGCCTACAAATTTTGAAGTAAATGATTCGATGATACTATTCAATGAATCTACCTGAACTTCGATTGACTGCCCGGCTAGAATTAAAGCCCCAAATGTGAAGACAGCAGCAAATGCTCCGACACCAAAACGTACGTAATGCTCGTAGTGAAATTTGCCCTTTAAAATTAAAATTTTGCATTTCGTTTAATTATTTACTTATATTACTATCAAAAGATGAAGGCCAAAGCTGAATAACAGTAAACCTCCAAGTATCGAAAACGTAACTATAAAATTACGTATTTCTTTTAATTTCAATCGATGGAACCTAGAAATAGTTTTAAGTAAAAATATTTACCGAAAATGTTAAAATTACGCTAGAAACTCTTGATGCCTTATTATGCAAAACTTGAGCCTTTTTGCTACAATTTTTTGATAATCGGTGTCATAAAAGAGCTTTTCGTCACAGATTTTTGTCTTTTGTTCTCCAATATTTACAACATACTTAATAAATAAAATTGCTTGAAATCGTAAGTGTTGGGTGGCATAGATGACTTGATAAGCGTGCACAATCATGACATAAGCAAACAATGGAAAAGTTGCTCTATAAATGATGCTAAGAACCCTCTTTTGACGTGGCCAATACTCTTCGAAAAATCTCAACGCATAGAAGATTTCTTTATCATCGTCAATTGGGTGAGTATACCAGTAGGAAGCATATAGAGTAATAACAACATTTAATACAGACAATATGTTTGTAATCCTTATTTCGTATTTAATGCGCGAATGAACTTCCCTTCCAGCACAATCAATGGTCCAAAATTTAAACTGTTTTCTCACGTCTCTAACGATTTCACTTCGAAATAAAATGGTCAAAATTGCTAACAGACCCTAAATTTACATGCGATTTTAAACAATTCTGGTTTTACAAAAGATATACCTACATAAAAGCTTCCAATGAACATAGGTGCATAGTGAACGAACTCGTTTGCTGTCAAGTTGTACAGTAATAATGCACGAATTGTTACAAAGTTTACAACTAAATGTATTCCAAAAACTATCCATAAAGCCAACTTTACAATTTTCGGTTCAAATACATCAGAACAAATAAATCTCAGTGTCTTGAGATAATCATCTAAAATTTGAAGTTTTTAAAAACAAGATTAGACAATGATTTAATTAACTTTTAGTTAAAGGTTCAAAGCAATAATCAACCATTTTGCTTGAGTTTGTTGTATAAAATTCACCTTTCTAGATTAGGTATACAGACTATTGAAACATAATTATCTAAAAAAAATTAAGAAGAACGGTAGCTATAATTACTAGAGAACATAATATGACTGGCGAGGAATCTACTAACTGATAATCAAATCAACACACAAAGTATGTCCAATTTATATAAATTTTTTATATCTCTTTCAGACATAATACTTAAGTATAAATGACGGCTTCTAATGTTTCAATTAATTGTGCTTGTGCGATCAGGAATATTGGGGGGAGGGCGTAAGAACACATGCCTAAATAATATTTCAATAATTGTTAATATTATTATAATAAATAAATAATAATATAATAATAATTATATTAAATAATATATAATAACCTTCGGAGAAAAAGCCGAACTCATATGGACAAGGAATAAAATTGATAGGAAAAAGGGCTTAAGTAATACTGAAATATCTAATATTATAAAAAATGAGAAAATTGTCGTTATTGACTTGTTACCAAAAAAAAATTAGAAAAGATGAATCAGGTATAATTAATTTTCGACCATCCAATTGTTATGGCTCACATTGGGTGTGTTACATAAACAAACCATATTTAAGATATTTTACATTTTCACAGTTTTGGAATTTCTTCACCAGAAAAGATTAAAAAATATTTGTTAAGTAGCGGAAAAAATATTGCGAGGAACAGCACACAACTACAAATCAATTATTCTGTTTTATGTGGTCATTACTGTATACAATAGTATGTAATAAATACTCTAAACAAAGGTAAAGATTTTTTTGTTATATAATATTCTTATATTAAACAGATACCGTGTGTTTAAATGAGAAAAGATTCACCTTTGCCAACTCGTGAACCGTCTTTGACTTGTGCTCCGCACCCTTCGTGAGAACTGATAATACTATTTCTAAAAAAAATTAAAGATAAATTAAACGAAATGCTTTTTGTTTTAGGTCAAATGGAGACAAGTCCATTACAAATGTTATTTCAATATTTGAATGTAATTAAAAAATTACATATATACATATTATCTCTAGTATGTTATAAATGGAAAAATATCTACAAAAACGCTTGTATGCATGCATACAGAGAAAGTTACATATATTTTTATAACATTGGAATCGGATTATCTAATTAGTAAATTATTAATTAGTGCATCGGGATTATCTTCGTTAGCTCTACCTCCACTAGTTTGTTTATCTCTTGGTGCAGAGGTAATAGAAATCTTAGATAATAAGAGACTAAAAATATCAGAAAGGATTGAAGAATATAAGTTAGTTTATAAATTTTATGAACAGTTATATGTAAAGCTGATAAAATAAATGAAAAAGAAATAAATTTACTTGAAGAAGAATTTGCGTAACCTAATTAACCACGTGGGATGTAAATGGATCCATAGCAATGAAGATCTATCAAAAAGATTGGTAAATCTAGAATACAACGACGCCGTACAGCAGTAAAATTTTACTGGTCCTATAACCAACAAAGGCAATCCATACCATTAGAAAACATAATAATGGCCTACGAAGCAATTACACCGGATCGAGTGGTACTCCGTATCCGTGATGTTAATGTTTTTTTTCTGTTGAATTACGCTTTCCGACTCAAAACAGTCTAGATCAATTCATGGCTTATATCACGCCAGAAAGTTATTGTTATCAAGAGTTATAAATTTTTCATTGGAGCTCAGAAAATGTTTTTAATAAAGTATGAAAGTGGGTAGCTGAATATCATACATTAGATATCAGTACCTATGTAAGTTTGAGATAAAATCATGTTTCTTCTGTTGCCAATTGGATTTTACATCATTTCCCACTAATTATTATTGCAGTTAGCAAAACTAGACAGAATAAAAGCTGAAGTCTGGATTTATGTTCTATATTTCTACAAATTTTAATCTGCAACACGTTACCGTTTTTTTTGTGGTTTTTGCCTGAATTCATCAAATAATTAATGTATTCTAAAGTAGCCGCACGTTCACAACAAATGTTTCTTTAATAAAATTCCACAATTTCTACTTATGTTAATAATAATTTTTATTAATCAGTTTGCTTAACGAGAAGTACTTGCACCACTTGTGTTGTGCAAATCAATTCTAACACACGGCATACGCTTTTTGGCACGTCTCCTTACAGTTGCGACAGTCCTTTTATGTAGTAAACTATCAGTTCCCTCGATAATTAGTTGCTCAACTCTGTCAAAAATCAACTCAGCAAAACAGGTGATTGTAAACAACAACACTAAAATGACCAGAGAAGAGAAATAACAACAATTATTGTAAATTAATTTAAAATTACCAAACTGTACAGCAACTAAACTTGCAATTCCTATTGGATAGTTAAATGCGTTAAATTCGGTAAAAACGACTAAAGCTGACGCTAATTCACATACAATGTATAAAAAGTAATGGCAACTAACATACCAGTTGTACCTCTCTCCCTAAAAACCCGTTTAAAATTTCTTATGGTCAAGTAATTCAACACTTACACGTAAAGCATGAAATGACATGTATGCCATATTGACAAAAATTAAAATATTTGCAGTGAACAGAATTGTGAAAGATACTAGTTTATGTGTTTTAAAAGAAGAAGCTTCATCCTTTGAAGAAAGACTTTTTACATCCACGAAGATCTCAACACCTCCAATTGAAATTACTAAAGAACAAATTGTCTGCAAGTTTACTTTTTACCTTTTAAAGTCCCATTAAGTTTTCTCTCTTACCAAAGATGTAACAGAAACCGTAAATAACAATATTTTGTATTCAATCAGACGTACCATTCTGACAAGGATAAATGACAAAAAGGTGTCAAAAAGGTTTTTATTTAGTTAGGTTGACAATAACCATAGATTATAACATAAGAATCATTAGTACAAACATAATTATAAACAATAATTTTTAGAATTTCCACTTCGTACATTTAGTTAATCTGGAGTATATAGGTACACTCAACTACTATACCCTCAAGGATATGCTCTGTGTCTTGTTTCTTTTAATATTAAGACAAGTTCCATGTTGATGCAATTGCTTTTGCCATAATTTGATGACGATAAAAGTAGAAAAACTATCAAACACTGCAAAGGCAAACTTTTTTAATTCTGTTACAAACGAAAACATTGTGAACAATCGTCTTTTCTTAGGTAGTTGGAAGTGTTATTAAAGAAAGAAAACAGTTCTTGGTTTAGACGATTAAAAAGCCAACAAAATGAAATGTGTGAATGGTGTCCTTTTTTCGACATTATTCTATTATTATTGTTTCATGTTTCTTGAATAACCCACTTTGTTTTCCATTTTTTTACTTACTCAGGACAACAACACTGTAGACGAGCATTATCGGCAAAATACCATCAAAAATACCATAGACACATGAAGCTACTATCAAAAAAATTTCAAACACCTTTACTATAATCCACGTGGTGTACCGCTTCGGATCGGCCTCCAATCACGTTAAAAATTACATTATTCCAAACTTCCGTTACAGAAAAAACTTACAATTTTTAAACCATTATACAATTCATTGCTAACCCATGCTACCATCACGATGTAACCACACATTAAGAAAATTCCAGTTGCATCGAAAAAACGAGAATCACTGAGTTTCTCGGAAACAACATGCACCGCTAAAAACGACAGAATCTGAAATCAACGAACTTAACACATTTTTCCTTCAAAGTGATTGGAATTATAACCAAACCGGTAGCCGTAATCCTTAAATTGTACGTTTCTGGGTCATTTGGGAAGTACTCGTTCCAAAAAGACAAGACATGAATGCATCTAAGGATAAACAAATTGGAAATAAAGGAAAGTAAGTAGGTATAAACAGATAAAAGGCTTACTTTATAGAACTTTTGGGCACTTGAATTATTTTTGGCGCAGTAGTGATAGACATTTTACATTAATTTGTTGATTATTACTCAATTCTCATTTTTCACATACCAATTTACCAGTAGTACAAATTAGAGGTTACCATAGAATAAGAAGAAGAGGGACTCCATTAATCTGTGCCAATAGACAACCAGCTTTACGAGCTTAGAAAAATCAAATAATTTTACATTATTGGGAACGCTAAGTTTTGGCCAGTTTTTTTTTAGAATATTTAAAAAAAGCATTTAAATATAAGGTGGAATAAAAAACGGATTAACACATCAAAACTGATTTTATTGAATAAACGAAACATCAGTTTAAAGTAGGTGTATTGCATAAATCTATGTTACTAAAACTACTTATATTTTATTTAATACGTATTGTCTGTGATCACAGTCTGTATAGGCACGTCTAATTTGTGGTTAGAAATATCTAAAAATGATTCCTTCTTAAGGCATTAATGAACACTTAATAGTTTATAATTATTTTCTATTCTGTGACTTGAGTTTTTACATTGTCGAAAATACTGACATACGCTAAACCATAAATACCAACTCACACCTGAAAAGCAACGTATTATTTAAAATGTTTTAATATTTTTGATTGTACTTACTTATGAAAAATACATTGAATAACAACTGAGAAACGTAACTCAAAGTGGAATATATTATGATGAAATAGGAGAGAACTGCAAAAACAGGACAACTCACTACTAACCAAGGTAAAAGAAGTAAAGCATTGCCCTGAAACAGTAAATTAAAAAAAAAAGATCAATACCTGATGGAACTTGTATTTTACCCAAAGAGCACCCACTACTAAGGTTCCTATTAGAAATAGGTGGAATATAAGATGTATCAACAGATAAATAATATCTCCTTGGGTCGCGGGTCGTTCTTCTTCGATGATTTTCCGAATAGCCTCAAACAACCCATACGCCACAAACACCTAAAAATCATAGGAATAATTTTCTCATACCAGTGTCAGTATTTATACATTTCATAGTTATTGTAACGTGTAATGTTCATACCCACAGATCAGAGAGAAAAAAATCGGAAACGGCCATAAGCCTCCTGTATAAAAAAACGACCCCTAATTCAAATCTAATGAACACCTGACTCACCAGAGGCGCAGAAACCAGTTGAAAAAATAAAAACGCACCAAATTCAAAAACACAGAGGGTAATGTTGTATTGCTTGTTACTGAATTGTATTTTTTTATTATAATGAATTTATTAGTGAGAAATACACATTTTAGTCCAAACAAACTTATTTAATATTAATGAACAAAATTTTTTTTCAATACATATTTGATTGTTACTTGAAACTTTAATTTTATTTTGGAATCTGCTAGCCCACAGGTTCCGCATTATTAAAAACATTTTCAAGAACAAATTCGTCGAATCTTCATTACATAAACTGACAATATTAATAATGTGTTCTATGTTTTTAATCATCTCAATTACAACTTATAATTATAAATTATAAGTGGGAAATTAGTATCAGAATTAATAATATTATCAATTTCAATGGCCTTCTCAATATTTGTTTCCTCTCCTGGTTCTGAAATCAATAAGTATGGAAAGTACTCATAGGTACTAACCTATGTGAAAAATCTTACACATTTTTTATATAACTTATGTTTGGTATAGAACCGCGTAATAATACAAATCTTAACCATTTTCTGCCAACTGCTCTTGAGCGAAATGATCATTGCAAACCCGAAAATTTCGTTTGGTATAATTTACTTCTAGTAAATCTTTCCGATCTACAGTTTCTAGCCATTTCCGTGCTCTAAAATTTCGAATATCCGTAAATGATGCTCACAATACTTACAATTTTTATTTACAATGACGAATCTGTGGGAAGTGAAAAAAAGTGATATCGCTATTATTCAATTTATTATTATAACAGGATTTGACAATGCAGTAATTGCCGTGACTTATTTTTTAGTATAAAAACACAAACATATTTATGTAATAATCACAAGGTCAAAGATTCTGACAAACTAAAAAAAAATTGAAAATGGCACTCTTTGTAAATCCGAAATTGTAATGAACACCTGAGACGTAAGATGGCGCTACATCCAATAGGTCACTAACTTAGGGTCGCCAAGTTTCCAATCTTTCTCTCTCTGATCCCTGGTTCAAACCCTTTATAAAAATGGCAACGATTTGAGCCATGTCACGCAACCCAAAATACATTCTCAGATACCACTATGCGATAATTGATGTTCTGTTTGAAATTTAGATGTTGTATCTGTAATAGCTTTGACAGTTTTAAATTGGCGACCTACAGTGTGCTTTTGACGGCACAGATTCAGCCACAGCATTTTTGTGACATTCTCCATTTATCAAGATCACGTCAGTTTTTCGTCGTTTGAGTACATTTTGAATTCAAGGGGAAAAAAGTGGAATTGATGACACTGTCAAACTTAATTAATGGTATATGAACAACTACTTTGATTTAAATTTAATAATCGAAATTTTTCTAACACAAAAAAGCTAAGTTATTTGTGATAATGTATTATTCAAATGACTCGCCCTGTATAAATCAGAAAATCCGCAACATGTAAACCTGGTTGCCTACCCTTTCAAACTATGCTGTGATCACTTATTTATCTTCTTATCACGAACAGCTGCTACCCATAGAACATACAACAGAGCAAGACAAGAAACGGTATAACATTGCCATAAGATTATATAGCCCTAGAAAGTCTATAACTCCAACAATTAAGAGATTACTTCTGCTTTACCTCTCTTTAAAAACGGATAGCTCATAAATCTTAACATAAAAAAAACTCACCCCATGCAGTCCTCCTATCATTATGACCCTCTTCTTGAGGCTAAAATCAAACTTCGGAATCATTTCATGTGTGAAATTGTCACTAAACGTCCATCAAAACCTAGCCCACTGAGACTTGTTGGTATTATCTCCAGCTGCTGTCATCGTGTAAACAGTTTCCACGTGCGTGTTTTAACAGGGGCCACTCCAACGTCTGGTATCCCAATCGAAATATCTCGCATGATTTGCGTGTGAATAGTGGTCTATTAACAGCGTCGGAAGTACCGTTTTTCCCGCATTATTTATTTACAATGCACGTGACTGGTCTCACGATTGCAGTGAAAATTTTGTCCTGGCTTTTCACTGCAAGCTACGCAGCATCGCGTTTCCACGGCTTTACAATCGGACAGTTTTTCTCTCGAGGGTTAAACTAAAATTTATGAAAGAACGAATCTTGATAAACGGAAAATAAGCCATGCTTTTAATGCATGATTCAACACAACATACCTGGAATCAATGCGTAATTGATAAAATGCAAATACACTGCAGTCATGTCGAGATTTCGATGTTTCGGATGAGAGCTACTGCGTTGGACGATTGCGAGGAAAGCAAGGCTGTTGTAGAAAATCAATTGGAATCTGAGGCCCACTTCAACTCGGTTTTACACCGAGTATTCTATTATTTAAAATATTACGAGGACTAGGTAGGTAGGTGTATACCTAACTATCGACTGATAAATTGACGTAAAGTAATAGATTTTATTTGTATGATTAGCTGATAGTGTGGTGTAGTTTGGTCCATTTTGTCCCATCATAATCAATTGGGTTTTGGTAATGACAATTTACGTAAATACGTGTGGGCGAATTAGAAGTTATAAATAGCCCCGCTCTAATTTAAATATTAGGTATTTCTATAACTACTATAGGTATACGAGGGATGGGTTAAAGACTTTCGTTCTTAAACTAATCTTTATTCCACTCTTACAGGTGGTTAAAATCAAATACAAGCAAAAATCCTATTTGCTAGTCCAATGTTCACTTGTAAAGTTTAAGTGATGCAACAGAAACAAACGGAATAAATAAAATATTTGTGTGGCATTGACAGTAAATTAAGGTATTTATTATAATAATATAATAACTTAAACGTAAATTAGTTTAATTGAAGAGTCACCTGTTGAATAATATTGAAAGAATAAATTTTTTGAAAGATTTATGTTTCATCCTTATTAATTTTGTGTTTTTGCAGGTTTATCCATGGGCGCTGACTACAGAGGTGCATCGAGGCAAATGCACCCATTAAAATTTATTAATGGATCCGGGACACCTATTGAAAATAATGTTTTCTTGCTTAATTTAAAATATAACAATAGTTGCCAATAAAAACCTGGAATTTCGTATTTATTCTGTTGAAAAATTCTACATAATAAGCTTTTTGCATTTTTTTGGTTTTTTGTTGGATTAATTAGGTATTAGCATGTCAGGGCTAGTAGTAAAAATGCTAAAATTTACTGAAACTGAAAAAATTCCAAACTGGAAGAGGGCTATAGCATAAGAACTGTAACAGACTAATACAATTTAAACCAAAGCACAGTTTTTAAGAGTAAAGAAAAGATGGGAACAAAAAGGGAGTATAATTTTTTTTTAATTTTCAAAAAAAGACAAATTTACACATTGAAAAAATTGTATTACTTGATTTTTGCAGTGTATGCGATTATATTGTACTACTGTACTACTTTCTATCGTAATATTTATTTACCACTTTTGGGTTTTTTACTATTATTTATTGTTCTTTTCTTTTGCACTATACGTAAAATTTTATTATTTTTAAATGTTTTATTATACTTATTAAGTTCACTAAATTCAGCAAGAATAGTAATTCTCCTACGTTGTTCTAAAGTTCTGCAAGTGCTACCAACGTAGGTACCAACATATGTATATAAGATCTGAAAAGAAACTTTTGATGTTATTTTATGTGTATTGCTTTTAATTTTAATTTTGCGTATTGTCTAGTCTAGACTATTGACTTAATGTGAAAGATTGTACTTAAAACTTTAAACTGACTTTTTATTTAAATTGGTTTACAATTCCTCATAAAATCACTTGAGATACTTTAAGAAAAACAACATCGAAATCAGTAAATAAAAATTAACGAGTACTGAAAACTCCCCTTGACTTTCCACGTTTTTCCCACATAGCGGATTCATTTTCGATCTAGGTCCGATGCACGCAGCATAACTGATTAAATGTGCTACATAATTTTGCTCAAAGACTCCTCGGACAAGGTGGGACCCAGGTCCTATCCCAAAAATAGCAACATCTTCGCCTCCATGTGTCTCATCATCCATCTCAAAAGTCGCCATTTGTTGATATTTGGGGTTATTGAGAAGGTTTCGATCCTGCCTTACATCACGCCAAGGACCCAAAATCGACGAATTATTGGGAGTATAGTGGTAAGCAAATCCGGGACCATTGGCGTAGGTTAAAGTGAGGGCTGGTTTGTCATCTTCTGTCTCGATTCCATATCCTGTAAAAGTGATTTGGGGAAAAGGAAAAAAAATCAAGTTTTTACCTAAGATGTCATTTCCTCGACGGCTATAACCGTTCAATGTCATGGCGTGCGAATGGTCGGCGGTTACCAGAATCAGAGTATCAGGTCCGCATTCTTCAACAATTAGAGAAACAGTTTTTTCAAATTCTGCTGCTTCTTCTAATGCTAGTCTTGCGTAATTATCGTGATGGCCATGATCGATACGACCACCTTCAACCATCAGGACATACCCATTTTTGCTTCTTTTCAAAATATCCAGACCCTTTTTAGTCATTTGAGACAAGCTGGGGGTGCCTTGGGGACTCTTGTTACGCAGTAATTCGTATGGGAGATGATCGTGGTAAAAAAGTCCTAGAAGGTAATCCACGTCACCAACATTTTCAAGTTGCTTATTATTTGTCACAAATGAAGCCTTAAGCCCTTTGTGGTTATCTATCCACGTTTGAGTAAGATTCAACTTATCATTTCTGACACATTCACCATCACTAAGATCTTCAAAAATGTAACCCATTTGCTGGTAACCTCCTCCTAATATGACCTTTAGAAATTTTTGTAGATATTATTTAAACATAAAACTGGAATTACAATATAAACCTTGAAGTTGTTACCAGGCGCGTCTTCAACAAGTTGTCTGGCTATATCTTTGACGAAAGGTTTAAACTCTTGAGGCATTTCACTATCACACTCCCATTCTCGAAAATGAACGTGAGCATAAGTTGAGGCGGGAGTAGCATGAGTAATTCTTGTGGTTGTAATAATTCCAGTGCTTTTATTAGACAGTTGGGCCCAAGTCATAATACCTTCGAGTTTGCTTGCTTCAAAGACTGTTCGATTTGCAATTGTTTTATGACAATTAACATCGACACCGACAGCTTCATATCGGGTTTTAACACCTGCGAATAAAAATAATTAGTAACAATTAAAAAAAAGATGAAAAACAGAAATTTATATAAAGTGATACCTGTAAAGAGAGCAGTGGCAGTTCCGGCAGAATCTGGCACTTGCATATCCACATTATAAGTCTAAAAGTTGTTAATGTTAAGTTACGAAAACCACATGCAAAAGCCGTTTTTGGTTAGTAAACTATTAAAAAAAACGTTAATTTAATGCTATTAAAACTTTACCTTAACTAAAGCAACATTGGGAAAGTTATCATAAGCAAGTGTGTGATCTTCACCACTTTTTCCACTTCTTTGGCCCTTGTAGATTCGTGTTGCTGTTATGGTATTAATCCCCATCCCATCTCCAATTAAAATAACAACGTTTTTAGCCACTCGTTTCGTACTTTCTTGGTCATATTTCAAGTTTTTTTCCAAATAGTGGTTACCAATATCGTACCAGAAATGTTTATCTTCACGAAGTAACTTGTTATCAGGAGTGGGATTTATATATTGAAACAGATCTAGAGGGACATTGGAAAAATACTCAAAGATGAAAAACTTACTTTCATTGTTCACCACTGCAGCCATCTGCAAAGAGACTAAAAGGCTCAAGATTGTAATTACTAGGAGAAACATTTTTTTAAAATTTAGGACGGGATTAAGTTTGATACTTTTTCTTGTAACTGCTCTAGTTACACATCTTGTTTTAGTTTAAATAACAATTTTTCATGTGATTCATGCATGGTAACAATTAACGACAAAATAATTAGATGATATTTAAACGGATTTGTTGAGCACACAATATGTTCTTAGAAGCTTTTATGTAGATTATTATTGACATAAAACTGTCTACTTTAATTTATATGTTTAAAGAATTCGTTAAAATTGTAATTTTTCGTGACCATGTTGCCTCAAGGACAATTGATACCATTAATTATTGTCCTTTTTTACGCTAACATAACAATTTGAGGTTTGTGGTGCAATATTGCGTGTAACAACCTAATAAAATACATAAAGGGTGTTTATTTCAATTTGGCTTCATAGTTGCCGGTGATATGAGTGTGTTGTGAGCGGAATGTCAGATTAATAACTTCACAATCGCAATCGTTCACAATCGCACTTTCATGGGCTTTGACGCCAAATTAAAAAAAAACCGTTACTTAGGGTGATACGGTCTGTTACGAGTACATGAGTTTGTTTCATTAAAATGGTTTTCAAATCTACAGACATCAGTAAATAAATAAGAAGTCATATTTGTTTGATAATTGCACACTTCTTTTTGACATCCTTGTTGGTGAAACGATTAAAGGAAGAAATGTTGTGGGAACATGGAAAAGTTTGTGTAGTTTTTTATTCTTATTTAATCTATGATCTATTTAAATAAGGTAATATTCTGGGATATGTTTTTTATTATTTTGTGATTACAGTGGTTATAGGCTGTGAATATATCTACTTTTAAAAGAATTATTTTCTAAGAGTTAAAAAATGGGTTACATCAGTTCAGGGTTTATGTTAGGTGGGGTTAAACGAGGGTACAACGTCAAGAGATTATCAGTGGTACTTTCAGTGGTTGTATATTCAGCACATGTTTCTTTCATTGCTGCAAAAAACTTAATTTCCAGTTTTTTAATGCTTGCATCAGCGGGACATCTTTTCCCCAGTTGCTCCAAACAACATTTTTCCATTAAATCCAGTCCGCTGTAATAAGTTTTAATTTTTTTAATAAAATTTAAATTAAATAAAATTTTAAATAACCAACCGGCAAAGAGTCTTCGTGTCTGTAGTCTCTAATGGATCACTTGTTAAACATTTGGCAATTTCCACTCTAGTCTCTGTATTATCCAAGTTTTCCATGCAATGTTCCGTAAATTTGCGAAATTTGGTAGCTAAAATTTCGACTAGAAATTTTGCTTTGAGTAAATTTATTACTAACAAAGAAGTTGGTCCTTGTTTTCGTAAAAGAAATCAGTCACGCTGTAAACTATTTCTATATTCGCATGTGGCCAGTCTTTCAACTCTTCTGGAAGACACTCTTCCAGTTGCGTGACGAGCTCTTCCACACAAACTTGCACATTATCTTTGAATTCCTGGAGAGGAGTAATTAAAATTGGTGCTTGCTCTGCCTTTACTTTCAAACATTCTGTCGCATTATCCGACAGATTCTAAAATAAGAAACTGAGTATTTTTTAAATTAATATAATATTTGTTACTATAAATTGTTGAAATCCTGCGTCTGTAGCGTTTGGATAACATTTCTCCTTGACTAACTTCAGAAACAATGCTTTAAAGATGGATGTTTGTAAACTAATATTGGTAGCAGGAATTGCACCTGGAATGGAAATGTTTTCAAAAATAATTATTGAGTTTGATTACTAACTACTTACAACATACTGCGATGTTTGCAAAAATCAATAAAGGAAGCTTCATCTTATTGTAAGCAGCGAAGAATATTAAGAATACTGGGCTGTTAACAACTAAAGTTGTTGGATTAGTTTCATCCTTAATTATTCTTTTGAAACGATCTAGCCTTCTTTCTATAAATAAATTGGAGAATTGTCGCTGCTTTATCAACATTGTTATTGTTTGTCGTCGTTAGGAAATGAATAATTTTCAAGAAAATGCAATTATTTAATAAGATAAAGTGAAAAATTGTGGTTTACTGTTTAGTGAAAAGAGCCGACAGTAAATTTTTAAATATTTAAAAACTCAAGTATTGCTTTGGACTTTATGTTACTTTTAAACAAAGTGTTTGGGAATTTGAATCCATCCTCTTTTATTTTTGTCAATATATTTTTTTATTCTTCGACACTGTCAAAATTTACGGTTTTTTTTCCCGTGTATAGAAGTTTTGACAACTGTATGGCATTTCTCAGTACGAAACGTCAAATTATTTTTAATAGATTTAAAGCAAGTTTAGCCCTGTTGAGTGACTTGAGTCTAATTCGAAGAATAAAATGTTGTATTTAACTCGTTTGAGTGTATCGCTTTATTCCACCTCGTGGATGATAAAGCACTCGTTACACTCGTGGTTTAAAAATCCACTCGGTCAAATAAAGCGTCCGATTTACACTAAAACTCGTCGAATAAATAACTATATTTATGTCAATACTTTTTCATTAATGACAAAAATTTTGAGTGAAATATGAAACAAAAAACAATCACAAACCTAAAAAAATATAAATAATGCATCCCAAAATAGAGTTTAATGGTGTCTACTGCAAAAATTACTTATTTCTTCCACTTTCTTAATACTAAATAGTTTCATTATCATTGGTGTTTTAAAATAAAACAAAAATATACAACAATTGGTTAGTAGATCCAAGGACAATTCTTTTTACTTGCAACATTGTCATTATAATGTTATTTTGCATTTTTAAATGATTATACTAATGTATCAAGAAATTCAATTAGTTTTTTGTACAACATTTCATATCTGTGCTTGCCATAGTAAAAATCTGTATGAGAAAATCCGTCAATTGCCATTTGATGTTCATAAACTTTAACCTTTTCAGGGAGTTTCTGATATAAGGCATCTATATCCTAAAACAGAATAAATCAGAAACCATATGACATCTGACTAGACATATGACTATAAATGCGTACACCAGCTTGAGTTAAATAATCATTTGTGCCATAAATTAAAAGAATAGGCACTGAAACGTTTTCTAACGCATATGGTGGAGGCGTTTCCGATCCATAAGTAACCAAATTGTTAGTATTTCCATAATCAAACATACGGACTTCTCCATAGTTGCTAATTTGATAAATGTGTTCATAATTTTTCAAAGAACTTGGAGCTCCAAAATGGTCAATCACCATATTGATAAAACTCTTAATATAACGAGTTAACAAATTAGAAATTGGAGTAAATCTTACTTACAGGATCTAATTCATCTTTGCTCCAGCCATAAAATAGAGATTCAAGGTAAACATATAATTTTTTAAAAGGGAAAATTTTGTTAAACAGTCTTATTGACCACAGCATCCATTCATCGTGTTCTGGAAAACTGTACCAATTAATTACGCGATTTAACCCACTTTTCTGAAATAATAAATTTCATTCAAAGCTAAAACAGAGTCTAAGACCAAGATATTTCATACAAGTATGAAATGGACATAGGGGAAAGTGATCCATTTATGCAAACTTTTTGTATATTTCAGGCTCCAAACCGGGGCCAAACCAATCAAAATTTGTACGTTTTCGGCGGCTTGTTCACATTTCATAGAGGCATAGACTAGACTAGAAGTAAAACCCATTGAATTTGCCAAAATAATTAGCTTGGAGCGATTTGTTGCCAATTTAATATGTTTTATAACAGCATCTAAATCATAATATCCGATTTCGTGAAACGTAAAATTCCAAAATTCTTCATCACTGGATGTTAGATTAATATGTTTTTTCGAATAAAAAGTGCCTCGACTGTTGGTCATCCAAACATCATAACCGGCGTTCCAGAACCAGAAGGCTATCGATTTATTATATTGAGACACCCAGCACGTGGCATCTTGTACAAAACCGTGTTGTAAAAGAATTACGCCTTTTGGATTAATTCGAGGAATCCGAAAAAGGCCCAAAATGTAACCATCTTCGGTCGTAACTTTGTGGTGTTCGAATACGCCTACATGATGTTTTATTATTTCAGGCTAAAAGGTCTAACCGGGTACCCAGTGGTTACAAAAATTGCATTACTTACGGCGCTTAAATGGTTATCAGGTATGTAAAAACAATCCGAGCTAAAATAGATATTGAAGTAGCTTTCGAAGTTTTTGCAAGCATTGTTTATCTGGGAGCTGGTAAGAGGGATAACAAATATGAAAATTTTCAGGAAAATAATCATAATTTTTGATGGAAGTGTGTTGAATTGTTAAAAACTAGTAAACGAGTAAATGCAGCGCAATATTGAAAATTTATTATTTATTTTAATTATCTTTTCCACTTGTTCAAATACCAGCAATTAAATGATACCTACTACAAGTAAAACTACTGCAAGAACTTTAATACACCGATTACATTTTATGTTTTATAATTATGGGTCTAAAATGTTGACTATTTTAAATTGCTTATTTTGTAGAACTAGTTTTGGAACAAAAAAAGGATAAAACGTTTCTGAATTTTGTTTCACAAATCATATTTTTCTACAATCAAGAAAGAAAAAAAAAGTTGTAGAAACGCGAGAAATAAATTTTCCAAAAATTTTTGAGCAGAGAAAATGTCGGTGGCATGGTGGTGTAGGGTCTGCTTTCCGACGGGTAGGTCCAAGGTTCGAACCCCAGAGTCAGCAATTTTTCTCTAATCCAAATTTAAATAAATGTCAAAAAATGGCGGGCGCATAAGAGCGCGAGCTTTAAAACATGTGCACATGTTCTAATAAGTAAAAGAGAAAGAGCATAAGAGCAAATAAGAGAGAAAAAGCGCACTAACGTATAAGAGCAAATAACAGAGCAAAGCATAAAAAAGAGAGTATAAGAGCATTAAAAACCAAAACAGCTTTTCGTTACCCTGAATTTTTTGATTTTTTTAGAAAAATTTAAATAAGTGTCAAAAGATGAATGTGGATTTTGGGTTGCATTTAAAATTAGTCAAGCTCGAAGTTTTATGTAAGTTGCTATGTATAAATATAATGAATATAATACTAGGAGTAATATAATTAAAGACGTCGTTTCACGTCATATTACCTCGCGGGAATATTTTTTAAAAGTAAAATTTAGCTGGTAAAATATATAATCTTTAATAATTGTAAAATATTTTTGCAGACGTTAAACATTATTTTACGTTTTATCATGAATAATGTCTCATAATAGTCATAAACAAAAAAATTCCTGTTTTTTGACCAGAAGCAAATTGAAATGAGGCATTTACGCGCCATAGTACGTTTTCGTTCTATCGGTAGAGTAGGGTTCTATGCTGTCACACTTGACGTTTGAAATGTGACGTGTAAATAACCAAATAACCTAAATTATCATCAAACCCAATAAAAGCAATTACTTTAGTTTTATTAAATTTGTGATTTGATAATTCACAATGGTTCTGATGACTATGATAGCTCGTGTGGCTGATGGCCTCCCGTTAGCGGCAACAATGCAAGAAGATGAACAGGTAAAACATACATTAAAAGCGATTTTCTCTTACCACAGGTCGGATTTTCCAGTTTGGTCATAGCATTTTAGACTACCAGAATCAAGCGAAAATGTTATTTCGAAAATTAGGCCCCCAATCACCTCCTAGATGTACGATAGAAACTGGACCATACTTGTTTCAGTATATTTAAAATAAAACAAAAATGATGTACCTATTATCCCGTTTTTTTTAGTTACTTGATTGAGTACGACGTTTGTTATTTAGTGCTATGCGAAAAAAATTATTCAAAACGCTTGGCGTACTCGTATTTAGAGGATATAGCTCAGGAGTTTCATGCACAATATGGAAAAAAAGTGAACACAGTCACTAGACCATATACGTTTATTGAATTCGACACCTACATCCAAAAAGCGAAGAAAGTTTTTACCGATTCAAGATCACGTCGTAATTTAAACACTATTAACAATCAGTTGCAAGATGTCCAACGAATTATGGTTCAAAATATTGATGATGTTCTACAGAGAGGAACAGTGTTATCTGGTATTTGACTTTTTTTCATTGAATAAGTAATATTTTCGCTTTGCAGAATTGGACACTAAAACTCAAAATCTTTCGATGTTGACGCAGAAATACAAGAAGGATGCAACTTATCTAAACACCAAGTCAATGTATGTGAAAGCAGCAGCTGGATGTATTGTTGTTTTCGTGTTCTTTTTATACTTTTGGGTTCTTTAGACTGAATAGTGGTATTTGTGTAATCACAGTTGTGTGATAATACTTTTCTTCTAGGGATTTAATTACATATGTGGTCTAGAATATGTATTTACTTCAATAAAAATGTTTATTTTTAATGGGCTTCCTTTCTATGACTATGGGTTTTTTTATTTGTAAGCTATTAATTTAATTTATTAAAGTTGCAAACTTTTTATGAAAGGCAAGTGAATTTTATTTCTTTACAAACTTTCCTATCATTTGCTAGTAGACTAAAGTTTCTAGATAACTACACTACTACACAAAGTTCGACGTATTTTCTTCTAGCTACTTTTAAACTAAAATTCTTTTCAAAATAACTTATGGTGATTTTTGATGTTATTTAGAGTTTACAGTATAAGAGTTTCCCACAGTGATCTTCATGACCTAAAATATTTTTGCTAATTTGTCCACATTTTGTATTCAGTGAATGCAAAATTTCTATAGAATAAACAACCTTGTATGTAACCTAAAGTTGAATGTTAATTTTGCAATATATCTTTAAACTTTTAAACGAAATTTAAAGCTCACATTCATTTTGCCTTGCCATACATCAAAAAACTAAATTAAAATTTAATGCGACTACCTAAATTAAACATTTATAACGGGACGCACCAAGCTAAAATGTCGGTTTATAGTAAAATAAAAAAATACTTAGGTGTGCTTGAGGCGGCAGTTAGTTTATCTTTGGTAATTATACTCATGCGACAAGACTTTTTTTAAACTTGAAAGTGTTAATTTAGAAAAAGAAATAATGTTGCGAAAACATTTATTTTGATTGTTTCCTTAGACTTTTTTTTATACAGTTCAGTATCCGAAAAGATTCTCATGTTCTCTGGTGGCTGAAACTGATTAAGGGATCTAAAATCCAAACAAAATAGTTCAAAACAAAATAGTTGTGGTTTTGTCAGAAACTGTAGGTATCACAGTTGTTAGTTATTTAAAAAAATGCAATTTTTTGACCAGATGCTTGTTAACGTAACTTCCGACAGAACTGCCTTGACTGGTTTGCATAAAAGACGACCTTCAAGAAGGTTTTAACAGTTACCTGTCTTTCTGGGAATTGTTTACAGTTTTTATAAGCGACACATCTGTGGTGTCCTGTTCGAATATTATCCCCGTTATAAAATTTGTAAAATTATAGATTTTAAAACTCATTCAAGGCGTGTTCTTCTGTTCAATAAAATTATATCTTGGTTTTAAAACATGATTTGATTGTATGAATGTGCCCTAAACCAAGCGGTTTTATTTTTAATCATTTGCGTCCAGAAAATATAATAATTAATATAAATAGAGTAATATAAAAAATGAGATCGTATTTTCAGAACGAAATTTTGTTTTGTTTTTGAGTGATTTTTTTGTCAAAATTGCAATTTATGTGAAAAAAAATTTTTGAAAAAATTAAATATAAAGCAGATAGTTGTAATCCTTAGGGTATAGCTTTTATGAGAAAATGATATTATAGTGGGTTGCCATTTAAAAAAATATTTTTTTTTGTAGAACTCAAAAACAAAAGGTAATTTCGAAAAAATTTATTCTTGTTAAATCATCACATTTTTATAGTACTTTATTCTTCGACACTGACAAAATTTACGGTTTTTCTCCCGTGTAAGGAAGTTTTGACAACTGTTTGGCATTTCTCAATACAAAACGTCAAATTATTTTTAACAGATTTAAAGCAAGTTTAAGCCTTGTTGACTCTAATTCGAAGAATAAAATGTTGTATTCCACTCGTTTGAGTGTAAATCGGACGCTTTATTCCACCTCGTATATGGTAAACCACTCGTTACACTCGTGGTTTAAAAATCCACTCAGTCAAATAAAGAATCCGATTTACACTCAAACTCGTCGAATAAATAACTATTATCACTCATCAATTAGTTTTTTCAAAAAATAAATGGTTTAAGCAAAAAACGTTTGGTTCCATACTTTTTATTCAACTGGTATGTATAATTTGTAACAGTCCTTGGATCCAAGAACATTTCTGTTTCAGTCTTTTAACAAGAATTTCGCTTATTTTATTTATACATATTATATTTTTGAAGACAAACTTGATCATTTGGCGTCAGCTAATATAAATGGATTGATAGATTGTGTCGATACCCAGCTAGATGTTTCTACAGACCACATAGGCACTAGTAGTTCTGTCTTGCTAGGAAACTTTCTTTCCCGAATTTTCTCGTTTGAAAAACAAGTTTTGAAGCCTGTTTTAGCGCAGTTACTGGAGAAATTTCCAGAACTAGTGCTGCAATACTCAGTCAAATTAATTACGTTGTTCAAGTTGACGCTAGTAAAATGCAGTATTATGAATCGATAATAACCACTTGCGGAGTTAAGTTCACTTCTATTGCTGTTGGTCAAGGGAAATCCTACGTTGATAATTCTTAAGGTTTAAAACTTTTTTAATCAAATTTAAATATTATTTTTTATTTAAAATACTATTATCATTGAGGGTACATTTAGAAATTTTATACTTAAGTATGTGCTCGTAAATATGACCTAATTTTAATTATTAAAAAATGAGATAAACATATTGTTGCAATGCAATATCTTTTATCTTTGATTGTTAAGTACTGACACAAACAAGATTATTAAAAATGTATATTGTTTCATGTTTAATTTTGATTTACAAAAATTACAAATCAGATTAAGTATTTTGTTTTTCAAGAAAAAGATAGAAATCACTATTAAAAAAAATCGATTGAAATGTTGAACAAAATCGGTTTTTTAAATTTGCTAATTTATATATGAGTAATTCGTAACAGTTCCTAGATCCAAGAGCATTTTTGTTTCTGTCTTTTAATTTAGCTAATGTTTTAAGAAGAATTTTGCTTATTTTTGGTGCCAAAAATGGAAAACAGATGGTTCATGTCATTTTTTATCTTTTTTATGGCTGATTTTTTTTAAAGAAAATCACGTATTTTAAATGATTGTATTAAATTTATGAAAAGAAGCAGAAATGCATAATCTCAATATGTGGTTTTGCTTTGTTTGTTTTTTTTTTAATTAAAATTATTCGAATTCTGGGCAATTAACCCGGCGCATCCACCATTTCGTATTGATAATTTGAAATAATAAAAGGATTTTATCATTGGTGCAAGTTATTGTGGTTTAAAGGAGGTACAGGGAATAACGGCTTTTTACGCAAAAGTTAAAATTTAAAAATGTTGAAACATGTGTCGGGCATTATAATCCATCTTGATTGCGTTATTCCAATTTTCAAATTAGTTCAAGGGAGGTACAGGGAATAACGTCCTCTTGCAAAAAAGTTAAAAATTATATTGGTTAAAAATATTGAAACATATTTCGGGCACTATCTAGTCCCATCTTCATTTTAAATAATGTAAAAGTAATAACAATGTGTCGTAGAAAATATACAAACTTACCTAGGCTGTTAATAACAATCGTTATAAACTTATGTTTATAACAACAGTCTAGGTAAGTTTGTATATTTTCTACGACACATTGTTAATATTTTTACATTATTTAGACTGAAGATGGGACTACATGATAATTGACAATTCTGTTTTTATCAAAAAAAAGCTTGATACAAAAATCTGAATTCATTTTTATGCTTAGTTGAAAGTCTTCTATCACTATTCGAGAGTTGGTTCGACATTTTTGAATCACCCTCTATGTAGGTATAAATAAAAACATAGTTGCTACTATTAAGAAAAGATTCTGTGCGATGATTGATAAGTTTTATTAACTAAACCTAAAAATAACAAAAAAGGTGTAGTTTGTTTTTATTTATTTATTGCAAAATATTTACAAGATTTGGTATTAACTTACACTTTATTTTATCTAAGCTGCTTTTAACAACGCTCATAAAATGTTGTACATCTTGTTGTGAAATGTTCGAATTTTTGACGTAGTCGCCGTTTCTACAGTCAATTTGGTCGTACTGAATACAGTACGGAACCTCACCATTACCGAAAAATTTTAAATCACACACATTTCTTCTCACTTTATTGTCAAGCATAAATTTTTCCATTATTTGCCAACACTTACAATTCCAGGGATTTCCATATAAAATCACTACATGGTGACGAAAGTTGTTTTCTTCTATTACTAAATGTGTCAATTTGTTAAAAGCGAGTGATATTTGCAGAGGTGGATGCCTTTCGGGAATATTGAACTTCTGAATATTCGAGGATATGCAAGTTGATTGTGACTCAGATCTAGAATTCGTAGTTGAGTAAGGTTGTTGAAATCTTGACTAATGAAAACCACTATCCTGTTGTGGGAAACATCAATAAATTTGAGCTCTTCGAGGTTTTTGATGAACCCTAAAGACGCTAATTGGTTGTGGCTGAATGTTAGTTCTTGTAGATTCTCCAGATTGTCGAAAACATCAACATTTAACACTTTTATATTGTTGTAATCTAAATTAAGGATTTTTAAACTGCTTGGGAAACATCCGGATTGAATTGCTTCAAGTTTATTATGTCTAATAACCATTTCTATGGTGGAATTGTAAAAGTAGTCTTCCGAAAACAAGTCTTTTTCAATTAACTCCAACTTATTGTGTGATAAATCTATAGTTTTTATTCTGCAGTTATAGAATGCTCCTTTATGAATATATTCAATGTTGTTGTTTACTAAACTCAACTTTGTCAACTTCATTGAGTCAAAAGTAGAGGATCTTATTCGTTTAATATCATTTCCATACAATTGCAAATAATTCATCCGGTGGAAATACGGATCAAGGGTAAAAGTAAACGACTTGATGTTTCGAATTTGACCGATCATAATGAAAGTAACTAACTTTTCCAACCTGGCCAATGAAAGTGAATCATAATCGATTGTTCTAAGTTGAGAGTCATCATATGACTCTGTTCCTACCACAAGTTCAGTCCAATTTTTGACGTCGTAATTCTCAAGGTCACTTAAATTATCACAGAACGTCATATAAGAGTGTCGACACGTCGAATCGGTCTCAGTATAAAACAGCCCGATTGAAAAAAATCATATTGAGGACATGCATGTTAATTCGATGAAAACAAACGCAAACTAATTTGTGCCCGGTTTGCTGCTTGCAAAAAATTGTAGGACTGGTTTTTCCACATGTTTGACCCTGCATCAGGCTTTAATTACTTATAGTCAACATTCATTCAATATGATTTTATTAACAACAAATAGATTTATTTAGTGTGAGAATTTATTTCGATTTTCGATTAACAAATTATGCATAAACTCACCCACAAGCAATTTAACTATTAGTTTAGTTTTATTACTTTAAAGTATTTAGAAATATGTGTATTTCTTACTACAGAAGTACAGTCAAAACAAAAAAGAATTTGTCATGCTTTACATCTCTGTTTAAAAAAAGTTGTGTCTTTAGTATAATCGTATAATCACATCAACACACTGCAGTGACATTTGATTGTATTTTACAATTTAAATAACAATAAATAAAACTGCACGAATATTTTGGTGTACATACACTCCACATTTCTAAATTATTATCATAGATACAAGTTTCGAAGATTTGAACATACACAGATTTCGAATTGTTTAATTTGATTGAGCTCGTTGTATCCAATTAAAAGCATCGATATGAACATCGTCTGGTGTAAATTGTATCATGATTACCAAATAAGATCCAATCCATGCACATATCTGAAATCAAAAGTTTTATATATAAACAAGCCTATACAGGTTATTAGTGACAATGCCAAACTTTTCATACTAACAAAAAACAAATTAATAATGAAACTATGTGATTTTACTTAAATTTACAAACATTTTTATTATGTTGAAAAAAAAAACTATTCACTTTATAACTGTTCGCTAATAACCCTGAATATTCTTTTTGGCTTACGCTTAATAGTGCTGATGGAGTTACTGTAAACATTCCAAATACTTGTACATCAAGTGTAATGTTGTGTGTTAGTAAATAAAGTTCCATAATCTAACATAAAATGAACAATAGTTTTAATTTTCATAATAGTAGCACTCACCTCGTTACTGTGATTTGGTAATAAAGATCGAAAAAACATTACTTTTGGAGCGATATTACTTATTTCTGCAACCTTCAAAAAGCAGGAAGCAGTTAAGGACACGTAACACAAAACTCACCTTTAGATGAATTTGATAATGGGCCAAAACAACCGACACACTTTCAACAACATGCAAGCACACAGTATTAATCAGTATAAGGTATTGGAAAAAATGAAATTTGCCTTTAGCTACGAGAAACAAATTGTTTGTTATTGTAAAAAATGTTAAAATGAATAAAATACAGATTTGCATTGAAAATTGAGATATCATCGAATTGCTGATATTTATAATGCCAGTCAGCATTTTAGCAATGTTTTGTAAAGTTGTGAGGTCGCTCCTAGGATATCTATCATGTTTCAAGTTTATTTTGAAACACTGTTTTAAATACGAGTACCGAACGTAGAGAAAATATAGAGACATTGTAATAAAAAAAGAAGAAAAATAATTTATCGTGATCGGGACGTAAACAGATAACCAAATGACAAAAGAGATATTTTGATTTAAGAAGACAGTGATAATACAGTCTACTAAAGCAACATACAAGAACAAAACAACCGACAAAAATAAAGTCAAATAAAAGACTCGATTGATCTTTTTGTAATTGATTTGGTACCCAAACTTGTACAAACAGTCATCCAACGTTGCTAGTCTGTTTAAACAATTCAGATATTTTCTCGAAAACAACCAATTTGCAGTTAAATTTGCCAGAAATGTGAAGATGTAACTGGTTATTTGTAAATGCATCACAATTGAATTCATCGAATTTAATTTCTTCTGAGCAGAATCGTCGATAAATCGGTAATAAAGAATTAGGACATACATTGCTACTAAAGTCACATTATAAAATAAAAGAAACTTATTCGACGTTTTGGAGGTTTTAGCCGAATTAAACGCAAATATTTTTGCCCAAGTTAAAAACGGTTGGTGAATAGTCTTCATTTTGAAAACTGTAGATAACTACTAAAATGTTATTACTGAACTTTACAACTAAGAAATTATGTGAAAGTTTAGAAGTTAAGTTATTGGAGGAAATTATTTATTGTGAAATAAAATAATGGGGTTTGGGGAAGGTAATTCATATTAAAAATACTCTCTCTACGTAATAACTGCTTATGAAATTGCTATTTTGTCAGTGTTGTATTTAATTGTTTAACAGCCTAAAAATTATGGCATTAACTGTTAATTAAAGACGCCAACAGGGTCAAATGACGTACGAGTATTTCCTCTTCTCCCGACAGTCCATACCTATTTGTGGAAAAACCAGTTTCATAATTTTTCAGTAGTAACAGTTTGAAGCCAAAAAGTGGTTCAGTTTGTGAATTTCTTTCGCTGAAACAACATGCAGCACTTGATCATCAAGGCGATCACCTTGTTTTTAATCGTGCTGCTCTGTTTTGAGACTGATGCGGCGTGTCGAGACTCTTATATGACTTTCTGTGATGATTTGAGCGACCTTGACAACTACAACATTGAAGATTGGAGAGAACTTGTGGTCGGAAAAGAGTCAGGTGATGAGTCCCAACTTCGGACAATCCAATTTGGCTCATTCCCTTTAAACAAGATGGAAAGATTGGTTACTTTGATTATAATCCGTCAAATTAAGGAGATTAAGATGTTTACATTTACGCTAAATCGGTTTTATCATCGCTTGAACTATTTAGAACTATTCGGAAACGACATAAAGCGACTAAAATTTACTACTTTTGATACTATGACGTTAACAAAGTTGAGTTTGGTGAACAATAGTATTGAGCATGTTCAGAAAGGAGTGTTTTATAACTGCCACATAAAAACTATAGATTTATCACATAACAAATTAGAAATGATTGAAAAAGACGTGTTTACAGAGAAAAACTTGTATAATTCTACCAAAGAACTGATAATCCGGCATAACCAGATCGAGTCAATCGAATCCGGCTGTTTCCCAAGCAGTTTAGAAATCCTTAATTTGGATCACAACAATATAAATGTGTTAAATGCACCACTCTTCGAGAATTTAGATAATCTACGAGAACTGACACTCAGCCACAACAACTTAAAATCAATAGGATTCACTATAATTCTCACAAAACTTAAATGGCTTGACGTTTCCCGTAACAAGATTGTTGTTGTCTACAGTCAACATTTGAACAATCTTACTAATCTAGAAGTTTTGGATTTGGGCCATAATCAAATTGCTTCTCCTCAAGTCTTCCAGAGGTTCAATTTTCCACAAGGGACGGTACAAATATCACTCGCTTTTAATAAATTGACACATTTAGTCATAGAAGAAAACAATTTTCGCGATCATATAGTGTTTTTATACGGAAACCCTTGGAACTGTAAGTGTTGGCAAATGTTGGAACAATTTATGCTTGACAATAAAGTGAAAAGAAATGCGTGTGATTTGAAGTTTTTCGGTAATGGTGAGATTCCGTACTGTCTTGAATACGACCAAAGTGACTGTAGAAGTGGTAACTTCGTCAAAAATTCGAATATTTCTCAATATGATATACAAAATTTTATTAATGTTGTTAAAGGCAGCTTAGATAAAGTAAAGTGCAGGTTGGCACCTAGATTATGGCAGACTTAACAATAGTTTGAAGCTTTCACTTAATAATTTTTTTAAGAATTGAAGATGGCAAAATGTTTAATAGCGTGTTTTTGAATATTTCCCCAACCTGTTGCTTTTTGTATAGCAGTATATTTGTGATTATTAATTATACACTTGATTTATGAATTGTCCATGAAATGTGTAGACAAGTATTTTTGAATAAAATGTTATCGTTGAAACCGATAAAGAGTTTGTTATTTTATAACAAGAAAATGTGATTTCTGGCTATTTAATAGTTAATATAATTACTTACTTGAGTAAAAAGGGAGATACTAAAGATGAGATCGAGTAGAAAATTTTTGTTTACATTTTGTTATTAGTGTAGGTAAACAAGAAACAAGATTAATAAAATATTTCTAATTGTGATTTATCAATGTAGAGCTATCTAGTGTATTGACGATGCAAATGCTGCATTAAATGCTTTAAGACAAAGTCTGAACTATGGTCTCAGTGAGACTTTTAATGCCTACACAGTTATGGGACAAGAAGTAGATTCTAAAAAAATTCAAGTCTCAAGATCCAACGCTTCTGAAATAATTTCTTCAACGAGTAATGATTATTTCGCACAATATCAAGAAATTAAAAAGTCTGCTGAAGATTCTGGTCGTAATATCAACCATTGTGTTGAAATTATTGATGATTTTATATATCATTTGGAAGTTACTGTCAATATTTTAATAGGAAGTATTCTTGGCATTATTTTTACATTCGAGCAACAAGTTCAGGGACGAAGGAAGCTACTAGAGAAATTTCTAGTACCAACGCTGCTATTGCTACCCAGATTAATTACGGTCTTCAGCTTGAAGCTAGGAGTACAACTTATATGCAGAATTAGAATTAGAATTAATTAAAAGTTATCAGTTAACACTTGCGGAGTAAAATTTTCTTCAGTTGCTGAAGGAAAATCTTATGTAAGTGGTTTTCAAGATTGTGTTGTAAAGATCTAAATGTTAGTCTAAAGTAGTTTCTGAAAAATATACAAATATACGTAATTGAAATATGTTTTTTTATCTTTTCTAATAACTATGTCATTTATCAAGATTTTTTCTACAATTTGATAGTTTTTTTTATTAAGCAATGAGAGAATAGTTATTTGTATCACACGGCCAGAAACTGTCATTTTCGCTTTTTATGGGCCTAGGCGTCAGCCCAAGGACCTATAAGTACAAACACTGTAAAACAGTTTTTCTATTTCGGTGTTAGAATAAGTCTATTCCAGCACCCAAATGACGTCATTTGCATGCTGGAATAAGTCGTTGGCGGTAATTTAATTTTAGTGACGGACTTTCTTCACAAATCTTTCTCAAATGTGAAAATAAGAATAATTTTTATTTTTTACAGCCGCCTAAAATTATTCCACACATAAATGTTGCCAAACGTCGCAAAATTCTCTAGAAAAAAAAAATAATTTTCGTTTTTTAATTTATAAAATGAATTAAAGCGGTGAAATAGAAAAAATAGTATAAAGCACTTGTTGCAGAAGGTTCTTCAAGCACTCATTTGTTCCTCAACTCGCCGCTTCGTGGCTCGTTTCGGAATTTCAAGTTTGTGCTTTCTTGCCTCCTGCAACTTGTACTTTAATATACTATTGTGGCCGTGTGACACACTATTTTTTGGTCCCACCAATTTTAAATTGTCTAAAAAGTGTAAAAAAAAATCTACAGTTGGCTTCAAATTATTAAATTAACTCCAAATTAAAAAAAATATATATTAAATATTTGCTATAAGACCACTAGTCATTTAAAAAATGAAAACCAGAGATCTTAGCGGATAACCAATGTTGTCAATATTTGGTACATACATACATTAATGGGGCTGTTCCCAAACCATTTTGAAGAATGCAATATCAACGTTTTTGGATAGAAGACCCAAACATGTTTTTCTAAATTTTACAAAAAATATTTTGAATTTTGTTTTACTCCAGTTTTAGTACATGACCATTCAGTTTTAAATTTGACAACTTTTTTGAAACTATAACTGTAGTAGTACTAAAATTGAAATACTTACTAGGGAATGCATTTTTTATCAAATGAAAAATTAGATATTTTATAGATAAAGCTTAATTTTTGTAACCACTCATGATTGAGGACTTTATTTATTTAAAAATTATGAAGTTAATGAAAGATTAAAAAATATACTCTACTTAATGACATCATAAGAGAAAATTGAATATTTAAAAAATAGGCGTAACAGTTTTGACGGTGTTGAATACTCCTATTTTTTATACCTTTACTTTGTGACTTACGTGTTGTAACTCCTAAAAATTCACTTGGGATTTTAAAACAGAGTGTAAACATGAATTATAGATAACTCTTATCATTGAAAATGATAACACACTTATCGTAGTATAAAAGAAAATTTGATTTTTATTATTTCACATTTTAAATATATTTTGTTGTAAGTGAAGAAACCTAATTACTTCTTTTGTAAAATGTCACTGAGTCCGAAATTTTTCTTTTGTGTTTTTCTGGTGGTGCAAGTAAGTTTTTAAACAAACAACAACTGTAGTATTAATGTTTATTAATGTAGAGCTACAACCCCACTGGGGTACTATCCAGTGCTATTGATGATGCGAATGCTGCATTAAATGATTTGAGAGAAAATGTAAACAATGGTCTCAATGATGCTCTTAAAACCGGATACACAGTTATGGCCCAAAAAATAGATTCTACGATCGAAGTTACAAGAACCAACGGTTCTGAAGTAATTTCCTCATCAAGTGATAATTATCTTGCACGATATGAAGAAATAAAAAAATCTGCTGAAGACTCTGGTGTCGATGTTAGCAAATGTGTTGAAATTTTTGAAGCTAAACTTAAGAATTTGGCGTCAGTTAATATAAAGGGATTGATAGATTGTGTTGATACCCAGACAGATGCCTCTATAGACCACATAGGCTCTAGTAGTTCTATCTTGTTAGGAAACTTTCTTTCCCGAGTTTTTTCATTTGAAAAACAAGTTTTAAAGTGTAAAGACGACGCCTGTCTTAGTGCAGTTACTGGAGAAATTTCCAGAACCAGTGCTGCAATACTTAGTAAAATTAATTACGCTGTTGAAGTTGACGCTAGCAAAATGCAGTATTATCATTCTATAATTACCACTTGCGGAGTCAAATTCACTTCTGTTGCTGATGGTCAAGGAAAATCCTACGTTAATGGTTTTCAAGAATGTGTTAATTCGTTATTTCATATATAATTAAACTTTTTATCATAAAATCGTAATTACTAAATTATGCATATCATAAATTAAAACTCGTTTTTTTTTTTTTAACACCAAACTAAACTTTTTTTAACAGGATTGAAAATTAACTGGTGGAGAACTTATAGGAATTAAAACAAGTTGTCCACCAGTAAAATTTTCAACCTTGTTACTTAGATCTGAGGACGTTATTTTCACAGTATTATCAAACTTTTTTTAAATTTCTAACACGACATGTGTTTCAACCACACACAAGGCGAGTGGCCTTATAATATAAGATATGCCATAAGAAGAGTTTCTACGCTCACTTTCTGACCAAGGACCTGGTACAAAATTGATAATTTTTAAAGTTAAAAACTTTTTACATCAAATTTAAATTATTATTGATATTATTATCATTGAGGGTATATTTGGAAATTTTTTACTTATCTACTAGTAAATATGATCCAATTTTACTTATTAAAAATGAAATAAACATATTAGTGCAATGCAATATCTTTTTGTATAAAAAAATCTTTGATGTTAAGTACTGGCACAAACAAGAAGCAAGAACGGCTGTAAAACGTGATAATTTTTAAAGTTTAAAAGTTTTTAAATCAAATTTAAATTATTAATTATGTACTCGTAAATATGACCTAATTTTAATTATTAAAAAATCAGATAAACATATTGGTGCAATGCAATATCATTTTATCGACAAAAAATCTTTGATTGTTAAGTACTGGCACAAACAAGATTATTAAATGTTTATATTGTTTTATGTTTAATTTTAGTTTACAAAAATTACTAGTATTTTGTTTCTCAAGAAAAAGATAAAAATCAGTATTAAAAAAATCGATAATGCAATGTTTACTAAAACTGGCTATATAAAAGGCACCCAACATGTTCTGACCTACAAGTTGTTTTTGAGGTAGCTGACAAAATGTTTATCAACGTGCTAAAACTTTTCTTCGTTGCTTCATTTGTTCTTCAGGTAATTATCATTCGTTTTGATTTTAGTTAATTTTATTTCCTTAAGGATTGCAAGGCCGATCTTGTTGATGATGCAGAAGCAGCACTAAATGATTTAAGAAAGAAACTAGCGATAATCTAAATGGTGGCTTTCTGGAACACATCAAAATGTCAGTGGAAGTAGACACAGTCTCCCTCGCCACTAAAGAAAACGCTTTGAACAAAATTGAAGACAAATTCCAAAGTAAAAAAATAGTTAAAAAACTTGTCAATGACGTGATAACTTCCGTCAATGAACAAGCGGAAAAAGCTGTAAATCTCAATTACACCAAAAGCTCTGGTTTAACCGATACAGTTCTCAGAACCATTTATGATGAAGAAAAAAAAAATATTGTTTGTGGGCAAGCCGATGATGCTTGTCTCAATGGTATTATTTCAAATATTAAAGAAAAGACGGCCGCAGTACCCGATGTTGTGAACGAAGAAATCGAAGTTGACCGTAAAGCAGTCGAAGAACAAATCCTTGCTATTAAAGCGTGCGCTACGACAATTGAAAATGCGTCAGATACGCTTTGTTGCCCACTATTTTGTAAAAAAAAATTGGGTGCTTCAAATTTTAAGTTATTTTATTCAATGCTACTACAGTGTAAAACAGATTTTGCTACAAAACATTCTGCGCCACCGAGTTTTATTACTCTGTTGAGAGATTCTGGTATAGGAGACACCATTTTTTCTACATTTAAAAAACTATTTTTTATTTTTTTAAATAAATTTTCATGGTCTATTCAATGTGAACAACACTGAAAAAATATTTTGTAGCGCTCACATGACAGTTTTATGATCATGAACAAATATTAAGTACGTTTTACGTTGTTTCTTATTTTTATATAAATATTAGTATAATTTGCACTGCATACGCAACAGAACAAAAAACTAGACTTGGTAACCTCGGTTATAAATTAATCAGGTACCTGAATAATAGGTTAAAATAAAACTATGCCTAGTACTAGTTTATACGTATGTACCCAGTGAACACCCGGGTCTTCTCTCTGAAATACTGTGACATACAAATAAGCCAGTAGCACTCCTCCCTGTTCTATAAACTAGTGTTAGTTTTATTTTAATCTAGTTAAATGCAGCAATATTTTATCGGCTAAACGGGTACGTAGCAATTACTTAAAAAAAAATTAAGGCCATCTATTATAATTTATTAGGTGTCTGAGATATCAGAGAATGATGATTTCAAAAAAATATACTCGTATAATTACCGGAAAGGAGTCAATAATGATATTTCTTAGTATTATGGGATTTCTTATATACTCATTATCGTTATGTGTTACTTATTTGCAAGAGAAACCTATTGCCCGAAAGAACTTTTCTTTAATTTTTGTTGATTGTCTTGCGTTCTTTTATTATTCAGCCTATTTAATTGTAATGGCTTTGTTTTTCAAGGAAAATTATGGCAAAATATCTGGAACATTTCCATTAATAATATCTCTGTTAGTGTTTTTTGTATTGGAAATTTTTGGTTTTAATTCTGTCGAATATCTTCTTCAACATTTAGTTCATATGACTATAGCTAGTCTAGTACTAGGAAATCTACTTGCACTGTGGTGTTACGTTCGCAGTTTGAGCTTACCTCTCAATAAAATAAATCCCAAAACGATTGGAAAAGATGCAATTTATTGTTATCTTATGGGCAGAGAAGTAAGACCACGACTTTTTGGCTATCTTGAATTGAAGATGTATGTCAATAGAGTTTGTGTAGTTTCTGCGGTAAGTTTTTTTTTTCTACTCTCACATCTAAAACACGGATTATCGTATACGTTTCCACGACGCTAAGTGACTTTTTACATACATCTTGACAAGCCGGGACTAATATGCGTATTAGTTACGTTGCTAATAGCAACTGTCGTATTAGTCACAGGATGAAGTTAGCTTTCAGTCAGTTGTTACAAATTCCAAATTTAATTAATTTTTTTGCTGTTGTGCTGGAAGCAAGGGTATAGTATGTAACACGTGTATAAACTTCTTTAACTTGTGGCGATTATAGCATTAGTTACATAATATACGAATTAAATTACTTTATTTTGTAGGTTTTGTTGGATTGTGTCTTTTTGTATCGAGAATTTGTACGAAGTTGGACATTACAATCATATGTCGTGAATAAAAGTTTTATTATTATCGAAGTAATCCATATTATATATTGCTTAGATGGCGTAATTGCAGAATACACATTTGAATATACTTTAGAAATACAAAAAGAAGGGTTTGGATACATTTGTTCAGTTGGCTATTTCATATATCCGTTTTTGATAACCACTGTTCCTTATCATTTTCTTCTGACCAAAACTGAGCTTGCCTCTTGGAAACTAACGATGATAGTATTTTTATTTATCGTTGGTTATCTACTGTACAGAATCGCCAATAATCAAAAATACAATTTTAAAGTAAATGTATTGAAACCGGGTAAGAGACATATATATATATACATATATATATATATATATAACTTTACACAATATCCGAAGAAACTTTGTAGGTGTGAAATTTATTCCGACACAAATAAAAAATAGAAAATTGCTGTGTTCCGGACTCTGGGGATTCGTTCGACATCCTAATTATCTTGGAGATATTCTGATGTGTATTTCTTTTACAGGATTAACAATAACTGCGCCTGCTATAATGCTTTTAATGCAAATACCTTTCTTGATTCATCGTTCCATCAGAGACAATAAACTTTGCAAAGAAAAATATGGCAACGCGTGGGAAAAATACACAGAAAAAGTTAAATATATTTTCATTCCTCGAATCTATTAATGAACATTGTTGCATAAAATAAGCCATTATTGTATTGCAATCATGGTTATTGTTTTCTTTTGTATTATTTACAAATTTAGGATTTGTTGTTGTCTTTTGTACATTTATTAATCAGAGAGGGCAATTTTATGTAATATATTCAGACACAAATAAACAGGGAGCAGTAAAAAAATCTACAGAATTATTTTTTTCAACATCTACACCTCTTATTCCTACGTTTCTGCAATAACAAATTAACTTCAAAAAATGTTTGTTTATTTTTAAAAATAATAATTTCCAACCAATTGCATTTTCAGTTTTGTTTTAAATAATAATTTATTGTTTTTTTAAAGTAATTTTTAAGAATATACGTCAACACAACAATTGGTATATTTAACTAATCAGAATCAAAACAGCTAATCTTTTAATGTAAAATTGTTCACTGGCAAGTTAATCAATTGCAACACGACCATAAATTTATTTGTAGTATTCTCTAATAATATCAAAAATTAAAAACGTAAGTACAACAATTTGATATAATAATAATAATTATTATTATTGATAGGATTTGGTTAAGCTATGGCTTAATTTTGTTAATTAAAACGTTAGATTAACCTCACATAACAAATAGATTAAGAAGCATTTAAATGATTTTCTCAGCTAATATAAATTGTCTTAAGAAAACAAGTATAGTCAGTAATTGAGAAGAGACAAAACAAAATGAAGTTTTTTTTCCATATTGTATTCTTTGCGTTACCACTTTAGGTTTGAACAATCAAAAAATTTATCAAATTGGCTAAAAATTTAAAAAGGGAAGATTTTACAACAAGTTGAAAATTGTGTATTTTTTGAAAAGAAAATTGACCTGTTCGAGCTTTTTGGCCACCCAAAATATTTTCAGTTTTAATAAGATTATTCCATAACTTTGCCGCTTACTGTAGTATACAGGGTGCGCCAGAACTCGCGCCCCAGAGAAAATTTTCAAGTAAGGTAAGATACCAGGAACATGAAAAAAATGTTTAAAAAATTCTATCTGTAAAATTTTTTTGACATTTGACATTTTTTTATATCTATTTAATGATACTGATGATCTTCTATATGTTTTTTTACAATTATTTAGTAAAGGGACAAAAATTTTGCCAATAAAAGCCACAAATAACATTGAACAAAGTTACAATTTAAGATACAGCTCCCTTGTTTCCTCTTTTAATATCTTATAGCAAAAAAACTTGGAAAATCATTTTTCCAACAGAAATAAATATTGTCAAAGTGCAAAATTTAAACTCTCATAACTTCGAAATTTTTTTAGATAGAATTTTTTTAACATTTTTTCCATGTTCCTGATATCTTACCTTATATGGCATTTTTCTCTGGGGCGCGAGTTCTGACGCATTCTGTATGTATATTTGTATATTGGAGTATAAAATACATTATAGGGCTGCGTTTTTTGTTTTTTTTGTTTTTTTTTAAGAAAATTGTGTATTTTAGATGATTGTATTAAATTTATGAAAAGAAACACAAATGCATAATCTTAATATGCTCTTTTAATTTGTTTGTTACTTATAAATTTTTTATTAATTTTTTTTGAGTTCTGGGTATTAACCCGGTGCATCCACCATTTTTTATTGCTAATTTAAAAATTGAAATAACACACTTAATAAGCAGAAAGCATTATATTTGTACATATGTTGGTATAAATAAAAACGTAGTTCCTGCTATTAAGAAAAGATTCCATGCGATAATTAATAAGTTTTATGAACTAAACCTAGAGATAACAAATGTGAAGTTTTTGTTTATGTATTGCAAAATCTACAATATTCTAGGTGTTAACCTACACTTTATTTTATCTAAGCTGCTTTTAACAACGCTCATAAAATGTTGTACATCTTGTTGTGAAATGTTCGAATTTTTGACGTAGTCACCGTTTCTACAGTCAATTTGGTCGTACTGAATACAGTACGGAACCTCACCATTACCGAAAAATTTTAAATCACACACATTTCTTTTCACTTTATTGTCAAGCATAAATTTTTCCATCATTTGCCAACACTTACAGTTCCAGGGATTTCCATATAAAAACACTACATGGTGACGAAAGTTGTTTTCTTCTATTACTAAATGTGTCAATTTGTTAAAAGCGAGTGATATTTGCAGAGGTGGATGCCTTTCGGGAATATTAAACTTCTGGAATATTTGAGGATATGCAAGTTGATTGTGACTCAGATCTAGAACTTGTAGTTGACTAAGGTTGTTGAAATGTTGACTAGTGAAAACCACAATCTTATTATGGGAAACATCAATATATTTGAGCTCTTCGAGATTTTTGATGAATCCTAATGATGTTAATTGGTTGTGGCTGAGTGTTAGTTCTTGTAGATTATCCAGATTGTCGAAAACATCAGCATTTAACACTTTTATATTGTTGTAATCTAAATTAAGTATTTCTAAGCTGCTAGGAAAACTATCGGATTGAATTGCTTCAATTTTATTATATCTAATAACCATTTCTATAGTAGAATTGTAAAAGAACTCCTCCGAAAACACGTCTTTTTCAATTAACTCCAATTTATTGTGTGATAAATCTATAGTTTTTATTTCACAGTTGTAAAATGCTCCTTTATGAATATATTCAATGTTGTTGTTCACTAAACTTAACTTTGTCAATTTCATTGTGTCAAAAGTGGTAAATCTTATTCGCTTAATATCATTTTCATACAACTGCAAATAATTCATCCTGTTGAAATACGGATCTAGGGTAAAAGTATACGTCTTGATATCTCGAATTTGACCGATAATAATGAAAGTAACTAACTTTTCCAGCCTGTCCAATGAAAGTGAATCAAAATCGATTGTTCTAAGTTGAGAGTCATCATATGATTCTGTTCCTACCACAAGTTCAGTCCAGTTTTCAACGTTGTAATTCTCAAGGTCGCTCAAATTATCACAGAACGTCATATAAGAGTGTCGACACGTCGAATCGGTCTCAGTATAAAACAGCCCGATTGAAAAAAAGGTAATCATATTGAGGACATGCATGTTGATTCGATGAAAACAAACGCAAACTAATTTGTGCCCGGTTTGCTGCTTGCAAAAAATTGTAAGACTGGTTTTTCCACATGTTTGACCCTGCATCAGGCTTCAACTAATTATAGTCAACATCCATTCAATATTATGTTATTAGCACTAAATAGATTATTTAGTATGAGAATTTATTTCGATTTTCGATTACCAAATTATGCATAAACTCACACACAAGCAATTTAACTATTAGTTTAGTTTTATTACTTTAAAGTGTGTAGAAATATTATGTGAATTTCTTACTACAGTAGTACAGTCAAAACAAAAAACAATTTGTCATGCTTTATATCTCTGTTTATAAAAAGTTGAGTCTTTAGTATAATCACATCAATACACTGCAGTGACATTTTGCAATTTAAATAACAATAAATAAAACTGCACGAATATTTTGGTGTTCATACACTCCACATTTCTAAATTATTATCATAAACACAAGTTTCGAAGATCTGAACATACTACTCTGTAAAAAAAGTATCGAGAATTTTCGATTTAAAGAGTTTACGTAGAAGATATCCAAATTATTCTTATCTGGTATATTGGTACAACCATACTCCTCTTACCATGCCAAATTTTACCACTATAAGTCAAGTGGTTTGTTTAAAATTGTTTTTACTAACCTGTGGTTAAGTCAGACTTGCGATTTTTGTCATGAATTCCACTACCGATCAGAGAATTTGCTTGAAATTTTGTGTTGCCAACGAAAATTCGTGTAGTGAAAATTTTGCAAAAACCCTTTGGAGACTCATTTACGTCAAAAACACAAGCATATGAGTGGTACAAAATATTTCAATTGGGCCGAAAAGAGGTTACCGACTTTCATCGTTCTGGACGATCGTCAACAGCAAAGACGGTGGAAAATGTCAAGAAAATCAAAGAAATGGTGACTGTAAATCATCACTTAGGTTTAAAAGTAAAATTATTTTGCCGTTGTGAAATGTTTGTAAAAAATATTCTCTGGAAAAGGCCAGATTTGTGCAAAGACAACTCTGGGATTTTGCACCAAGACAGTGCGTCTGCACACACAGCACAAATTTTTGGCTAAAAATTCAATAAATGTCATCAATCAAGCACCGTATTTGGCTAACATGGCCCTATATGACCTTTTGCCATTTCTTAAACTTAAATTGCCTTGCGAGGAAGACGTTTTGACTCCATAAAAGACATAAAAAAAATTGCAAAAAGAACTGAAAGCCATATCTTCCGCTGTTTATAAGAAGTGTTTTTATGATTGACGTTGGCATATGCGTGTCGCTTCAGATAGAGTTTACTTTACGGGGAATCAAATAAAAATTGATCAATAATATCATGATTATCAAATAAGATCCAATCCATGCACATATCTGAAATCAAAAGTTTTTCGTTTCAACAAGCTTATACAGTGTCATTAGTAATAAATTAGTAATAAGTAATAATCTTCGTACTAACAAAAAACAAATTTACAATGAAACTATGTGATTTTGATTTTATATATATTTAGAAACTTTTTTATTATTTGAAAAATAAAAACTATTTGCTTATAACTGTTCGCTAATAACCCTGAATACTCTTTTAGTCTTACGCTTAACAGTGCTGATGGAGTGACTGTAAACATTCCAAATATTGTACATCAAGTCTAATACTTCATATTAGTAAAAAAAGTTCTATGATCCAACATAAAATAAACAACATTTTTAATTTTCATAATAGGAGGACTCACCTCGTTACTGTAATTTAATATTAAAGATCGAAAAAACATTACTTTTGGAGCGATATTACTTATTTCTGCAACCTTCAAAAAGCACGAAGCAGTTAAGGACACGTAATAAAAATCTCACCTTTAGATGAATTTGATAATGGGCCAAAACAACTTTCAACAACATGCAAGCACACAGTATTAATCAGTATAAGGTATTGGAAAAAATGAAATTTGCCTTTAGCTATGAGAAACAAATTGTTTGTTATTGTAAAAAATGTTAAGATGAATAAAATACGGATTTGCACTGAAAATTGAGATATCATCGAATTGCTGATATTTACAGGGTGTCCCACGAGTAATAATGAGCCTCAAAAATTTTTGAAGCAACTAACATTACATTTCATAGATACTCGTAACGTGGATATTAAAATATTTCGTTTTAATTAGTTAAACATTGTAATCGTATTTTTATTTTTAACAAATTTCTATTAGTCAAAAAGACTTTACTCCAGTTTTAGGAAATCCGTCTATTTGTATATCACGCAGGTTAGAAACGTGCTGTCTGCGAAGTGTTTTTCAAACATTCTTCATAAATGAAATCTTGTTCTGGAGAATCTGGTCTGGTATGTTAATTAACATAACAACATTAACAATTATTTCAAAAACTATTTTTGTTAGTATATTTATTTTAGTAGAGTTACAAGCAGCAATATTTTATCTGTCCAGAAGTAAGGGTATGTAGTAATTACTTTCCTTTTGACATTGATATCATATCTATTATAATTTATTAGGTGTATAAGGTGTCAGAGAATGACGGTTTTAGAAAAAAGTACAATTATCGGAAAGGAGTCTCTATTATTATTACTTAGTATTTTGGGGTTTCTTTTATATTCGTTATCGTTATGTGTTATTTATTTTGAAGAAAAATCTATAACCCGAGAGAACTTTTTTTTAATTTTTGTTGATTGTTTAGCGTTCTTTTATTATTCAGCCTATTTAATTGTGATGGCCTTATTTTTCAATGAAAATTATAACAAAACGTCTGGAACTTTTTCATTAATAATATCTCTGCTAGTATTTTTTGTGTTAGAAATTTCTGGTTTCAATTCTGTCGATTATCTTCTTCAACACTTGGTTCATATGGCTGTAGCTAGTTTAGTACTAGGAAATCTACTTGCATTGTGGTGTTACGTTCGCAGTTTGAGCTTACCTCTCAATGAAATAAATCCCAAAACAATTGGAAAAGACACTATTTATTGTTATCTTATGGGAAGAGAAGTAAGACCACGACTTTTCGGCTATCTTGATTTGAAGATGTATGTTAATAGAGTTTGTGTAGTATCTGCGGTAAGTTTCGTTTTTTAATAAAATTTAATCACTTTATTTGTCACAGGTTTTGTTGGATTGTGCCTTTTTGTATCGAGAATTTGTAAGAAATTGGACATTACAATCATATGTCGTAAATAAAAGCTTTATTATTATCGAAATAATGCATATAATATTTTGCTTAGATGGCGTAGTTACAGAATACACATTTGAATATTCTTTAGAAACACAAAAAGAAGGTTTTGGATACATTTGTTCAGTTGGCTATTTCATATATCCGTTTTTGATAACCACTGTTCCTTATCATTTTCTTCTGACCAAAACTGAGCTTGCGACTTGGAAAATACCAATCATAGTATTTTTATTTATCGTGGGTTTTCTACTATACAGAATCGCAAATAACCAAAAATACAATTTTAAAGTAAATGTCCTGAAACCGGGTAAGAGAGATATCTTAACTTTACCCAATATCCGAAGAAACTTTGTAGGTGTGAAATTTATTCCGACAGAAATAAAAAATGGAAAATTGCTGTGTTCCGGACTCTGGGGATTCGTTCGACATCCTAATTATCTTGGAGATATTATGATGTATATTTCTTTTACCGGATTAACAATAACTGCGCCTGCTATAATGCCTTTAATGGAAATACCTTTCTTGATTCATCGTTCTATCAGAGATAATAAACTTTGCAAAGAAAAGTATGGTTACGCGTGGGAAAAATATACAGAAAAAGTTAAATATATTTTCATTCCTCGAATTTATTAATGAACATTGTTTTATAAAATAAGCTATTATTGTATTGCAATCATTGTTACTGTTTCCTTTTTTATTATTTACAAATTTAGGATTTGTTGTTGTTTTTTATACATTTATTAGTCAGAAAGGGCATTTTTATGTAATCTATCCAGAAACAGAGAGCAATAAAAAAATCAACAGAATTATTTCGTTCAACATTTATACCTCTTAGTCCCACTTCTCTGGTCTTCAAAAATCGGTTTGTTAATTTTTAAAAATAATCATTTCTAGGCCATTTGCAAGAGAAAAATACTGTCCATTCCTCCATCATAACTTTATTTTTCAACTTAAGAAAAAAAAAATTTTTTTGAATGTTATATTTATATCTAGACGATAGAGTGGTTTACTATTGAAAAATTACATTTCCCTTATTTTTTCAGCTTTGTGCACCCTACATCAATAAGGTTTTTAAATAATAATAATATTTTTTTAGTTTTTTTAAAGGTTTTTTTTTTAAGAATATGCGTCAACACAATAACAATTGGTATATTCAACTAATCAGAATCAAAACAACTAATCTTTCAATGTAAAATTATTCACTGCCAATTTAATTAATTGAAATATGGCCATAAATTTACGTGTAATATCTACAAATAATATCAAAAATTAAATTTGAAATAATAATAACAATTATTACTGATAGGATTGTGTTAATCTTTGGCTTAATTTTGTTAATTAAAACTCTAGATAAATCTCAAATCTTAATTAATTAAATGATTTTCTTAGCTAATATAAATTGCCTTGAGAAAACAAATATAGTCAGTAGCTGCTGTACCCTTTGAGAAGAGATAAACCAAGATGAAATTCTTTTTCCATATTGTATGCTTTGCGTTAGTGGCACTTCAGGTTTGAACTCATTATTTCAGGTAAAACCAAACACAAAAATTCTTCTTAAGGTTTGCAGATCTACAACCGTGACTGATGCTGAAACCAAACTTCAACGTTTACGAGAATTGACATCTCACAAACTGCAGTCTGCCTTCTTGGACCACACCCGTATGTCTAACGAAATCGACGCCACTGCACTTGCTGCCAAAGAGCATGGAAAAATCGAAATTCAGAAGAAAACTGACAAATACGTTGCAAAACTAAAAGCAGACAAGGCTTTGACACAAAGATGTCGTGGTTCCCGAGACCACATTTTTGACCATTTGAAGCAATCAAACATCGACGAATTAATTCGCTGTATTGACCACGCTGGAAGTCAAAGTGTGAATGTTTTGGCTACTCAACGACTGTCATTGACCGAGTACGTTTGGGACGCTATTTTTGAAGAAGAGAAACATATTATCGTTTGTGGTCAAAATCGCAAATGTCTTGCTGCCGCTGTTGCTGATCTTGAAGACAAAATCGATGAGGTGAAGAAAGTGATCGATGCGGAAGTTGAAATTAGTAAGCACAACAAGGAGGTCCAAGTGCAAATAATCAAATCTTGTGCCAGTAAGAGTATTGCAAATGTTGAGCATGAACTTAGCACTATACCCACTTGCATGTATTAATTTTAATTATCCGACTATGTATTATGTATTTCTGTCACAATAAAGTAAAATAACAAGAAACATTGTAATTTATATTGTGTCCCATATTTAATTAAGTCTAAATACTTCAACATACTTACTTAAAACAAAGTAGTAATTTAAAATAAGAAACTAATCAGTATTTACATACCCACAGTTTGTTCAGAAATCATACTTTTAATTATGACATTTGATAGAATGAAATAAAGTAGAAACGGTTTATGTGTGCGTATGTAGTACAATATTTATGTTTTTTTCTGTGTTTTTTTTAGTGTTATGCTCAACTCTTAGAAAAAGAGAAGGGCGTTTGCTTTAAAACTAGTTAAAAATAGCTTAAATACAAGGAGTTGTAATTTTTTTATATTATATCATATATCATATATTTATACAGGGTGTTTACGGTCTTGAGGTTGAAATTTAAATGAGATGATATTCACGGTAGAAGAAAAATAATACGCTATATAAAACAAAAATTCACGATATTAAAGGAAATTATTCATTTTACACTATTTGTTTGAGAACTGCTGCTTCGGCTGCGACAATGGCCGTTAGTTACCTTGTGTTACACCGTAAATTATAATCACGACAACCAATTTATTATTTTAATGTTTTGCTATACATGGTCATAAATTTGGAGAAAAATTAAGAAAAACGAGTCAAACCTATTGGAAACCAGTCGCTGAAAGAGATTAAACAGAAGATCTTCGAATTTTGATAAAAATTAAAGTAAAAGCAAATCAAATGATGACAGTGTCAAAAGTATGAAGTGACTTTTCTCTTTCATTGTCATGGATACGATTTTTTAATCTGTTGCAACAATACAATTTTATCTGAACAAGGAAATAATTCCAGTGACCCGCAAACCGTGTACCAATATTTTGGAGTTAAATAACATTTTTGATAATCACAATTGTGTGCGTTTTTTTCTCGGTTACAGTATTTCTGTACTCTTCAATTACTAGGTCAATTTTCAACTCCAAGACTGTAAACACCCTGTATAATTTTTATATTTCTGGCGAAATTGAAACACAACAAACACAAATATCTTCCATTTTGTGTAATCTTTAATTTTTTGTGTTTTAAAATATTTTTTTAGAATTAACACTAAAATTCCAAAAAAGAGATAATAAAATTCTGGTGATTTTATTTTTCATTAGATGTTTGAGGTTTAAATGCAAAATGTAAACTTTGACATAAGTATATAAGGTTGGCAAATTTTGATAATTTTTCAAAAATAATATTTCTATATGAAGAATAATATCTAGAAATGCCACGACAACTTAACTTGAACAGTTTTTTGTAACGTTTTTCTACTTTGAAACTCATTTCAAATTTTATAAAAAAATGTTATTTTTGTTTCAAGTACATAAAACAATTTTTGCGGACGAATCGTTGCTGTTTCCGGATGAGGTGAAATCGAGTCTGGAATAGCAGATGAGTCCGTAAAAACGCTTTACGTGTTACAAAACAGTTTTTTGTTAAAGCTTTTAAAACACGAATTTACACCTCTTATTAATTAAAAAAAAATTTGCTATCATAGTAACCAATTTTATTTTTTAGTTCAAAAAAACTCTTTTTGGAGACTAACTATTTTACGTACCTACTATTTTAGTGAGTCCGCAAAAAACTCATTTTAGGGACTTAAATGGGTCCCTAAAACAGTTGTTTTCGGGTGCGTATACAAAAAAGTGGTAGTATCGTTTGAATCGATGTTGTAAAATGTAGTTCGAAAATTTGAATGCAAAATATAATGTATAACGTATTGACGCACCAATTTTTATTAGAAACTTATAGTCTTATAAAACTCATGAGTGTTACGATTTATACCGTGCTTTCAATAAAATTTATCCTGTGATTTTGAAGTTAAGTTGTCTAGTCTGAATAATATAGAAACAAAAGATATGAGAAAAGTATAATTTCTGTTAGTGTCTTGTTCATAATATTAATATGTACTATGGTACGATTTAAAACTAAATAATTTGTTTTACTCGTATAGAAATATGTATTGTTCTGTGATTAATTACAACATAAGCTTATGATCCTTACTGATTTACAACAAGAATATCCGATAGCGAATTAATTAATCAGCTAATTATTTTTTAATGGGATTAAATTATTATGAACTAATTAATTTATACAAATAAATCATTAAGTTCTCGTAAATTATATCAAATCAAATTACAAAACCTATTTAATTAATAGATTTACGAAAGGTGAAATGTTACTATAAAAGCTGGTAACAAAACAAATTTTTAAATCAATATTGAAAAGTTATTACTTTAGAACTATCAACATGAGGTATATTTCTTTGCTATTTTGTCTTGCAACTGGAATTCAGGTAAATATTAATCTTGTTTATTCAAAGATTTGAATTTTATTTTCCCAACTTTTCCAGTTCTGCACTTCTGCTACAGTAGAAGATGCTGAAACGCAATTAAAATTCCTTCGAGAAAAAACATCAAATAAATTAGAAACTGCGTTTTTAAACCAGACAAGAATGTCAAATGATATTGATGCTACAGCTCTCGCCGCTAAAGAATACGGGAAAATGGAAATTCAAAAGAAGACAGATAAATACAGTGCGAAACTTCAAGCTGACAAAGCCCTAATATACAGATGTCGAGGCTCACGAAAACACATTTACGAACACACGAAAAATTCAAATATTGATGATTTAATTCGTTGCGTCGATCAACAGGGAAGTCAAAGTGTTAATGTTCTCTCAAGACAAAGACGAGCGTTACAACAGTATGTTTGGGATGCGATTTATGAAGCAGAAAGGCAAATTATTGTTTGTGGTCAATCCAGCAAGTGTCTTGAAGCTGCCGTTGCAGATATTAAAGATAAGATTGAAGAAGTTTCGAAAGTGATTGATGCTGAACTTGATATCAGTGAACATAACAAAGAAGTTCAGGTTCAGGTTATTAAAGCATGTGCAAGTAACAGTATTGCACATGCTGAACATGTGTTTAGTACAATCCCTACTTGTAACTACTAATTATTTCTGAATTGTTTGTCACAATAAAGAGAACATTTATGAACTATCTGGTGTTACTATTCCTGTTCTTATTTCCGAAGTAATTTTTTACATTTTTTTTGTCAAAAAATAGCAGCATTTTAAGTTTAAAATATACAATTTTTAAAAATCTAAGATCAGTTTTCAAAGTAAATTGGATTGGGCATCTAGTCGTATATTAAATATGACCCATCAAAAAATTACTTAACACTAGAACTAATTTTTTTTTTACTAACAGTGGTGAAATAAACAATTTTTTGTTCCAAGATTTTTTACAAAAAAAATTTGGGAGTGGCTCAGTTATAAATTTTGTTTTCTAATATTTAACTAATAGATAACTAAATAGATTATTATTACATTATTAGATTATAATTATTAGTGATCCTCTAACAATGCACTGATAGTATTATCTAAATTAATGATTTATTTTGGTATTAGGCTACTGATTATAACTATTTAAAACAACGGGATTTCGCGATGTTTGTATACACTAAAGTTATTGATCAAAAGAAATGAATTTACGCTTCTTTGACTTGATATTTTTGTTTTTAGCAGTATTTCTTCAGGTAATTTTATTTAAAATAATTTCAATATTACTCTAACTTTTTTCGTTAGCTTAGTTATTGTGCAACAATACAAGAAGTGAAAACGGTACTAACCAAACTTAGAGAAACAGCAGAAGATCACCTTCACCAAGCCTCTTTAAAACATTCAAGAATGTCAGTCGAAATTAGCTCTACTGCCCTTTGGACTGAAGAACTAGGCCATAAACAAATAAATCAAAAAGCAAAAAAATTTTTAGCTAAGACAAGAGTTGATAAAATAACAAATCACCATTGTAAAGGATCACGTGAAAATGCCATTAACCATATAAAACAAACACACACCGAAGAACTGGTAAAGTGTGTAGAAAATCACGCGACTAACAGTTTGCAATTATTGTTTGAAATGAAGTCAACACTTAGCCAAAAAGTTTTAAAAGGGGTTTATGAAGAAGAAAAGAACATGGTAGTGTGTGGTCGGTCCAATTATTTGTGTCTGGATGGTGTGGTTGCGAATATTAAAGATAAAATTGATTCTTTAGATGAGATTGTTCAAGATGAAATTGATGTTAGTTTATATGAAGTGGAAATGCAGTTAGATATCATAACCACCTGTGCTTTTCAAAGTATATTGAATACAGACTTGTCTCTGAAAACTATTTCTAATTGTACTTATTAGAATGTCAATAAAAATAATATGGTTATATGTTTGTTTCTATAATACGGGTTAGCCTCGAATATTAAGCAATTTTTTGACTACAAAAATAAACTTGAGAAAATGTAATGTGTCTTATTAATATTAAGTATTTTCAGTAAAATTTTCTATTACTGATTCTTGAGTCTCTGCAGTATGTGGAACTTCCTATGTTAATTAATTATGAAAATACATACTCTAAAATCAGTTTTGATAAATACCTAGTTATTACAGTAATGTATGGATAATCCGAACAGAAAGTTGGCAGACCCCGTTCGGATTACCAAAACTTCCGGATTATAGAGTTCATAAATGATACATTACAGGGTGTTTCAATGAACACGAATATCTCAGAAACTATAAAGATTTTGCAAAATCGCCAAAACAGGTCAATTTTTTTCCGAATGGGACATTTTTTGACGAAATTTTTAAATCATCCCCAGTAACCTTTTAACCACCGCGCACCCCAACTTAAAAAATTTAAATAGCATTACCCTACTGGTGGCACATCAAATGAAAGTTATTTTAACAAGCTTTTTAAAAGTTTTAACCAAAATTGAATCAGACCATCCATTCATAAGATACTGGGTGTTCAGATAAAGACAATCCAGAAAGAATTTGCAAAAAAACGAAATAGGTTCAAACCAAAAAAATACAAAATAAAGAAATACATTTCAAACATAATTAAACAAAAAACAAACTTCTAAAAAAGAGTTAACCTCACATATTCGAATTACAAAAGATAATTTAAACATTTAGGTATGTAACAACAACTTAAAGTTTTTATGACGAAACCAAATCTAGAATTTGTATAATTTGACAAAAAATTACCAAAAATCGAATATTAGATAATTACAAAATTTCACAAGTGTTCATTTAAAGATTCTTTTCAGCTAAAAATATTTTCGTTTTTGCTTTATTTTTTTATACACGTATGAGTTTTTCTTGTGTTTTTTTAATTATTTTATTTTTATTTTTTAAAGCTACATTAGATATGAGTTGATTAAAAAAATAAATTAAATTCTAATCAATGCTTCAAATAACTCATTAATTAATTGGAAATTTTTTATTTGTAGGATTAAGTTACTTTAATAACAATTTTAAGTGTGTTTTTTTAAATTTTTGAAAAATTTTTAATCATAATTAAGAGTAAACGATATGTGCTAATCAAAAAGATTAACTTATAATTTATTGACTAATTAGTAATTACACGTAATCCTTTTATTTTAGTCAGTTTAAAACTTTGATTAAATTAATTAATAAATAAAACAAAAAACAATGTTAGTCTATAAAAGGTATAAAAGGTGTTAAAACGTTGTTCGAATCAAACTGTAAGTGCTACTTACTGTGCTTATAAATTCAGTAATATGAGAAATATAATTTTTGTATTTTTGATTGTATACACCGTTCAGGTAATTTTTAAATTATAATACCACAGAATTATGTTTAAGCATATGAATTTAGTTGTGTATTTCTGCAACTGTCGAAGATGCAGAAACCGAGCTTAAGAGGCTACGAAAACTGACCACTGACAAACTCCAAGCTACATCTTTGGAGTACAATAAAATCACTGAAGAAGTTGATTCAACAGCCAAGGCAGCTAGCGAATACGGATATCATGAAATTCATCACAAATCTAACAACCTGAAAGCTAAGTTAAACCATGATCACAGTATTTCACACAAGTGTCGTGGTTCAAGAAAACATCTTTTGCACCAACTGGAAGAATCAAACATTGCCGATCTTCAACGTTGCATTGACCATCAGCGTGCAGAAATTATCAATGTTTTAGCCACACAAAAACTAGCTTTGAATGAACAGGTCTGGAATGCAATTTATGAGGAAGAAAAACATATTATTCTGTGTGGTTTAAGTAGAGGTTGTCTTGATGCTGCTATCAAACACGTTAAAGATAAAATTGCTGAAGTAGTGAAGGTGATCGATGCAAACGTCAATACTAGTCGACAACAAAAAGAAGCTCAAGTGCATTTGATTAAGTCATGTGTCAGGAGAATTGTTGGTAGTGCTGAAAATGCATTTGACAACGTACCTAGTTGTTCTTATTAAGTGAGCATTTGGTTTGTTCTGGTTAAATAAAATAAAATAAAAATTAAATGCAGTGCTTTTATGGAATTATTTTTAAAATTTAGATTAAATATATACACAAAAAATAATAATTTGTTTTACTATGAGGCATAGAAACCTTAAATTTAGTAGATTAACAATATTTTCGTTACATTTTGTTGGCTTTTTATAACATTGCATGTTTCATGTAGTGTTATTTACGCTTGGCACGAGAGATTATCCAACGATAATAAATATTATAACTGTTACAAATAATGAATTTGCTTCGAAATATATCAATTAAATTATCGAGGCTCAAAATTTTATAGAAAATTGTTTATAATATTTAACAGCAGTGTTACACTAACACAATGAGTACGAAACTGCTAACACTTTTGTTAAATGGCGGCACATATTTAGCCATAATACCACCTCTAAAAAAGCAAAATCTTTGCGTGTATAAATTTTACGTTTTTGCAATGTCTGCGTTTATAATTACTGGTGTAATAATTACTTCATATATCCAGAATTTTTACTCCGATTTTGTTCTCATCAAGCAAGTTGTGTGGTTAGTCGAAGACACTTTCTTGATCAGTCTGAATCTGTACGTTGTAAATATTTTGGGTTTACGCAAACGTAAACAATGGAAAGATCTAATAGAATGTCTCAAAGCTACTGAAAACTTAATTTTTGTCAAATTAAATAAGAGGAAATTTCCTTACTACCTGGAATTTATTATTGCAAACCTCGTTCATTTCTCTCTTGCCACTTACGAATATATTTTTTGGGCGCGATCTGTTGGAATACTTTTTTTGAAACAGCATTTTATCAGGTACTTACAAATGTATTTAAATTTTTATTGTATATTTTTATTGTGTGTTGTTACAAATATGATACTGGCTCGTTATAAGGGACTCAAAGCAATAATAATGACACAATGCAAATCTCATACTCATTTAAACAATAACTCAGTTTTAAATTTTACAAGCAAAATTGAAAAAAACATGTTTTTCTTGAAGAAAACTGTTGATGTTTATAATACCATGTTTGGTTGGACATTATTTTTAATCATCTCTTTGACAACCGTACAAATTCTTAACTACATCGACCACATAATTTATTACACAGAAGACCAATCAAGTCAGGTACAAGTCGTTCTTCTTTCTATAGCAATTGTCACATGGATTTTTGTAAGTAGGTATGTAGTTAATTTTTTTTATTTTTTCTTACAATAATTTTAGTTGGGAGCACTTGTGCTAATTTTACTCTGTAGTTTCGTGGAACAAGAAGCCGAAGAAATTGTGAGAATTTCCTACGATATAAGACTGAGATTGGCTGGAAATTTGAATTTACAATGTTATAAAATGCAAGAATTTACAAATTTCCTTATTAAAAATTTGCCAAAATTCACTGCTGCAAATTTTTTCTACATCGAAAGATCTACGATTTTAAGCATTTTAGGCACAGTTTCTACGTTTCTTATTATTCTCATTCAGTTTCGAAAACAATAAAATTTTATTCATTTGAATAAAATTATTATTTATACTTTGAGTTTACGATTTACAATTGCTTCATAAAAGTTTTAGTGTGCCATTCATTTCATTGTTTTGCATTTTAATAGTGAATTTATTACTTAACTACTGATGTAATGTAACAAATCCCTAAATTCTTATATTATTATTAAATAAAACGTTCACAGATTAAAAGTTTGTTTATTTTTTCATTATTTTACAAAAAAAAACGGCATTTATAAATTCTTTTGTTTCATTTGCTGTTTTTTTTACAATACGCGAATTAATAAATCATTTATAAAATGGTCCGTAATTAATTGTCTGGAATTTTTGTTTTTAAAAGTGAGGGGAATACATTTGCAACAGGTTTTTCAATTGTAAGAAACAAGTTTTTTATTTCTCATAACTCTCAATTAAAAAAATTATTGTTGAAAGTTAAAATTTGGAATGTGTAGAATTTTTTTAACATAAAAGTCTTGTATGTGACAAGCAAAACATCAGATAGAACAAAAATTATGACATAATTGTAAAATTATCTGATTTACTCAATCACAAAGTTACACATTATCAAACCTCTAAAAAATATATTTGTGGAAACTTGTGACATAAGTACAATGAGCTTGAAACTGTTAAAACTTTTGTTGAGTATCGGAAAGTTTCTTGGAGTAACTCCTCTATTGTCGACAAGAAACGAAAAAATGGTTCTCTTACAAAAAACGTATACACTTGGCGTTTTTTTAATAATAACTGTGGGTGTAATTGTGTCAACTATATACAAGAAATGCTAACTTACGGTATATTCACATAAAAATAATAATATCTTTTTTAGAAGATATTTCTTTATACTCTTTAAATTTTTACACTTCAATTGTTTTGAATCTCTGGAAGCAAAGAAATTGGTGTCAATTGATCAAAAATCTTGAAGCAACCGAAAGTCTAATCAATACGAAAAGGGGAAACCAAGTTCCTTATTACTTTGGATTTTTATTTCTAAATATTGTTTATTTGGTTTTGGCTATTTATGAAATAATAGTTTGGTATCACGTTACTAGTTTCGACTATTACATCAAAAAATACTTCATTGTGTTTATACAGTTATATTTAAAATTCTTCTGTATATTTTTTCTGTGTGTCATAACAAATATGTTATTCTTACGTTATAAAGGAGTAAAACTTCTTTTATTGAATTTGTTAATGAAAAAGAAAAAAACAAAAGTCTGTAAGTCAACCTTAGAAATGTTGCACCAAATTAAAATGGCCGTACATTTTTTGAAAAAAACTGTGGACATATACAACGATATATTTGGTTTTATTATATTTTTGATCATATGCTTTACCACATTGCACATTTTGAACTATATGGATTACACAATATTTTATAGTAATCGATTCGAAGTACTTGATATTATCATGTTGAACATTGGTTTTCTCACGTGGAATTTGGTACTTTATTACACCTTTGTTGATATTTATCATAATTATGTATTTTAGGTGGGAGCAATGGCTTTAATTATGTTGTGTGATCTTGTACAACAAGAAGCTGAAAACATTTTAACATTATCATTTAAGCTACACTTGCAAAACAAAACTTTTGAAGACGTGTGTAGATTTGAGTCATTTTCGCAGATAATTTCAAACAATCTGCCCAAATTTACTGCTGCAAACTTTTTCCACATTCGTCGATCTACAATATTAGATATGTTAAAGACTGTCTACATGTTTCTTATCATTATGATACAATTTGAAACGCAATAAATGTGGTAGATATTTTATTTCATAATTTTATTTTAGTAGGTTCTTTTGTTATGAACAGAATCGAGTTATAGTGTAAAAACTTGCACTCTATTTTTTTTTTAATTTAAATAACGCCATCATCTAGTGCGTCCATATAGTTGTAAGGTCAGATTAACAAGCAACTCACTTTGTTCATAACACAAACAACGTCAAAATACCTTCTTCATATAGGTCAATTTTAAAATATTATTTATAAATATCAAAACAATTACATAAAAAATGAAAGTATTGATTTTTAGATGTGATTCAGAAAATACTAGGAATATTTTATGCTTTATTGTATATGTAATAATATAAAAAAAAATTATTCGATTTTTTTGAAGTGCCAAATAAAACGCAATTACTTACGACAAGGATTTCATAAGGCACACTTTAATCAGTAAACTTTAATAATTTTCTTTTGATCCTAAAATGTCAACAAATTCATCAAGCAATAATCTAAAATATTGATTAAATTTTTATTAAGTCCGGTTAAAAGAACAAAAGTTGAGATTTTTAAGACAATTATTATCTTTTAGTTTAATTACTTTAACTAACTCTCTATCTACTCCACTTTTCGAAGAATACTTTTTATTCTAGTTGTGAACGCTAGCTGTGTAACTATTGCATTATGAAAGCACCTAGGGCACATTTCTAACACTGCATTATTGCCTGGCCAGCTAAATGCGCATGCCATATCCGGGGGCGGTTCACAGAGACGTCTTCTCTAAAATCACCCAATTAAAGTTGATCTAATTTTAGAATGAGTTAAATCATCGATTAAGATGTACAAACGATGAAACCTTCGATAGCCGTTTTCAAAAATGTCAAAGATGTAAATGCCAACGACTTGTTTTAGACTGGTAGTTTGAGGTTTATTTAATGAAAAGCCAACCCTGAGTCTGCGCTACTTCCAATCTCACGAGGCCTTCTCAATGTGTCGGTTTTACTCCAGCGTTTCGCACGCACTACGTGGAAATTGGGATCTTTTGCTAGATATCATCAGTGTATTGTTTGTGTGGTGATCACGTGATGGTGGTGTGAGTGAAATGGGGTTGATATTTCTGAAATTCTTTAGATGCGATGATAGGATTTCTACCTGATTGCAAACTGTGGCTTATATTAGACTGATATGGAGAAATAGAGGCCTACATACCACAGGTTGGTGTGATTTATGTTCAATTCACGTTTACTTTATGTCTCGCATTGAAAACGTAAAATTTTGCTTTGCCTTAAATGGGTAAAAATAGTTTTCAATCTATTTGTGATAAACGTTTGTACAAAGTTACAATTTTTATTAAAAATAAATAAATTATGTTTATTCTAATTATAAACAATTTAGCAATTCTGATAAAAAAGATGAAAATTAAATAGAGTTTAATTGTCAAACAATTAACTAAATAAAATATTAAAAAACAAGTGTTACAAACACACTCATTGTGACACGAGCCACGCAGTGAAGAGTGTTACAATGTATTGAGAGGTTGTAACTTATGTTTTTATATTGTTGTGTCTACAACCAGTCTATTATTAGAAGACGTCTTATGATATCAATAAAACACACGGGTCTTATGAAAAATAAATAGCAACCGTCTTGTGATTAGCCCTACTTACTTCCGAATAAAAATTAATTTGACAAACGTTACTTTAAAACGTCAAATGCATACTCTTATTTACTCCCATTTTTTTATATGAAACTCTCGGTTTAAAAAATTGATAAATTGTTATTTGTTATTGTAACAACATTGTTAATGAAATACATTTGTTTTATATTTAGAAATCATATTTTATGGTCAGTTGTTATCCCGGCGCATCCACCATATTTCAATTAATTTTTGTACTGTTATATTGATTGGTGGTACATAAACAACTGCAGTATACTGTTTAATATTTTAGAAAAATTTACTTAAAACAAATAAATAAAGCGTAGCAGGGAATAATAACCAAGTCCAATAAAACATGCAGTAAATCACAAAGTCCATCTGTTTAAATCATAAAATTTTAAAATGGAAGTTGCTTTGTCGTTATTCTTTTCTTTTAAAAATAATTTATTTTTATATTGCGTTAAAATATTATTAGATTTAAAAATTCTTGTTTGCCTTTTTTTTTTAATTTCACATTCTTTTTGCTCAAACTTTAACAGATAAATAAAAAGCTTGTGTTTGATTTTGGAGTTTTTGTTTACAGATGGGAAATTTACAAATCTCCGTTTTAATTTTGTTAGTTATGGCTATTTTACTGTTGGTAGTCTTTTTGGCTTTCTGTTATTCAATGGATGTTTTCACGTGGATTACCGCCTGGGTGTGTTCAAACCGAGAAGAAAAGGTCGGCCTAACTAGATCTAAAGGGCACTATAATGCCAACGGATATTTGGTAAGTGAACAGCAAGCATAATAAATAAGTCGTAATGCTTATGTAAAGGTCATATTTTAAATCATCTTTCATTCTATAGACTAGTAGAAAATAAATTTAGTTTATTCTTCGACACTGTCAAAATTTACGGTTTTTCTCCCGTGTAAGGAAGTTTTGACAACTGTTTGGCATTTCTCAATACAAAACGTCAAATTATTTTTAACAGATTTAAAGCATGTTTAAGCCTTGTTGACTCTAATTCGAAGAATAAAATGTTGTATTCCACTCGTTTGAGTGTAAATCGGACGCTTTATTCCACCTCGTGGATGGTAAACCACTCGTTACATTCGTGGTTTAAGAATCCAAATAAAGAGTCCGATTTACACTCAAACTCGTCGAATAAATAACTATTATGAACTCTGTATAATAGTTATTTATTATACAAGACGATAAAGAAATTGTTTATCTAGGAGTTAAAAGGTTAAGTTTACAAGTCACGAATGGACTTTTTTACGAGTAGATAAACAATCTTTATTGTCGTGTATAATATTTCGTTTTATTTTGTTCTCCCCTACCAGAAATACTTGTGTCTGGCTGATGAATACACTGGTCAAAGTGCAGTAGATAAAAATTACTTTATTTTTACTAGAAGATAAAAGACTACTTTATCTAGTTCAATTGGCTAATAAAAGCACCCTTTAACATTGAGTACAAAATAAACGATGTTTTATATGAAAATAAATAAATCTGTATCTACCATTGCAGAGCAAATATCGCGTGTTTACAAATTTTGTTTTAATGAAAAGTTTTATGAGTTACATCCAATTAATTTCTACTTGATAAATAGAACCTGGATAATGCGTAATAATAAAGCTATTCAGTTAGTTTGTAATTTGAAATTTAAGCCTTCTTTTGTTAAACAAATTATACCATATTATTTATAGTGGATAAATCTCTTGTAGCAGATTAACACAGGTCGCTTGTTTGCAGATAGTGAATGCTAAATGCGGAAGTTTGTTTGAGCGTTGGTTTACAATTTCAGTCTCGGAAATTCTCATCCCGTCATAAAGAGACATTAGTGCATTGTCCACGGTTATAAATTTCAGTTCTTGTATAAGATTTTTTAAACTAAATATTTATTTGTAGTCAAATTTTCAGGTTCATTCCGACTCGGATATCCTCTTAGATTCGACAGGCAGTTTCAAACGATTTGATTCGGTTGATAGAGATTTCAAAATCACACTTGCCACCACAAGCCTTATGGGTGAATGGAATAGTTATGAGGAGGACAACTCAATACCTCCACAACCACTTCGACCAGCACCTGTTCCTTCACCATCACCTCCGCCAACAATCAAAGAGAGCCCTTTAACCAGAAAGCAGAACAGGTAAATATTTAATCAATTATAATTGAAACTTATTGCTATCGGCAATGCTGAGGCTCTTTTTCTTAGTTTTCATTATTTTTTCCTCAGTAGCGAAGATTCGATCGAGAGGACATCAATTTCGCCAATTCCCCGACCAGTATCTTCTGTCAACATGGCGACATTAGCCTCTCAATCATCATTTCCTGTCTATATAACGCCACCACCGACTCCTTCCACTCCGTCTCATTTCACTACCCAACAAGTGGAACCTCCAGTCGAAGAAGTTGAAACCGTTTCGGTTGCCCTGAAAAGAGCTCTCTCCTGCGATAGTGTCTGCTCGGACACTTCTGTTGCCTTAGGAGATCTTGAAGAAGTCAATATTACAGGGTATTTGTGCATCGGACTAGAATACGAAAGGTAAGTAACTGCTGGCTCTGCTTTATTAAATTCTTGTAGAGATTTGCGCTAACTAACAGATCGAAAGGGTTCTCAAGTAAGTATGAAATTGATCTCAATCGGGAATTTAGTCGCAGAATACACGCCATTTCCAACATTCCCTCCCAGAATTCTCAGAGCGTGCAGAGTTAATCGATATGCGTTAGCTTATTCAGACTGTTCTATTCTTACGAAAAAGTAAAATCGTACGGTTTTGCAGCGTTGCAGAGCTTTTCATAGCTTTAATTACGACAAAAAAATGAAAACTATCAAATCATCAACAGATATGACAACGTATGAAATATTCTTTTACAATTTTAAAAGTTGTAGTTTTTGAGGTTTTTTTTTTATTGATTTAACTTTATTTGTGTTTTTTTAATTTCTAGTCACCATATAATAATTATTAAACGACAAACTGGTCAAAAAAATCACTTATTAATTTATTTCGATATCATCGATTTTTGTAAAAATTCAAATTTGTCGAAAAACTTTATCCAGAAAAAATGTAAAAAAATCTGTTCTAGCCAAAAACTGTGTGTCAGTGACTGTGTATTTCTCGCTAACGGTGCGAATTACAAAAAACTTTTTTTGTAGTTGTGTGTCATGATCTAATCACTTTTTCAATTTTGTTTATTGTCTAACAACTCTGTCTTAATTTAATCAAAAAAAATAAGGTCAACGTAACGGAATTGCTTTTTAATTTTGAATATTTAAATACATAGTTAACTTTGTCCCTAAAATATAGTTTTTGCGATCGAATCGTTGCAAACGAATAGCAGATGAGTTTGCAAAAACGTTTTTGGTATGGTATTTTTTTGTTAAAGCTCCCAAAAAACGAATTTACACCTCCTACTAATTAAAAACATTTCGCCACCATAGTAACCAAATTGACATTTTGGTCCGGAAAAGACTTATTTTAGAGACTTAAATGAGTTCCTAAAACAGCTATTTTTGGGGGCCTATACAAGAAATACATATTTTGTTAATTATGAGAATTAGATCATGTGGAACAAACAAATTATTTGTTACAACGTCAAAATTAATGTTTAATGTTTATTTACTTCTCGAAAACTGTTATTTACTGGGTTTTACAATATGCAGCGCCAAACGTTTGTCCTGACAAGTCTAGAAAACCTAGCAAAGTACTTGTGTATACCAGGTGAACAAAAAGTATAGAACCAATCTTTTTTGAAAAAACTAATTCATGAATGATGAAGCGCTATGAAAATGTGTGGTTTCTCAAAAATATATATTTTTAATTATTATTTCTGTTTTTGTGTTCTACATCAATTTTTTAATTTTTTTCCGAACTTGAAAGGCTACGATCAAACGATTACAACTAAGTACACTATATTTCTCTGGATAGTAGAATTCTCAAGGTCACAATTTACGAGTGTACTCAACTTTTATGCACAACGAAGTAACCTTGACAAATACACTGATCACTTTTGACAGCATTTTGACATTTATTGACAATCCACGAACAGCTGGTGTTTTAATTAGTAAATCTTGAGTTTATTTATTTAAATTGATTTTAATGTGCTCGTTAACGGAAACCGAAGGGACTACAATACATACTATTTGATTTGGATATTTAAAATAACCCAACACATGAGTGTTTGAATAGTATTTGAACGAGTTTTATTGAGCTCCAATTTTGGTTAAATCACTCGAAGGTATATGAAAAATACTTTTATTTTCAATTTACTTATAAAAGGTAATTGCAAATCTATCAGATATAATCAACTCAGATAGAAGCATTTGCAGGCAAAGTCAGTAGAATCTGGAAATTTTATCCAAGAATATTCGTTCTTGCGCAAAACTAAAGAAAGGATCAACTTGGGTTTGCTTCCCCCTAGATAGGCCTGCTTGTGACCTTATTCATAGGAGCAAAAATTTCTTTTAAATGATTTGATGAACTGCAGAACTATCGTCACAATAAATAATTATGCTAATCCTCCAACATACCAACACCAAAACACGTTGTATCACAAACTCCTATCACTGAAGCACAAAACTAAATTTGTGATGGTTAACTATTAGTCCTTAACAAACCTTTGAAATTTACCAAAAGGTAATAAAACAATCTTGTTATCCAGTATAAGTCAAATATCTACGAAATTTTTGGAGGGTTTTCCGATTTTTAGTTAATCAACTAAACCACTGCACCACTAAAAGTTTCCTTGAGGCAACTGCGTTTCATTTGGGAACAATAAGTTGTGAGGCACATTACCCTTGTACAAGGTGCAAGGTGTTTCATAACAATTTTGTTAATAAAAACTATGGGTGTAGCTAAAATGTTTGTTATTATCAATAACGATCTTTGATTTATTAAGAAGAACCAACCTTTTGTGCAACATTCAAAAGTTTTATTTGTAAATTGATAACTGCCACAAACACCATGGACATGATTAACAAATTCTAACAAGAAGATGCTTTTCTTCTTACAAATCTTTCATATCAGAGGTTCGATCAACGTTTTGAACAAAATTCTTGGACTTGGGTTCTGTGTTCCAACTTTTAATTTGATCGACACTTTTTTATCGGAGGTAATCTGAGTTATTCACTGATGTTTCATCCAAAAACAAGCTTCGGCTGTTGGATGTTTTGAATAAAGCACGTGATTGTGCCTTAAAATTTTATTAAACCCCAAAACCATCGTACATAACCTTTAATTTCAATGTGACAGAAAAAAACATCATTGCCACCTTTAAAAAATAAAATCGAAAATCATGGCTACGAAAGTCAACACAACTTTGGTAAAACCGCTAAAAACCCTGTTTATCAAATTCTACTATCAACTGAAATAGATAGTATCTACATTTTATTTAATTTAAAAGAAAAAAAATTGTTGCATAAGCAGCTATCTTGAAAAAAATCAAGTAATTCAAAAACAAAACAAAATTTTATTCCAGGTGAACAAAAAAGTATAGAACCAAATCTTTTTTGAAAAAACTAATTGGTGAATGATAAAGCACTATGAAAACGTGAGGTTTCTCAAGAATAAAATTTTTCCTGTTTTGTGTTCGGCATCAATTTTTTTTAATTTTTTTCTTCGAAATTAAAAGGCTACGATCAAATAATTACAACTATCTACATTTTATTCAATTTTTAAAGAAAAAATTTATTGCATAAGTTGCTATCTTGCAAAAAAAATCGAATAACTCAAAAACAAAACAAAATTTTATTCTTAAAAAACCTAGCAAAGTACTTGTGTATACCAGGTGAACGAAAAAGTATAAAACCAAACCTTTTTTGAAAAAACTAATTGATGACTGATGAAGCACTTTATGAAAATGTGAAGTTTCTCAAGAATAATATTTTTCGAATTTTTTCTGTTTTTGTGTCCTGCATCAAATTTTTACATTTTTTTTTTTTTTGAAATTGAAAGACTACGATCAAAGGATTACAATTATCTACATTTAATTCAATTTTTTTAAGAAAAAAATTGTTGTATAGCTGCGCTCGGGCAGCGTTATGTCTTTTTATTATTCTATTCTGTGGTTTTTATTTCAAGCGAATGTTGCGACTTGGTGGTAAACGTCCTGGAAGCCAAAGAGTTGATCGGTCCAAACCGCACTGAAAACGTGTCGGATTCCTACGTTCGCGTATTCCTTCTTCCCGACAAAGAAGCGACAATTCAGACGAAGGTTTACCGAGGTTCAAACAGTCCCAGTTATAAAGAACGCTTCCTTTTTTCGATGTATCCGAGGGAGCAATCGCAGAGATCCCTTTGTTTCCATGTATATTGCACGGATTTATTGTCGCACACATTGATCGGCGAAGGAGAGATTCGTCTGGGAGACATAAGTTTGCGACAACCGGTTACTACATGGGTCACCCTTACCGACACGGGACAGGTAAAGACAGAGGGTTATTTCCGGTTAATGCAACCTTGATTGAATTAATTACTGTAGAAGGGAACGGAGTTTGGCGAAATAATGTTTTCGCTCAGCTATTTGCCTACAGCTGAGAGACTGACAGTCGTTGTTGTTAAGGCGAGAAACTTGAAGTTTCAAAACGACTCGCCTGGTGATTCTTTTGTCAAAGTGAGTAAAGTGAAAAGTATAGAACTGAAACTTGCACATGTTTGTTTTTCAGGTTTATTTAATGCAACAAAGTAAAAAAATCAACAAGAAAAAAACGTCGACAAAGAAAGCCGAAAGAAGCCCAATTTTTAACGAGTCAATGATGTTTAGTGTACCTGCTCACACCTTATCGGTAATTAACTGAAATACTTCCCTGTTGATTTTATGCAGCGTTTGTGGTGGAGGTAGTATTGATTTTGACTGCGGCGTGTAATTGGTCATTATTAATTGCGTTTGTACTTGTATTCACATTTTGATCAAGAGGCTTTCAACCATATTCATGTTTTTCACTTGTCAAAATCATTCATATAAAATAATTTAGAAAATATCTGTTTTTTAGACAATCCAGTTACGTCTGACTGTGGCCGAGGCCCCTCCTAACCCCACAGCAAAAGCATATGCCATAGGTCATGTAATAGTAGGAGCTCAAGCTACTGGCAGATCGTTGAATCATTGGAACCAAATGTTAACTGCCCTAAGAAAACCCGTCGCCATGTGGCATACCCTTCGAAAATAATCATCCTCTTGTTTGTTGTATTTAACAATCCATTTGTAATATTGATTGTTATAAGCCTATCAAAAAATATACGTATCTCTTAGAACGAAATTAAATAGCATGATGGCTGAAAAAGACTTTTTTTCGATGGGCTTCAACTGTTATTTCAACTGTTTCCGGTATTGTGCGTAAAAATACACACTTTCAAAGTGTCTACTTCCATAAATGTGATAAATAGCCTTTATGCTGGTTTGAAATATAATACCGTTGATATTTATGTATTCAAATTCTATTTATATGTTGAATGTAGTCACTTTGTACCTACCGAAAACAATCTTAAAATAATTAATAAACACAGTTGAATCTTGAACTTATTGTGACAATAAACTTTTTTTGTTGACTTTCTAGTTGTAGATTTTTTAGATTGGTATTTTTGGCTTTAAGCTGTGATACTTCGGGCACATCCATCATTTCTCATAACGTTTGTATCCCAAAACTGGTTGTTTGTTGTAATCGTAATAAAACATTACTATCAGAAACAATGTTTCCATTACACTTACTTTACTCTTACTTTACCCTTAAAATTACTTTTAGTTATGTCTCATATATTTTACTAGTAGGAAATGTACCTACACATTTTTAGAAAAGAATTTCAATTGTATTATTTGAATCAGTATCAATAAAAGTTAAAAAAATATAATCAAAAGTAAGTGTAGGTATTTTACTATACTTAGGTATGGTTTATGATAAGTGCATTTATTTTCTGTAATTTTTGCACTGAAAAGCACATTTTACAAAAAAAAATTGTTCTTTAAAAAATCGACAAAAGTCTTAGGATAACTTGCTTTTTTAAACTCGTGGACCAAGGTGGTATGATACGAATGAAACGTTTTTGCATTGGTAATTCTACAAATAATTTTTAAAAAGTAAGTTGAGACCTTGTAATTGTCGAAAATTTGATAAAGCTTATTTATTTTCGTAAATCATCATGTATAACAGGTGTATTTTTAGTTGCCTAACATTTTTTTTTTGTATTTTCGTGCGAATGACACTGCGGATATGTGATAATTCGGACTTTGGAAGACGATTGTTGAATATACGTCTGACAGATATGCTCGACTTATCTAATTCGCGAATTCTTTCCAGCTCTAAAAGGAAAATAACCTGAATATTCACCAGAAAAATTATTATGAAATCACATGAGTAGTTTTAAATTAATGAAGTGTTTACTCAACACGTTGTCTACTTTAAAAAGAAATTTTGGTGTGGTTGTATGATTTAATCTCAAACCGCTCAGTCTAATTTTTTTAATTTTCAGAAAGATATGACCGATTCAGTCAATAAAACGTGCAAATGCTCAGAAACAAACACAAAACCTAAATTAAAGATCCTCGCAATTCATGGATACCGCCAAAATGCAGAAACTTTTAAACAAAAAACCGGGTCTTTTAGAAAAATGGTACATAAATGGGCTGAATTCACCTACATTACTGCACCTCATAAAGTTACTCTAATTGATGACCTTAATCAAACAGATGATATCAATATTGGCCAAAGTCAAGATGAGGGTTGGTGCACTTTAAACCAACTTCTAATTTTCATAAACTTATTTTAGAACAGTATGGATGGTTTTTCAATCGAGATGATCATACGTTCAGAGGAATACGAAAAGGGGGACCCGCGATTGGATTTGCAGACAGTGTAAAGTTTGTAGAAGAGGTTTTTGAGAAAGAAGGCCCTTTTGATGGAATTTTGGGCTTTTCCCAAGGAGCTTGTTTTGTAGGGCTTTTGTGCGATTTGCAGCAAAGACACTGTTTGTATTTTACATGTCGATAATTTATAATTGTCTTATAATTTTCAGTAACAAAATGTAAGTTTAATTTCGCGATTATGGCGTCTGGTTTCAAGTCAGGTTGTTTACCTCATTTAAAATATTTTATTGAAACTATTACATTGCCAAGTCTACATGTATATGGAGAAAGTGATAAAATCATTCCTACTGGTAGTTACAATATTGCTACGGGAAGCGTAAATAAAATTAAATAATTGTATGTTACAGAAATGAGTGGAACGCTAAGTGAGGCTTTTCTTGAACCAAGGATTGTAAAACACCCTGGTGGTCATTATCTTCCCGCGACAGCTGCACAGAAACATGCCTATCAGAGTTTTTTCAGAGATCAATATTTACGTGAAGACGATGTAGATGATGAAACAATTGTTTTCTAGGATTAATTAATAAAAATAAATAATTGGCCTTAGTTCTGTCAAAAAGTTTTTTTAAATTTTCCAATATTCGCGGACAAATGTCGGTAATTTAGACATCTGTATTACCCACAACGTCATCGATTTTGATCATTTTTGATTATTTGGATGGTTGAAAACAACTTGACAAAAGCATGTTGGAAATATCGAATTAGTCATGAAGTTTTTTAAAATTTAAAACTCTCATTATTTCTTGATCGATTTTAAAGGTAAAAATCTACTAGTCAAATCCAAATCACGCAATTTGCGACTATTTTGCGCCAAAACCTTTCGTGAGTGAGGTTATAAAATTTTCCTTTTTGTAGAAGAGCCCGTTTTGTCGCAATATTAAAGTGCAATGCCAGCGGCTGTGGGTTGCATTAACCATTCAAGCAACGAGGAGTGCGGCATTCGGGACGTATGGGCTCACAATTTGGAAGAGGAGTTTAGAACAATAAGAAAGGTATGCTTGAGAGTTTCTGGAAGTTGTACTAAGCACCAGTTGCAGATTGTACAGAAATACCATTATGTTGCCATGGACACGGAATTTCCAGGGGTGGTTGCACGACCCATTGGCGAATTTAAAAGCTCAGCAGACTACCAGTACCAAATGCTGAGATGTAACGTGGATTTGCTGCGAATTATACAATTGGGGCTCACGTTTTTAGATGACAATGGGAAAACGCCAGGGGGTGCTTATACAACGTGGCAATTCAATTTTAAATTTAATTTACAGTAAGTGAGAAATTGAGATGAATTCAGGATGTGTAACCAAATTTTAGGGAAGATATGTATGCACAAGACAGCATTGATTTATTAACAAATTCCGGAATTCAGTTCAAAAAACACGAAGATGAAGGTATAGAACCGTTAGATTTTGCTGAATTACTCATGACATCAGGTATTGTTCTTATGGATAACATCAAATGGTTGTCGTTTCACTCCGGTTATGACTTTGGTTATTTAATAAAACTTTTAACCGACAACCATTTGCCTCAAGATGAAAATGAATTTTTTGAACTGCTTAAACTGTATTTCCCCGCCATTTATGACGTAAAGGTATAAGCACAGGTAACTTGTTTATAAAAAAATAACATGTTTTTTTTTAGTATTTGATGAAATCGTGTAAAAACCTGAAAGGGGGGCTACAAGAAGTTGCAGAACAGTTAGATTTAGAAAGAGTGGGTCCACAACATCAAGCTGGATCTGATTCGCTGCTAACCGGAATGGCGTTTTTCAAAATGAAGGAAATGTTTTTTGAGGATACAATCGATGATTCTAAATTTTCTGGACATCTGTACGGGCTGGGTACATCATTTGCCGTAAACGGAACTTCCAATAACTATGCCTCTGATAATGGAGAAAATACCAATTCATGAAAATCTGTCTTGATTTATATTTTAATTATTCACAGTGGTCAGATTTGTGTAAATAAGAACGCTTGTTTTTTTGTATTGTTTTATAATTGCCACGAGATTACTTAATAAGAAAAACTATCATTTACTGATTGTACTGGTTTTATTCTCCATTAAATAAGATTTTTCTATTTTGCGTGTTGGCAATTATTTCAGTGGAAATGACGCTCATCCTTTCCGAATTGATCCAATTCTCGTCCGTTTTGTAAGCTCGACACTAATTTATGTACAGATATCGGTGTCAGTTTTAGGGGAATTACTCATTTTATAGGACAAAGGGGGCGCAGTTGTGCCAACATGAAAGCAGTTATTAATGTAAAATGCATAATAATTTCTGTTTTTCTGTCTTAACAAACGATAGGTACAAAAAATTGTCAAAGAAACCTCCCAGAACTCAAACTGCATTTAAGCAAATATGTTTTTTTTTTAATTTCTCTAATTCCTTATCTTTTTTGTCAAGGTTAGAGTTGTCAGTTAACCGAAAGTCTTGTGCCAAAAAATCGATTGTTGCTGTTTATTTATCCAGTTTTCACGTTTGAATTATTATTTTTACACATGTTCACGTAGTTAACTTTAAAGATAAGATTAAATCTACTTTGTTTTTGTGTAATAATAAACTAAAAAGGTAATCTTCAGAAAAAGGTATGTATAACAGAATAATATTGTACCAAACAAGTTTTTTTCTTTTATTTTATTATTTTATTTTTCTTTTAAATAATCCTATTTTTTTAAGTAATTTCACTCCTGGATTACTGAGATTTATAGGTTATAATTTTATGACCAAGAAACAAGATGGGAAACCTACGTATTATGTACCTAGATATAATTAAAATTAAAATAATTATCGGATCATATCGTGGGGATTTATTTGCAGTGCAGCCCAGAAATTGGGGAATGGCCAACTTTTCAACCAGTTATTAGATTTGATTTTTATTTACCTATTTCTTTCTTCAAAAACATGCAACTTAGGTTTACTGATTAGGATCAGTGAGGAATTACATTTTTTTCACCTTTTGTCCACTAATAATTAAAGTAAAGCGTATGAATTAATCAAAGTTTTGGAATGTTTTATGTAACTCGCTACGTTTGGTAGTACGTAATATACTTATAATTAGTGCTTTACTTTTGATAAAAAAATTTAATGCTTCTAAACGGGGAATAGATATTAATAAGAATTGATCAAAAAACTCAAAATAAAATAGACAAATAAATGAAAAATAATGTTACAATTGCACGTATCTTGTAACAAAATGTGCTGGTGGGTTAAAAAAAAGTTTTAAGTACATTTTTTTGATTACAGGTCATTTTCCACCATGAGTGAAACAGTGATTGGAATAGACTTAGGAACAACCAACACATGTGTATGTGTACACCTCAACAACAAATTGAAAATACTTGAAAACAAAGAAGGTGGAAGAACAACACCGTCTTATGTTTTCTTCACTGAGCAAAACAGTGTCATAGTCGGCCAATATGCAAAACGTATGGCTGACGTCAAACCGGAATACGGCATTTATGGTAAAAAATCCACAAATCAAACTCCAAAAACGCTTATTTTCATTTTCCAGAAATCAAAAGACTTGTAGGACGAAAATACGACGACCCTTATATCAAAAAGAATTTAAACTATTTACCTTTCCAAGTTACCAACATCTCTAACGATCCAGTCGTAGTCGTCCAAACCAAAACCCAAGTTTTTAAAAGATCACCTCAGGAGTTATGTGCTTACATTTTAGGAAAGATTAAAAGCGACGCTGAAGCCAAGTTGGGTCACCCTATCAACAAAGCTGTGATTACAGTGCCTGCTTATTTCAATATTGCTCAAAGAGAAATGACTTTAGCCGCAGCCAAAACAATCGGGTTTATAGTGTTGAAACTCTTGAACGAGCCAACAGCTGCTGCTCTGAGTTATTACTACGAACACAAAAGTAGTGACGGCGATGGATATTCTCTTGTTTACGATTTAGGAGGGGGCACTTTCGATGTTGCCATTTTGCAAAGAAATGGTAGCGATATTACAATCCTTGGGGTTGACGGTGAGACCCACTTGGGAGGACACGATTTTGACAATTTACTAGTTGAGCACGTGTGCCAAGTGTTAATAAGTCAATACAACTACAACCCGAAAAATGATCGCCGAAACATGCGTAGACTAAACAATGAATGTGAAGAGGTGAAAAAGATGCTTTCAGAGAGTGAAGAAACAAGTATCATTCTGAACGCGTTTGTGCCAAATTCAAACATTGTTGAAATCCCCATCACCCGAGGACAGTTTGAATCAAAAGCAGAACATTTGTTCCAAAAAACCATCGATATTATGACCAGATGTTTGGAAAAAGTCAATTTGAAAAAAAGCGATATTAAGGAGGTTATTCTAAGTGGGGGATCCACTCGAATTCCCAAGATCCAGTCAATGATCAGTGCGTATTTCAACGGCAAAGTTTTAAACAAATTCATTAATCCGGACGAATGTGTGGCTGAAGGAGCCGCAATTCAAGCAGCGCTTTTATCAAAAAATCCATCACAAACCATAAGTCAAATCAAAATCACTGATGTCACTGCTTTGTCTTTGGGTATTAGCGATTTTGTTGATGTTATGACATTCATGATCAAGCGTAATACACCAATCCCTGTCACCAAAACAACAAAACGCGTAACAGTTTATAACAATCAAGCAAATATGAGTTTCGACATCTATGAAGGGGAAAGACTCAACGCAAAGAAAAATTATTTTTTGGGCCACTTGGAGATCACCGATCTTACACCAGCTCCGCCCGGTCAGTGTGGGGTGACAGTAGTTATGACTGTTGATCAGAATGGAATTTTGACTGTTAAAGCTACCGAAACCGTAAGCAACAGGACCAAGGATGTTAAGATTGTGTATACTAGAGGGAGTAGAAGCGATGGTGATATTAAGAAAGTTGTGGTTGAAGCTGAGGAAAATACGGCGGAGGATGAACGTTTCAGACAATTTGCAGACATTAAGGGTTTTGTGTATAAGTACTGTATTAGGGCTATGTATAATTTTGAAGAAAAAGGGCTTGTCGCGACTCACAAGGACGTTTACGATAAATGCAGTGATGTGTTAAAAAAATTAAAGGACTTGGATGTAGATGATGAAAAAGAGGTTATTAAGCTGAAACAACAAGTCGTACCTTTGTGTAAACCTTTAGAGAAGAAATATGCATTCAAATATATGCCTTAAATACTATAATACTAATATTGATTAATTTTAATTTCCATTGGTTTTATACAATAATTTACTTTCTATGTATTTTTTTCTTTATAAATAAAGTTTTGTTCTGAGAGATTATATAATTTACTTTTACTAAGCAATAACAGGTGCTAAGTATAAATAATCTAAAATATAAATACAGGGCGAGTCATTTACAATAAAGACCCTAACCAATTTTCACACGCAACCCGAAATACATTCTCACAGATAACTTGGCTTTAGTTGTGTATAAAAAATTTACTTTAATAATAATAATAAAATAAAAAATAGTTATTTTTTGTAAGAGTGTTTTAGATAGTGTTTTATCCACGCAAGAATGTTTAACCGCGAGAACGTCATACAACTGCAGTTCAGGATTTACCGTTATCTTCTACGATGATGAGCCTTAAGTGGATAAAACGCGACTAACACACGACTGCAATATAACGTTTTATCCACAATCACAGGCCCAAATTATTCCAAACTTAATTAAAAATTAAACTGATATTTAAACGTCACGCCAAATGTGCTTTCGGTTAAACGTAGTAAGCTGTTGCGCGGTGTGCTGGTTACTAACAGTGGAATAAAGTTACTTTATTCCACTAGTGGATAAAGTGGTACTTTATACGCATTTAAAGTGTGGAATAAAGTCTCTTTATAGAGTGATTGTTGATAAATAAAATAATTAAAGTTTCACTTGCATCGTGTTTTTTATTTTTAATTAATTCTATTTTCATTTAATAGGCTTTTTATCTCTACGCTTGTTGAATTATCATATATGTAATTCTTTTCTAAAAGAAACAAACCTAAATTATTTGTTGGTAATGAAATAACTTTAATACTTTAGTGAACTGTGTGTTCTTCATTTAGTTAGTGCAAAAAGCAACCTTAAAAGTAGGCTGAAATGCCGCCTTGATATTTTAACGTTTTTAATTTACTTTAAAAACAGGATAGAATCTTTAAAATTTTAACTATTGTAAGTACTTACTGAAAAATTGAACAGGGAAAAAGTTACCGTGTCAAAAAAATTGTGAAAAATTTTAACTTTATTTGGACAAAATCTAAGCCAACAAAGCAAATATTTCACTGCTACGGTGTTCAGACATTATTATATGTATTATGGAAAAATTAAAATTAATTGCTGAAAGGTTCAATGAAAATTTTAGTTGGCTAATATTCTCAAGGTTGATCAAGTAATCACAAGTGACTATTTTTATTTTCTTAATTGTAAAACAATGTCTATTTATTTTTGAAACAAAAAATAAACTTTCATTAACAATTTCGTAATGAATCGTCTTGAGGTCACAGCTTTATCTAATGATTAAATCACAAAACGTTGAATTATGAATTACTTTCTTTAATTTTTCATATAATTGTATTCTCGTCTATGAACATATTATTTTAAGTGACGATATAAAAACGCTGGATTAGATTTTAACCTTCATTTCCTTACATAATTGGGTATTTCCAAGTAATGGCAAGATGTTACTATAACACTTCTAATGAGAAATGTTGTCTTTATTTTTTTTCGCATATTTTAAAATTAAAAAAATTTAATTAGTTGCCGGTACCTATTTATAATTTGGTATTTGCAAAGAATTTTTGGAAAATTGCAGGCATTAGTGGCAATATCTCTTTAGTCTCTTTATGTTTCCTAAAATGTTTAACTATTCAGATGAGAATATATTAGATGTTGTTTCAAAACAATAAAAAACTTGTTTATCTTGAATGGAATGTCCGCAAATCAACGAACTTCATAGGCAGTTGAACATGTTAACGAAGTTGGCCGTGGCTGATTCTTACTTTAATTGATCATCAGATAAAAGTGTATAAATTAAGATGATGTTTTATTTGCGGATTCAGTCCTGTTTTGAACATCCACTCTATAGATACACACAACTACAGGCATGTTGCTGGAATCGAGATGGAACTTGATTTTTGGATGTGTTTTGTTTTGTGTTTTTTTCCAAAAAATTCATTGTGCGACGGGGCAACCAAACGTTGTTTTCATCGTTGCTGATGATTTGGTAAGTACAAATTTTTGTTCAGTAAAGTTGCCGGTATTTTTTCTATTTTTGTTCTAAATTTCTGACGGAAAATTTTGTAGCAAGATTTTATTTTTACACAAACTGCACAACAATCGTAATTTTACACTTAATATTTATCTTTATTTCTTGTGCGACGTTTTGCCACGCCATTTGCTCGAAAGTTCTTTATATTTGTAAAAAAAAAACGTTTTGTTAGTGGAATTTATAACATCTATAACAAAAAAATGTACCTAATAATACTTAATGAAAGTCGTAGATACGATTTTTTAATAAAACAAGGTTTATCTAAAAGCTTTACAGTATTTTATTTTTGTACTTAATAATTTTGTTTACTGATCCTTGATTTACACATTTTGCTTTTTATAGTTCTTTTACAAACTCCTAAAAAATTAAAAAATAGATACAGGATACAATACATCAGGGTGTTTTACTTATGTAAAATTATTTTTACGAGGCCTGCGCCTGTAAGATGCAATCAGTAATACGTATTCCGATTATAAATTTTAAAAAATTGGATAATCTTCTCTAGTTTGTTCACCCTTTTAAAAATTACAACGTTTTTAGTTAGTTAGTGATTAAAATAGATAAACTAGAATCAGATTTATGCCGTCTCTTTATAGAACAAATGATAATTGTTTCTGAAAAACGGCAGTTTATGACTTTAGGCTCTAGGGTACCGAATGAACTGTTCAGATTTAGTGTACTGAAAGTTGCATACTTTTTTTAGACCTGTATTCTGTGGCAGCTGTCAATCATCCGACCTTCTCTACGGGGTGCCTGGTCGCTTTAGTCTTAAAATGGAAATAAAATAAGGAAACAGGTTTTCACCATCGATGAGTTTCTCTTATTTCAGAGATTCAGATTCTAACTTAGTAGAAAGAATAGTATATTAAAGTACAAGTTGCAGAAGGTATCTATCTATTCAAGCACAAATTTGAAATTCCGAAACCAGCCGCGAAGCGGCGAGTTGAGGAACGAATGAGTGCTTGAAGAACCTTCTGCAACAAGTGCTTTATACTATTTTTTCTATTTCGCCGCTTTATATCATTTTATAAATAAAAAAATGAAAATTAATTTTTTTTTGTCTATAGAATTTTGCGACGGTTGGCGACATTTATGTGTGGAATAATTTTAGGCGGCTGTAAAAAATAAAAATTATTCTTATTTCCACATTTGAAAATGAATTGTGAAGAAAGGCCGTCACTAAAATTAAATTACCGCGATTCCAGCACGCAAATGACGTCATTTGGGTGCTGGAATAGACCTATTCTAACATCGAAATAGAAAAAAGTTCATTTTTTTCTTGATTTTGGTTTTATTTTTTTGACAATAATCTCACTTTGACAAATGAGTTTTAGCAAAAAACAAAAAAAAATTGTGGGAAAAACATAATTTTGATAAATAGCAACTCAAAGAAACAGCTTTAAGATAAAAAACGAAGTCATTTTTAACAAAAGCTATCATTATATAATTAATAAAATAATTGTCAAAGTAACATATAGTTGTCAATAAATAAAACCGCCAATGTGATAGGACTTTAAAGCAAAGATAAAGTACAAAATCTAAAAAAAAATTAACTTTTCTTTTCACTGAATCTGAATAATGAAGTTTTAATTACAGATTTGCTCGTTTCAAGTGAAGCATAAAATGTTTCGCTTTTTTTTTAATATTTGCCTTTAGAAAATGATAATAAAAATTAAAGTGCTCTGTTTTTGAGTTTTGCAATTGTTTTTAAATGGTACTCGTAACTTAGGTATATGACATTTTTTATCAATAAAATGTGAATAAAACATATAAAGTTGTAATCCTTAGATGAGCGGCAAAATTATGGAATAGTCTTATAACTGAAAATATTTTGTTTTGAAAGCTGTACAATTGATCAAAAAACAGAAAACATGAAAAATGATATTTTAAATGGACCCGCACATATTTTTGGTGATCATTCAAATTGTCAATTGCGCTTCGTATTTCTGTAAAACAGTTGGTCAAATAACAAATGTAGTTGCATATTCTGATTTTTTAAATAGTTCTTTGTTTGAGTTGTTCATGCGGGCATTAAAAAGAGTTGCAAATTTATCTTCAAGTCTTTTGTACGATGTCGATAATAATTCTGTTGAGTCATTTAATTCAGTAGTTAACAAACTTGTTGGAGGGAAAAGAATAAATTTTTCAAATCGCGGTTCTTATCATGGAAGATGTTTTAAATAAAAGAAAAATTCGTATTCAAAGTGCAGATTCCGAATATGGTGCGGTTGATGAGTTGATGACATAATAGATAGATGTGGCAATGGAAACATATGAAATAATAAAAAGTGAGTTTTTGAATGATTTGGCTGCTTGCCATATTTTAAAAATTCATATTGAAACAATTGGTCAAAGTAATAATAAGCAGTGGGATAAAGAAAGAAAGCTAGTAATTTTGGAAGAATTATAAACATGAAATGTAAAACCAATACAGCAAATACTGTAAAAAATATCTTATATAGTGTAGGTGTGTCTAAATTTAATAAATTGCCTGAACCTCTACAGTGGGGTACTGATAATGAAGAAAAAGCAAAGTTTGAACAAATCACAGGTTTCAAGGTGGACCCATGCGGCTCTTTTGTTGACGAAGAAAATTTTTTTAGGTGCAACACCAGATGGATTAGTAGGTTCAAATGCTATTGTTGAAATTAAATTAAATGTCCATTTTTTTTATGTATAAAATTATTATAGTTCACCTTCATATTTTAGCAGAACCTTGCGTCTTTGCAGCTTTAATCACTTCTTATTTGTCATATTTTTCTAATTCTAATAGTCAAATTGCAGTGGAGATTCACATTTTATTCAATAAAAAAATATCTATTAATTTATTTAAAGCGGTAATATTATCCGGGTCTCTATTTACCGTTAAAGAAACACGACAAACATCAAGAAACTCTTCAAGTCTCAATTTGCGGCTAAAAACAATGAAATAAATATACATTTATTTGTACATACCTACATGTACATACATAAATACATGTAGTATAGGTATAAGCCAGCTCTCAGAGGGTTTGGAGCCAAAATGAAACAGTGATTAGGTTGACAACTACTGTCACGGGGTTTCCAAAAATTAAATAATTAAATGTGTATTTTTTGTATCTAGTGTTTTGTGAATTTTTCATATTCGGATGCGTACATTTGACTCAAGTCTCGTAAAATTGTGTGAAACACCCTGTATAAGATTATGGTCTTTTTATTTACGTACCAAAGTATATTAAATGTTATACAATATAATTTCCTTTTTTCTTAATTTTGTCAAAGTTAAATTTAGCTAGATACTGTAAGTACTTGTTAAACGAATAAATGTTGAAGGCGGTTGCAATGAAATGAATTTAGTTTTATATATTTTTATGTAATCATCATTTTTTTTTTGTTTACAAAGCAAAAAGAATAAGCAAAATTAGATGTTATTGTCTTACATTAACATCGCTTTGACTTTTATTTAACAGACGTGGAGGACGGGATGAAATGAACATAAAGTTGGGTAATATTAAATTGTCATTTTATATTTTATCCAGTCTTTTTCCAGCAATATTGATAACATACTTCTATTGACTTATCAATATTTTCTTTTTTCCTTATAACTAAAAGAAATTTTTTGAACAAAAGTTTTTTGAACAAAAAATTTCTTGCTTCAAAATTATGTTACGAGTGTATTTGATAAATGTTGCGTTTATCTAAAAGCTTATAATAGTTAATTATAATTAAAATAAACATACGAATTTTATTTGAAAGAGTCGATCTAGAAAAAGCGTGGACTTTAAAAATCCGTTAAAAAGATCTGGAATGTTAATAACAGCTCATTATTTTTTTCAAGACTGACTTGCAATTGTCTGGTAAAATAATAAATTCCATGATGCTATCTTTACGGAAGTGCAGAACGCTCGAAGAATTTAAATCTAGTTGTCTTGTAATTAACCTTAACCTCCTACACGGTTTTGCATAAGAAAATAACTAAATAAATTTAAATAACAATAATCACGGCAGCAATTATTTTTTAATTGTTACAATTAGGTAAACAAAATTACGTCTTGAGAACGAAATAAATAAATCTCTGCGTTATGTTATACGTACATACTTTATTCACAGAGAGTTTCAAAATTCAACGTATATTTCTTTATTTGCAACTTCCAACTTTTTATCGTTTTAAAAACACGTATTGCATTGGATTTTAAAATTGCTGTTATCTGAATTTATCTTTATTTTCAGGGTTGGAATGATGTGGGTTTCCACGGAAGCAACCAGATTCCAACACCTAACATTGACGCTCTTGCATATAATGGTATAATTCTCAATAGTCACTACAGCCAATCATTTGGTACTCCCTCTAGAGCAGCTTTATTAACAGGAAAATATCCAATGAAATTAGGTAAAATATCCAATAAAACGATAAGTAAACAAATTGTTTATTAAATATTAAAGGACTGCAAGGACCTTCAATAACACCAGCTGAAGGACGATCCTTACCCGAAGGAAAAATTATGTCTGAATATTTCAAGGTAAACTGTATTTTTATTGTTTTGTAAATCACATTTTTGTATTATTTAGGACATGGGATATGCCACCTATCTTATTGGCAAATGGCATTTGGGACACTCCCGTTGGAATGACACTCCAACATTCAGAGGATTCGACCATTTCTTCGGATTCTACAACGGTTTCACCAGTTATTACGATTATGTCTCCAACTGGAAGGTATCAAAATCACCAAATGTTAAAAACGTTAATAATCATGCCATTTAGATTAATGATAAAGAGTATAGCGGATTTGACTTGAGAAGAGACACAACACCATCATGGAATGATGCTGGAAAATACGCAACGGATTTATTTGCTGAACACGCCGTTGACGTGATCCAAAAACACAATGTCAATTCTCCTCTTTTTATGATGATTGCTCATCTAGCCGTACACGTAGGAAATGAAGGAAAATGGTTGGAAGCTCCTCAAGAAACAATTAATAAATTTAAACATATCCCAGATCCCAATCGAAGAACCTACGCAGGTGAGTTACCACAATAAACAAAATTTACTACTCGTATTTCATCTAAGTAGTAATTATATTCATATTTGTGAAAATGATGTTAGAAGAGTAACAACTAAGCATTATTTAATAGGTGTTGAAAAAATGCATACATTATTTCATGTTTATAGTTGTTTTAAAAACAACAATAACAATTACCTAATTGGAAATCTTGTTTGAAAAGCAAGACTCAAATTTATTTCTTTCAACAAAGTTATAAAACAGCTGTGGGACAATAAAATTTTAGTGATGTTATGAAGACAAAAATTTGTCTTTTTATTTAAAAAACTGAAGCCAGACTTTCAACCGGTTTAAGGATTTAAATACCATTCATAACAAAATAAAAAAGTGGACTTAAAATATGTGCAACTGTAGAGATATTTCTTAAAAAAAAAAACGCAAGAAAATTAACTTTAAATTATTTCTTAAATGAAGAGTCAAATTTATGGTTAAGTTTTTTTTATCCAATTAAAAAAAAATCAAAAGCAGTTTCTGAATATTGCTGTTGAAATATTATATATAGACAGCTGAGAGAGATTTTTGTTTGGTGTTTTGTAGCAATGGTTTCCAAACTTGATGACAGCATCGGTGCCATATTCGAAGCTTTAGATGCGAAAAACATGTTGCAAAACACAATAATTGTTTTTATTTCTGACAACGGAGCGCCGACTGTAGGACCATACCACAACTGGGGGTCAAATTATCCCTTACGAGGCATCAAAGACACTCTGTTTGAGGGTGGAGTTCGTACAGTTGCATGCATATGGAGTCCTTTATTGGTCCAATCGTCACGCGTTTCAACTGACCTTATCCACATAACCGACTGGTTACCGACTCTTTTTACTGCAGTAGGCGGTGATCTAAGTGTTTTAGACCCAGACCTTGACGGAATAGACCAGTGGTCTAGTCTAGTTTACGACTTACCATCTGCCAGAAACGACATTCCACTAAACATTGATGAAAAAACCAGAAATGCCGCTTTGCGATTCTCTTACTGGAAATTGATTGTTGGTGAGTGCATGATACTCGCTTCGCTCGTGCGTTTTGTTAAAACACGTGGTTTAATAAGGTACCAGTGGGAACGGGAGTTACAATGGTTATTTCGGGGCGCCACTCAATGAAAATATCGACGAACAAGAATACAACACTTCAGCGATTAACGACAGTCCTGTGGGCCGCATTGCAAAAAAAATCAATTACAATCCACTTTCAGAAAACGACTTTGATGGTTTAAGGCGAGTTGCTACTCTTAAATGTCTTGATGCGAAAGCAAAACGAAACCCATGTGATCCTGCAAGTATGTGTTTCAGTCTTGTGTGGTTTCAGTTGTTGAAAGATTTGTTCTAGGTGGAGCAGTCTGTTTGTATAATATACCGAATGACCCGTGCGAAGAAAATGATTTAGCCAAGTTTTTCCCGAGTGTTGTGAGGAGAATTAAACGCACTTTGGTGGACTACAGGCAAGGATTAGTTCCACAAATTGAGACGATGATTGATATTGAAAATGCTGATCCTAAACTGTTTCAATTTGTTTGGAATCCCTGGTGCGATTGCTCTGATGCTGCTTGTTCTAGTTGATAATAAATTTCATGAATAAATCATTTAACAAAAATCAACACGTTAAAATTTTATTTACCTTCACACAAATCTAATGAACGTTTAAAAGACCAAAAAATTGTTGCGTTGTTTTATTGGACAGTTTGATCTGATTTTTGTTATTTTATTAGACTTAAAATACAAACCGAAATTCAGTTTTAGAAAAATGATTAGTAGTTTATGAATTAGTACAATTTTGATATCATTTTACAGAATCAAAAGTTGAGAACGTATTTATTAACTCGAATATTTTGTCATGTAGTAGTGACGGATTATTCCGATTCTTACTTCACAACCGCTAGTTTAATTTCTTTGTGTAAATAATGTGGATTTCAATATTTTTGTGTAGAAAATTATGAATATGTGGAAATAAGAATCATACATCAAAATATTTAACAATTTATTATATCGAGAAACGGTACTTTTTGTAAAGGTTAATAGGACGACTTTGTTGACACATAATTATTATATACATATGTAATTTTTAAGTAAGCGTTTTGTTTGTTGCGCTTGTAACCGTGTTTAATGTGTAATAATCACAACAAACAATAAGCTGTTTTTTATTTACATAATTAAAAAAATATAATACACACATATACTTAACAGTTTTTTTTTACACAATCAGTCTTTAAAACATCAATTCCGTATCAAATATAGATAAAAATATAGATTTTTACATTTATATGAACATGTCCCAAAAAACTAATTATTAGATTATACAATTGTAGTAATTATAAATTTTAACAACTAGGAGGTATAAATACGAGTATAATTAGGTACTCATATTGTATGAAACAGTAATAATTTGAAAAAAATATAAAAATATTATTGATTGATCCATTTTTGTGAGAAAACTATATAAGAGGACATATTATTGGTTCTTTTCTCTCAAAATGTTTATTTGCTACAATGCTACATCTTTCGGATCATTTTTATAATGGCAATATAATTGTGAGGTGTTTGGAATTAGAGTCGCCTAACTCACAAAATTTATTAACTTAGTTTTACTCTCAAACTACTTATTATTCAAATTTTGAGTAAAACACTGGCGTATAACGTTTTGAACAAAAAATATTAACGGCAAAGTGAGTGTATTTAAAACAAAATAATATTTTGGAAGTAAAAATTACTTTTATTAGGATTCCACTTTAATTCTCAACTGTGAATCGTAAATCATAAAATTATTGCCTGAAGATGTCCATTACAAAAATGAGCTAAAACATGTAGCATTTTGTAGCAAATAAACATTTTGAGAGAAAAGAATCAATGATATTTCCCTTAATCTACAATATAAAAATAACTTATAGCAAAAATAAATCAAAATAAGTAATTTATCTGGACACTCCGTGGAATATAAAGTCATATTCTACGATTCTTCTTTGTATGATCTATTGTTTGAACGCAATTTGTTATTATTATTAATTAACTTTCACCGTCAACTTTGTTAATCCTACAAAAAATTGAAAATATTTAGTCTAGTATTCTACTCGGATATAATGGCTATTATTCACGAAGGTAAAGCTTTTAATCATCATTTGCTCGTTGAATTATAATATAATATTTTTTTAAAAGTTATTCCCAAGTAAGGAACAACAGATTTGTAGAAAATACAACCCAAGTATTTTTACATTGAAATAATTAATTGTAATTTTTTATAACAACTTAAAATTTTTTTTTACAATTTATTCATTTTGCACATACAAAACTTATCTTATTGGTGTATATTTTACAAGATAGATATTTATTTATTAAGGCCCGATTTCTGGTACGATTAAACATCACATAAAATTTAACTGTCGATAGTAGTGTTGATCTGATTGGTGTTACCATGGTTTAACTGAGGTTTGAAATATATCTCTCTGTTAAATACTCTATGTTAAATATGTTTCTAGAAACCGGGCCTTTGTTAAACAAAAAGATATCAATAATATTTTAACACTTTTGTACTTAAAACAATTGAGCAAAACGTTTTTTTTTATGTAGCTGTATCTTATTTAGAAATGGGCTTATAAACCAAGTTAAAATGTACCTTTTAAGTAATTTTTTATAAGGAAACAAATAAATTTGTTTTTGATAGTTTTATTATTACACAGTGATTCAACTAAAACGATACAGATTGAATAATTTCGTTGTTTAAAAATGATTGTAATGTTTAGGTAACTCGTTTTACTCTTCCTTTATAACATGATTTAAAAGCCCACAACAGTGTCAAAATCATGTCGATTTTCAATATTGCTTAAATGCTTGGCACAGCAGAAATTCTTTTATGAATAAAGTTGATTCTGATTGGCAACTATAGAATGATTTTGCATATTGGGTGGTCGTACCCAAGTGATCCTATACCTAAAAGTTTCATCGTCTGGATCAGCTGCAACAACTTGAGCAAGACGACTCCCACTCGTTGATGATGACACACAAGCGTATTCTGAGCCGCTGCTAAACACGATCTTCAGCTTCCAAAACGACTACTTCTATCAACCATTTTAATTTAATCCAATATGTGTTTTAAATACAAACTTACCGGATCGTCCGATGGTACTTTGGCGCCCTATGTATATTGTAGATTCGTTGCACGAGACGTCGGAGTTATTTTGAATAATTTTATGAATGCCGTTCTTCTGGGTTGTTTTTGTACGAGTTCTGTGGGAATTCGAATCCATGCAGGCACAGCAATAACACACGCTAAAAACAACGATAACATAAATAGATATGTCAATATCACAGGCACCAATTAAGAGTGTACAAGTGGCGCAAAATGCGGATCACATTTCAAACAGGAGATAAAACGCCCGATTTCCGTCTTACTGCAATTTTTTTATTCATTTATTGTTTATTTTAGTCAGGTCGGGAACCGTGAAACTCTTAGTTGCGAACATTATTATAGGTGTAACAATATTTTCTAACTTGACTAGTTAAAAGAAAACATATCAATGGTTCAATACAAATTTTCGTATAAAAGTAAATATCAGTTTGTTTCTCATTATGAATAATATTACGCTTCAGTGTTTGCCGATTTGTCAACACACAATGTGTATTCCATTTAATTCTTGAACGTATCAATTATTCACTTCAAATTTCTCGGTCAAATATTTACGTAAAATTTAAGTTTAATGGGGTGAAATGTACTCACTTATACCAGTTGAAGATCGCTAAGAAAGCTTGTCTAAACTTTCGGTTCATGAAACAGTATGTGATTGGATTACAGCAGGAGCTGATGTATGCTAAAAGTTGTACAAGAGAAATACCCGTAGAACCAACATACAAATACACATCTTCTGGATAGAAAAGATACCAAGTGTTTAAAATATGTAAAGGCGCCCAACAAATAAAAAATTCGGCAACAACCACAAACAACATTCGTATCACCTGAAACAGGCGGATTAATAAAACGAAGTTTGGTAATTTATAGATTTACTTTTTTCTTCGCTTCGATACTTTTGTCCATGTAATTCGACCTAATGGCGTGTCGTGTAAAATGATACGTGGTTTCATCCACCGAAGAAGTGGCATAACTGGCATCATTCGATGGACAAAGTTCGTTGTATGAACAGTGTTCTGAAGATGGTGTTGTGAGTTCGCAGCGTGGAACTAAAGTACTTTTGGTTTGAGTATTACAAGTGTACCCTTTTTTGATCGAAGACGGTAAACGGACTTGGACTATGCCTTTCATAAACCACATTTTTACAGATCCGGGTTTTTTCGAATTTTTTACGTTTTTGGTCCGTGACTGTGTTTTTTTATGACTTGGAGGAAGAAGACGATTTGTCGGGCGAAGAAGGTTGATATTAGAAGGTTCTGAGGTACTTTGAGGACTATTGTTTTTGTTCACTTCGCCGTTTATCGTTGGAGAACTGTTAGACCGGTGGATCACTACAAAAATTAAACTTTTTTATTAACTAATAACTAGCGTATAGACGAGTTAATGCTTGCCTTCGGCTAATGAAACTTCGCTAAATTTTAGTGGTTATACCTGTTTCTAAAGTACTTTAAAAAGCTAAAACTTCACTGATTGTTCCCTGTTTTTAAGATAATGTTGAAAAATTTAAATTTTAATGATTGTTTCCCATTTTTTTAACGTGAACTTTTTCATTTAGATTGATGCAATAGAATTGATATGATTTATGTCAATTTTTTATTTTTCTATTATAATTCTGCTATACATAGATTTAGGTAAATTTTTTTTTGATTTATTAGAGTTAAAGAAAATTATTAAATAAACCCAGTAATGACGGAAACAAATTAAACAGATGGAAATCTAAGAATAATCACTGAAATTTTATTGTTTTAAATGTAAATATCTTAAAAAAGGGTGAAACCACTAAAATTCAGCGAAGCTTTATTAGTCAAAAGCAAATATTAAATTTTCTTTATTAATAAAAAAGATTAATTAAAAAAATATCTACTTATGTAATAACTAGAACTGGTATTTCTACTATCAGGTGTTGCAGTAACACAAATAAGCTCACTTTGTTGTTGGAAAGAGTTGTTATGTTGGATTTCTCTACGGAGGCCTTTCCAGAGTTTGGTCATAATTAGCGAATAAGCAAGACTCATGATCAGCACTGGAATCAGCAACAGCATCGCATCCAAGAACAGATTAAAAATTTGTTCGCTGCTTTTGCTCGGCCACTCCTCTCTGCATTTATGTCCTAGAAAAATTTAAACGTTTTCATCCTGTGTGGAAGCAATAAAACCCACCTCGACCCTTCATCGCCTTGAGCGAAGATACGACTAATACAGGGGCACTCCAGAAAAGGCTCGCTAGCCACACCACTGCAATCATTTTATAAGCATGAAATTGAGTCTGCCAGCGACGGGACTTTAGTGGCCTGCAAATTGCGAAATAACGTTCTAGTGAAATCGCCACTAGTGTCCAAACACCAACAGAGACTGAAACGGCTGAAAATCAACAATTAGTTTTATCAGTTAATTTGATAATGACAGACACCTTGAAAATAAGGGATAAGTTTGCACATCGTAGCGCCGAATATGAAATTTCGTAAAACTTGACCCACGAGAGTAAACGGCATGCAGAAAACTCCAAGTAGCAAATCTGAAATTGCCTGAAAAGCGGTTAACTGTTAATTGTGGGAGTCTGGGAAGATACTTAGTTATTTCATTAGAACCAGTGTTGCACAAAAGGAAGTTCAATCTGTTACTGACAGTTTGGAACCGCGCCAGTAAAGTTAAAAACTTTATTGATATTACAAATCGAACGAAGCTTTTAAGAATGAATTTCATAGGTTTCTATTAAAAGACATTTAAAAATAGAAGTATCACAGAAATTTCTCAATTTTCTACAAAAAGACCTCAATTTTTAAATGTCACTTTTTTTAAAAACGCAAATTTTATTGATTAATTTAATTTATTAAAACTCACCAAATTCAGAAGATAAACATTCGTGACAGTCCTCATTCTCTTGTTCCTCATCAGCGTGACAAGTACCAAAGAGTTTCCAACAATCGACAAGACGAATATGATGGCGTATAATGGTATAATTAGTTCGCTTTCAAACACCCCACTAGACGAACTATTTTGTCTCGTTTTGTTAAACCTTCCTGTGAAATTGTGGAAATCCACAACTGATATTTGAACATTTGACTTTACAGCAAATTCAGAACCGAATACATTATTTGTAAAGTTCATTTCCACTTCTGACATTTTCCTCCCCTAGAACAAAAAAAATGCTGCGTAAAAACTGCCATTGGGTTGACTTTCAGCGAACATAATTTATTTGCAACGCCTGAAACGTGTGACAAATAACTGGGTCTTGACACATACACATATTCGAGCATAAGCAGTACAGAGCTTTTAAGCACGACACTCGACAGTGATGCATTCCAGGTAGACGGTTGCGACGCAAATTTAGTTGATGTAGCCGAAAATTAAAAAGTTTTATTTAGATCTCATCTATTTTATTAATTATTTTCAGTAACTGACAAAGTTAGGGTACATACAATAAAAATAGTTTATCTAAATATTTAATTAGAATTAGAACCTTACATTTTCATTCAAACAATTTTGTATACTTAATAAAGCCTAGCTACTGAAGCAAATAATATGCTTCAATTAGCTTTATTAGCAGTTGTCTGATTTCCTTTCGATTTCTGGGCCTTGCCCTTTCGATAAACGTCAGGTACTTGCGTAATCGACTGAATTAATTCCCCAAATTCAACAAGTTTTGATTTGGAACATTACTTTCCATCCTGATGGTTATCAACTTCCTGAGTTCTTAGTTTTGAGTTTTCTCGTAAATTTTCAAGTTTGTTTCAAACTGGTATCTCTAAAATTCGAAAGGGAATGTAAAACATGTTAAAATAGGTAGTTAATTAAACAGACTTAATTGAAATACAATTTAAATTGTACACATATTTGAGGGAAATATTTGTTGTGAGTTTTTCCTGGAGTTGAAAATAGTTGATAACGTTGACTCCTCGTCGTGTATTGATTGAACTGTACAAAGTATGGAAAACACTAACTAGGCTTGCTGTAAAGTTTTTGCGTTTGAAAATGAATTTGTGTGCTCTTTATGCGTTTTCTCTAAATAAATTTACTAGATGATGTCAATTCAAACAGACTAAACGAATTACAAGCTGCTTTTGGTTAAGTATAAATTCGTTACCAAAGACTGAATCGTCTAAAAAGAACACTGAATGCTCTTTTATAAAGAAAAACTACGAGTAAAATTCTCATTTCAATTAGGTATCTGTGCTCGTGTTTATTGAATAGGTGTGTTTGTGTTAAAGTTTTTGAAGTATAAAATTTTGTACCTATTTTAAATGAAGCCATTTTACGTAATAGGTGTTACAAAAGATTTCTGTCATTTTTTTATTTTTTTAGATGGATGGCAAATAAAAGCTTACCATACATAAAAAGTGCAAGTTATTTAAAAAAAATTATACCTACCACTACACCTTTTTGTGCAATTTTTTTAAATAAACACTTTGTACAACATTATTTGATGCATTTTGTTAACTGAAATAGCTAAAATAAAATATTTTCCTATTACTTTTTATTCAATAATAAGCGTTGCAAATTGATTGTCCATAAATAGGGGAATGAAAAAGTGCCTCTCGTTAACGATAAATCACAATTTACGCGATCGTAAATGTCTAAACCTTTAATTCGGTTGTTAAATACATTATGTTCTGTGTGTATATACATTAATCTGCTCTTTTCAAGCCGAAGGACAAACAATTAATCAAATCTCATTTCTCTCAAAACTGACGACGTACGCAAAATTGTGCCAAAACGGAGAACCATTATTGTATTACCTGCGACCTTCTAGCGAGATTTATCTCAGTTTTAAGTTACCAACGTAAAGTGTAAACATCAATGTAAGTCGACAAGTTTATAATTAAACAAGAGAGATGTAGATATTTCAATAACAACGAGACAATTACGTGACAATTGCCCTGTTATTTCATTACACAAACGTCAGGTATTTGTCACGTCTAATACTCGTACATTTCGGTTGATGACTGTGAGGTATCAGTGTTGCTTTTTGAATACTTAATTTAGTCATGGAACAATTATTGCAACAAAATTACTACATACATAAAAAGTAATTATTTTTATAATTTTTGTACTTTTTTCCAAAATGTATGGTGCATCTAAAAGCTGCATTTGAAATACTTTTTCAGACATATTGAAAATTACTTAGTTTTTGAACCTTTATTTTTTTACAAAAGGAATATTCGTTTAACGAATGTGCTATGAAAGTGAGAAAGGCAGACAAAATGTTATAAAACCCACTGTTTATTAAGTTGACCCAATAAAATAAACACAGATGTGATAATAATAAAAGCTCCTTTTCGCACCGGTGGTTAAATTATGAAAGCTCATTCTACCCCGACACAAAAAATTAAAGGAACCTTATACGTCGCGTACAGTTGGCAACAAAAAACAGCCATAAAGCAAAATTTTCAAGATTCTAAAATGATTTTTGTTGTCAAGATAACAAATCCGTTAACAACTTTGAAAATGTAAAAATGTGGAAGCTAGTAATATTAAAAAATAAAATGATTTAATCACTAGTGGAAACACGAGAAAACCAATTATGAATATAAAAGAGCTCACGAGAGCAAAGTGGTTGCATGTCGCTCCTTCTACTTTTACGTTTTGTATTAAATGAGTTTTTTTGCTACCAGATGACAACTTTTATCCAGTCCACAATTTATCCGAGAATAGCGATGGAATTGTATCTACACAGGGTTGATCAAACATTGTGTGTAGTACCTAAATTGTATAAAAATTATATAAAATTAATTTAGATTATTTACCTCAAAGACCTTAAAGCTTCTAAGAAATTACAATTTTATTTGTTTCACTTATGTTTATTACATCCTGTGTAAGTTTAGCTGAAAAATAACAGATATTTTTATGAACGTCAGGATGTTGTGTCGCTTGCTATTTACGTCTAAACATTCTTTAGATGTGAGGTATAATCGTAAGTTTTTTTTTGATAATAATAGGAAGAGTTGTCTTTTGTACTGTACTCACTTTATCAATTTCACTTTTTTGCTTTATCAATTCTTACTTCTTTTTTGGTTAATACATTTATTTCTTGTCTGAAAACATACATATTTTGCAAATAAAGAGAAATCTAAGTAAAAGATGTACTACGAGAGTAAAGTAATTCAACAGTTTTTAACAAAAAACAGTATAATTACAAATTACTTTAGTAGATATAGAGATGTAGCTTTATATTGAAATTAATAAAAATTTGTTTCAAATGTTTCTGTCACAGTTGAAAAAGCATAATAAAGACAAAGAACTTTCATTCTGTACCTATAAAAGGAAAAGGAAAGGAAATTATTTCTGCATTTATAACATTCCAAACTCACAAAAAAAAACTGTAATTTGTCCTTTACAGTAACAGCACAAATCTTTTTTCTTTAATTAAATTTTAGAAGATTGATTTTAAATAATTTACTCATTTACGTATTGTTTTGATTACAAAAAATGTTTGTATTTAATAATAAAAATAATAAAAGTAAAAATTTTATATAAATGTGCTGGAAAATGTGATTTACAAATTATTAAATTTAACGATGTAGTCAATGCAAATAGCTTAATGGTTCTTTGAAATAGACGGAAATGAATATTTAATAAAACCAGAAGCTTACAGGCTATTTGCGATAAATTCAACGTAAGTCTGGTTTAATTAAACTGGATACATTGTAATTAAGTATTCACTTTTTAAAACGAAATTCTCACATGTTCCCCGAATTATTAGTTATAAAAATGTAGATTAAGTTAATTAAAATTTCCTCCTTATGACAAAATTTCCAAAAAATAATAGTAAAGCAAAAACCTTACGTCATTGTGCCGTTGTTTAAAAAATTCGTTGATTTGCTGAATTGAAAAAATATGATACATTGACCTATCCATAAGGTATAAAAAACTTATTGTTTACAATAAGGAAAAAGGTAATAATAATGATTTTATATTATAGACTCCTGTTTTCTGAGGTAGTTTCCTATCAAATTTTATTGGTAATTTTATAGTCATTACTTTTATACTTTTATTGTTACAAAGAAATAGAAATATTTTGTGTTTATTACGAGTATAAGCAAAATTTAATCAGAATTTTAAATGGAAAAGGATACAGCATATTATGTTATATTTTAAAACAAAAAATGGAGCATTATGTTATATCATGCTGTTAAATTCGGTTTAATAGCTGTTTTATGATGAAACCTTATATTAACATGGTTATAATGTGAGCAAACATAATAGTTTTTGTTGTAATATCACTCGCAGTAGCATATGATCATAAAACAATTATAAAAAATAATTAGTTAGTCGAAATGGTGGATGCGCCGGGACAAGTAGTACAAGTATTTCGGTTTAAAACCGAATTTTAAATAATACAATTTTAAAACAATGTAGCATTTACAATTAGAACAAATAATTATCTTAAGTTTTTTTATTATACAGTGAAGACTATAAATATACGTATGTACAAAAACACCGAACTTACAGTTAAATTAAATCAATTAAATTGAAAATTAAACATTAATGTGTTTTAATAATTCTTGTTTAAAGTAGTTGTTTTTTTAATACAAATATTGTAGAAAGTTAATACAATTGGTATCGTATTAAATGTATAGTTAACATTTACTTACCATCCATTCGATCAAACGCTAAGATTTCTCACTTACTAATTCCATTTCATACATCACATTGTAACTTTTGATATGAAACTCTGAAAGTGACGGCACAGTTGCCGTGTCAAAGGTGAACTTACACTAACATGCTTTTATTTACCCCACGTTTTCTTGTCAAGAATGCTTATCTCATGTTATTACAAGATCATGTTCATTTTAGGTAAGTTTCAACAATACACACATTTTTGGTGTTTGTTTAGTATTTTGTACTTATTTTTTATTTTCATTTTATTAATTTATAATTGATTGAATTTCATGTGGAAACAGATGCATGAGAGTCAAGACTACATGCTACTAAAACAGTACATACTCTCTCAGTTTGCAAATTTTGAAATGTTCCTAAGCGTGACACGTGATGACGACAATACGCAAATTAAATTTAATAAACACTGATTATATTTCGCTTCAAGTTATGCGTTTGTCATTAGAATCATAGTTTGTAAGCCGTATTTTAATTAATTAAGCTTGTGTTAGATTTTAAGACAGCTA